AATTTCCTTATTGGAATATCAAGACACTGAAATTTATACACATTTGGCCGTATAACATCAGAATCAAACATGTGCAAATATGTACAACATGCAGTGCAATTAATATTTTAGAATTTGATATCTATACAGTGATAATTTAAGAGCGTGACTATCTTATACTATAGAATACTAAATAAATATATTATCTGTTGAAAAAAGGGGCAGTGGGGTAGCCTAGTGGTTAATGCGTTCGTTCATCATGCTGAAGGCCTGGGTTCGCTTCCCAGCATGAGTACAATGTGTGAAGCCCATTTCTGGTGTCTCTCACTCACTCGCTCACTCACTCACTCACCCTTTCACTCACTCACCCTTTCACTCACTCACTCACTCACCAGAAGAAATGGTAATCAACACATCAGTAGAAAGAGAAAGAGGGGAGTTCAATGTGTAACAATAGCGTTAGACATGATTATTAGAACCATTGGGTTGTATTTCTGAACGGATTTAAAACTTAAACGTGTTGTATCATGATGATTCCTTATCGCCAAAAAGAATTATTTCCTACGTCCTTCATGTGTTTTTTCTTTTATCAGAGTAGATATCTGAGAGGATTGTTCAAAAGTTGACACACATTTCTTTATTTTCCAGGGAAAATTAAAATACAAGTTCTGAACCAAAACATTTTTCAAACTCTTCTTTTCTCCCCAGTAGATGAAAACCAATTCTGACTGTAATTGGCAAAAGCCACTCCAAGATGGCCAGCTAGTTGGCCCCTTGACACCAGCAAGAGGGGGCTCGGAAGACATCCAACAATGATTAAGTTTAACACTTTTTCTCAACTTTCACAAAGTCAGTCTCCTGAATTTGCTAAAATATTCATAGATCATCATATTTGCAGTCATACACTATTTCAGAAAGGTGTTGAGATCGATGAGACTGGCAGGATCAGTGCACATATTAGTCAATGGAGAATTTCATTCATAATGCAGGTCTTCACCTCCGATCTGTAGGAGCACGTCTTAGTGTCAGAACAAAATACCTCCAAATTCATAATTCCGACAGGACGAGTAGGCAGTCGGATCACGATATGGAGATGAGTTGGAAGATAAAAGAATTTTGAAAAAACATGCCCTCTCTTGATTGGTGTTGTTGACACTGTCTGCCAAGCTGGTGGGTATTAGTTTGATGAGAGTTTGAAAATTACTCACTTACAGATCAAACATGGAGTGCTTTAGCAAATGATCTCTATTGCATGTTGATTGCCCAGTACAATTTACCAGGAAAGTATGAGGAAGAGAGAGACATATACACTTGGCATATCTATTGATTGATGTGGAAAATATGATATTCATCAACCTTGGTTGGCTCAAATATATCAGACATGATGTAATGCATACTTGATGATGGGGGATTCCATCAGGATTTCTTCCTATGTCGTGCTTCATGTATGTACAGGGCTTAACTGTCACAATGAATAAGAAGATTGTTTTCTGAAAAACTGTCGGTATAAGATAACTGGAAAATGTAAATAATGGGATGTTTTCTTTTTTTGGTAAAATAGGTTTTGTCAAGTGCAAATGGTAAAATGTTTCTGTGTAGGCGCTTTTTTTTATCTTTTGTATTTTGAATACCAGTGCACATTTTCTGAAAATTGATTTTCTTATCTTGCAGTTAGTTTTGCGGAACTTCATAAACAATATGTATTTTTTTCCAAAGCTAAATTCCCATTTTCTCTGACAGACTTGCTTGTAATTTCCAAATTTATGAGGCACAACAGTGAAGGCACTTTGAGGCTGATGGAAATTGTTAAAATTCATAAAAACAGCTCTTGGATGAATGTAAACATGACTCTTTGTTTGTAGTCAGGGACTCTCAGAGGACACTTGTAAACTATTGACTTTGAATCAGTGGAGGACTACATGAACATTATGCTCTACAGAAACATGTACATTGTGGCAGCTTGTCCTGACTATTGCAGGGAAAAAGATACATTTGTTGTTCATTATTGACAAGTGAGACATAATCAACATATGTATTTACTAACAACTGGAATGGATGTAGTGAGATTATTTGTGTGGAGCATGTTTGTGTGATGTTTGAGTTTATCGATACTACGACACTACTACGTGCAGTTCAACAATTATATACCGGTAATTGTAATTCCTGCCATCTGATTGCCTGAATGGGTCAAGTACTGTTGCATTAATTTCCCAGCGAATTATAGAAATACGCCACACTCACAGAAATGATCTACTTTCACCACAATGGAATGTCAGGTCTTCCAAAGCAAGCTGAGGGAATTACCGGGTACCTTGGCACCTACTCGCACAAAACGATCATATCGCTACAACTATTCTATAAGATGCGATTTTAGGCGTTGGCACCAATTGTCATCCACTTGCACAAAGCGATTGTAGGCTAAGATTCACATTCTAACATTGATGTTCATTTTGTTATTAAATATTGATTCAAATTGACACTTCCTAAACATGAAGAACACACCACAGTTCTTACGTTAAGAAATGTTGTTAATCATGATAACGAATGTCGATACACATAACTATCGAGTCAATAGCCTAGGATATATATCCATTCAAGCCTCCGTGGTCTAGTGGTAGAGCGTCTGCCCAGAGAGCGGAAGGTAAGGGGTTCAATCCCCGGCCGTGTCATACCAAAAGATAGTATAAGAAGGTACTTATTGTTAACCTGCCTGGCGCTCAGCCTTATGTGACTAAAAGTCTGTATACTGTGTCTAACTGTGGCATGGTATTTGACACTATAAAATCAGCAATAATCTTGCATGCAACTTGTTCTGGTACATTAAGGTATGAATTGAAAAACTTGTGAAAACTTTTATGGGAGTCAGTTTGCATACAGTTTGCATATCATTTTTTTTTATTCATACCTCAGTGAACCAAACAAATACACAGGCAATCCTTAAGTGATGTAGCTTTAAATAGCTTAGGGTTGAAACAGAAGAAAGTGTGACCGTGTTCTTATTTTGGTATAGCAAAGAACATTGAATTAGTTTCTGTCAAATCAAATGAGATTCTGTCATGTCGCCTGTCATTCAGTCAATCCCTCTGTAGGTCTGCTCATCTGGTACCTTTCAAATTCTTCCCTGAGCTGGCTAAAAAATGTCCAACATCAGTAAGGCATCAATCAAAAGACAAGTAAAAAGACATGATTATACTTGTTAATTTCATGCCAATAAAATGTAAATTTTACTGTTTCCTCAATACATTTTCGTCAGTCTTCTTTGAAAAAAATAAATTTCCCAGGACAGTGAAACCTTAGTATGATATTTATAGGGGCTCATCGGTGCTTGACCTTCATGCTAATAATTCCAAGGAAAAGTGCTTCTTATTTCTCAGCAACTGTTTAAAGCTGAGACTGTTAGGTTAAACTTGAAGAGAATATGCAGGAGATAATGGGATTGTGATATTTTTATGCCATGATCATGAATACTTTTTAATTTTTTGTATTTATATATTCTAATGTTACTGTGTAACCTGTGAAGATCTGGGATAGAATAGGTCTTTAGCAACCCATTCTTGCCATAAAAGGCGACAATGCTTGTCGTAAGAGGCGACTAACAGGATCGGGTGGTCAGGCTCGCTGACTTGGCTGATGCATGTTATCATATTCCAATTGCATGGTTGAAGCTCATGATGTCAATCACTGGATTGTCTAGTCCAGACTTGATTATTTACAGACCACCGTCATATAGCTGGAATATTGCTAGGTCTCAAGGGAGGTACTAAATGTCTGATTAGGAAACGTTTGAACGTACTCCTGTCAAAATGTATTCAGATAAACCAATCTGGTCATGCGTACACTGAAATTGACTGAAGTTTCATCTTTATGCAAACATTTAAAGTCAGAAGGAATGTGTACATAGTCAGAAAGAAATGTAAACATTTGTCACTTATAGTGTAACCATAGAGGTCAAGATAATTTTTGCCATTAGACAATATAATCACTTGACTAACCATTGGTCCGGGTAGTCCTGTGTACTTAGTACCCACCCGAACCGAGTACCCGAGTTACCCATCCCATCCCTAGTTTCATGTATCGTAACTATGAGCATCGGCCTGCTGTGTGGGCAGTTGTTTCAGTTCTGAATATCTACAGCTGCTCTTCTTTGTCATTTTACCTGATGCTAGGAAGAAAAACTTGTATTTCTTTTTTATTCAGATTAAAAGAAATAAGATATGTTTCTTTTCTCTTAGCTAAGCTCAAATAGGAAACAGCGTGTCAGATTTAGGCCGCTCTCTGTTACATAAAACAAGGTACAAGTATGGTATTCTAGTTCACCAAGTTGTAGCCTGGGTACCTATAAGTCGGCATAAGTGTTACATGATACATGGCTTGTTTCTGGTCACATAAAACAAGGTACAAGTATGGTATTCTAGTTTAACAAGTTGTAGCCTGGGTACCTGTAAGTCGGCATAAGTGTTACATGATACATGGCTTGTTTCTTGTCACATAAAACAAGGTACAAGTATGGTATTCTAGTTCACCAAGTTGTAGCCTGGGTACCTGTAAGTCGGCATAAGTGTTACATGATACATGGCTTGTTTCTTGTCACATAAAACAAGGTACAAGTATGGTATTCTAGTTCACCAAGTTGTAGCCTGGGTACCTGTAAGTCGGCATAAGTGTTACATGATACATGGCTTGTTTCTTGTCACATAAAACAAGGTACAAGTATGGTATTCTAGTTCACCAAGTTGTAGCCTGGGTACCTGTAAGTCGGCATAAGTGTTACATGATACATGGCTTGTTTCTTGTCACATAAAACAAGGTACAAGTATGGTATTCTAGTTCACCAAGTTGTAGCCTGGGTACCTGTAAGTCGGCATAAGTGTTACATGATACATGGCTCTCTGTGACTGAGCATTGAAAATAAAAGACAGGTAAATGTATGCTATTTAGTTTAAATAAGGGACATTGACCCATCCCTAGAAATAATGTGTGTTTATTCTTCCATATTTACCTATTTTGTTTACATTTTTCAGTTCCTGCGCGGATTAATCGTCAGCTGTCCACTGATGACATCACAGCCAAGGAAGGGGAAACAGTGTCGCTGGTGTGCAACGCGACAGGTGTCCCCTCGCCCACAGTCACGTGGTTCCGCATACTCTCAGGGCTACGGGATAAATCCGAAGCTGGCAAAGAACGTAAGTGTCTTAGAACATATATTATCTTTTCATTTTCAAAGACAATTTGATTTAAACAAAAATACAAGGGTAGACATATTTGTTAAGTTGAATTAGTCAACACATCATTCTGTACTTGTTTTTTGGGTAATATAACCAGTTAAGGGTGAAGGAACAGAACTACTTGTCCTGTGATCTCTCCATGAAATGAGGAGCAGGAAAGGCAAATGTTTGAGGCATATTTCAAATGAGACAGGTCAGTCAACATTCTGACTAAATATTCCAAGTGTTGTTACACAAGAAATATTGAGTATGCAATGTTATCTGCAAATCAAGCGTAGCCCTGCTGATGTTACTGTGCAAGGCAGTGTTATTGCTTGTGTAGCGGCCATAAACTTGTCGAGTCCCTTAACGGGATTCGAACCATGAACATTCTGATCTGAGGACGCCTTGTCCACATGACCAAAGAGGTTAACCCCGTCAGCAAGCTAACAAGGTAAGGATGTCATCTGTGGGATGACTCCACGCCCTGCTACACTTGGTCTAGCAGTGTATTGTCTTACATAAGATTGGACCAGGTGGTGTTGCCAGTAGCTTTGATTTAAGACATCACCAGTATCTGCAGTGTACATATATATACTACTCAAAGAACGTAAAGAACTCCGTTTCTTTCATATTGCTATAGTTAATGTGTTGTTCCATGACAGAATAACTATATTAATATGAAAGTATTGGGTGCTCTTTAACTCTTTTGAGTAGTATACAACAGCTGTATGGTGTTCATATTGTTGGTCCAGTCTTTCTTGGAGCATGTCATTGTAGTTATGGAAGTGATTTCAAGTGTTGGACAATATCCTGTAGTATAAAGTACTTAGTGTCTTGTTCTTCACTAGTCTTAGGACTAGCAGACGAGTTGCTGTGTTCAATTGACTGCTGTGGACATGATCATTTGAAGGGTATAACAAACAACATATTACAATCTAGATGTGGCTTAGTAAAGGGAAGCAACTGCTGTCCAAGAAATCATTGTAATGATTGAAGCATCATAAAATCTGCAAATCAGGCCCTTCTGTTCACACAGTTAGTATTGGTTTGTTTGTTGTTTAACACAGCATTCAGCAATATGTGCAATCTGTAAATAATCAAATCTCGGCTTGACATTTAGTGTTTGACATCATGAGCTTGGATGAGATTTGAGATACAATGACACGCAATTAACTGAGTCACCGAGACTGACCCCATGATCCAAAAGTCACCTCCTAGGACCTGCCAGGTTGCTGGGGACCTATATACTTACCCAGAACCCCCACTGGTTTAATTGTCATCCTGTGGTGTTGCTACTGCCAGTGAGTAGGTCATCAGCAACCCATGAATACGGTAAAAGACAACTATGCTTGTCATGAGAGGCAACTGATGGGATCGGGCTGACTTGGTTGATGTATGTGGATCAATGCTCATGATGTCAATCACTGGATTGTCTGGTCCAGAATCGATTTCTTACAGACCGCCATTATATATTTTGGAATATTGCCGAGTGCTGCATTAAACAACAAACAAATACTACTGCCAGTGAATATCTGTATCATCCTTCTATCAGAGAGTACTGTGTGTTTGAATGTACTTTTTTCACATTCTCAGGCAATTACTTTTCAAAATGACTGGAAGATTTCCTTTATCAATATGTAAATGTGTGTGAGAATTCTTTTGTTACTATGCTTACTTGTACTCTCAGCTGGCTCAAATATAACCAAATGCTGGTAGAGGGAAAATGAAAATTTCGGACATTATCGGGTGATCTTTGAACAGCCATCTCTGATGCTGTCCTGTCACCAGGTCATATCCTCTTCTGTTTATTTAGGCGTTGTTTTGAGCAGCAGTCTGTGACCTGTCCATGTTTTCTTACAAAAGAGTTTTTTTCCCTTGCAGGTATTGGAGTGGAGGGCGAGGTGCTGCTGATATATAATGTGACACGCTACTGCGACGATGTCTATGAATGTGTGGCCTTTAACAACGTCCCTCCAGCCGACAGCAAGAGGATGAGAGTTAACGTGGAATGTAAGCCTCACATCATCACATCACTTGGTCTTTATAAGAGGAGTTTTACAACTATAACAGGTTTTTTTTGTAGGCTGAAGTATCTCAACGAGATTAATGGTGCCTAATAAAAGTTCAGTTACATAACAGAACCAGTTGGGTTTTTTAAATCGAAAAAGCTTTCAGTAATTAATTGCTGATTTTGAAGTATGTCTAATCATTTAACAAAGGCAAAGTTTGACATGAAGTTTTGAAATAATTGATAGTTTAAGAGACCTTTGTTAGGAGGATGTTGAACGTATACATATAAATCATGTACTAATGTCAAAATCTGAGCATGATTTACCTTTGTGTAATAATACCTGAGAATGCATGTGCATGCATGTTGGGGCAAGCTTAAAGGCGTGCTAAATTCAGGTCAGTTGGCAGTCCTAGAAAGTTTGATTCAGTACCCTAGAAAACCATCTCTTTCTGCAAGAACATCTATTATTATGTATACAACTCAATAGCGGTTAAAGGACACCCAATTTTGTTCATATGATTAAAGTTAATCTGTCATGGCCAGGGCTCGGTTTCACACACAGCACTCATTGCAAGGTCTGGACCTTGTCGGTTAATGGGCAGCAGATTGTTAGCATAGGGGAAGGCCTGGGGTCATGGCTTTTTGTATATGTATTGAATCCATTTCCAAATCTGGTTTTACTGATTTTTTTTCAGTTCCTCCTGAAATTCGACTCCCCAATAAAAAGATTGGTCAGAGTCGAGGCAAGGAGACAATTTTAGAATGTATAGTGCAAGCGTACCCTATAGGCGTCACAGAGTGGAAACGGAATGGGAAAAAGATAGACCAGAGTTGGAAGTATCGGTCCGAGGTGTATGAAGACGATCGTATCACAATTACATTGAGTCTGCGAATCATGGACATTGGGGTGGAGGATTATGGGATCTACACGTGTGAAGCTGAAAACCTGTTGGGTGGGGATGCAGAGGAGATGCAGCTTTATGGTGAGATGGAAGAATTGTACCAGTAGCTGTGTTCATTGTCAACTGTTGTTGTTTGTTTGGTGTTTAACACCACACTCAGCAATATTCCAGCTATATGTTGTTGTTGTTGTTTGTTATTGTATCATCCAAAACTGGCTCCCACAGGAGATATCGCTTGGGTGAGATCAAGCGATATCTATACTGTAGATATCGCTGCAATGAAATTGCATCACAATGCTTTGCAGACCATTTTGACGTCATTGGTTACCATGATGTCACAATCAAATGACATCACTAATGGCTCTGCTACTGAAGCTGTTCGCAGTACTTTTTACACTTAAGACACTGCTCATTACTTTCTACAAACTGAAAAAGTTGGAAGAATGATGTTGGATGATAAATAAAATCTCACCCTCGTGTCTTTTGATATTAAATATATCAACACTCGTTGATAAAAGTGGAAAAAAATCCTCGGCAAGCCTCGGAGTATTCCCACTTTTATCAACTCGTGTTGATATATTTGATATCAAAAGACACTCGGGTGAGATTCTCTATTTAACGCTGCGCTCAGCAGGATTCCATCTACATGACAATGGTCTGTAAATAATCAAATCTGGAATAGACAGTCTAGTGATTAACATCACGAACATCAATCTACGCAATTGGGGTACGATGACATACATCAACCAAGTCAGCAATTCTGACCACCCGATCCTGTTAGTCACCTCTTATGACAAGCATTGTATCTTGAGGTTATGACTTTGTGCCAGTCAAGTCATCAGTCTCCTGTGTTCACTGTTCATGATATTTTGTCATTTAGTTTTACTTTCTTGTTTTAGTTTTTGTTGGTGGTTATTGGCACAGATTGGTTGATCTTTAAGAACAATATATTAAAAGTGGTGCATCATTCTTCTGTTTCAGAATATCCCAAGTATATACCACCTACATCTACTCCCAGACCAACAACTACTCGCCTGATAGACAGCGACATTAAGACCCCCTACATTCCTCCAACATACAAGACATTGGCGCCACACACAGAATCTCCTCCTTATAAAATAGGTACTAACTGGAACTTGAAGAAAGAAAATGGATATGGTGTTTCAGGTACAACATTCCCATGGTCCAGTGTCAGTCTCCAATGGTGCAGTGCTAGTCTACCATGGCCCAGTGTCAGTCTCCCACGGTACAGTGTCAGTCTCCCATGGTCCAGTGTTAGTCTACCATGGTATCCCATGGTCCAGTGTCAGTCTCCCATGGTCCAGTGTCAGTCTCCCATGGTCCAGTGTCAGTCTCCCATGGTCCAGTGTTGGCCTCCCATGGTCCAGTGTCAGTCTCCCATGGTCCAGTGTCAGTCTCCCATGGCCCAGTGTCAGTCTCACACAGTACAGTGTCACTCCTCCATGGTGCAGTGGCAGTCTCCCATGGTCCAGTGTCAGTCTCCACGGTACAGTGTCAGTCTCCCATGGTCCATAGTTAGCCTCCCATGGTGCAGTGTTAGCCTCCCATGGTCCAGTGTTAGCCTCCAGTGTTAATCTCCCATGGTCCAGTGTTAGTCTCCCATGGTGCAGTGTTAGCCTCCCATGGTCCAGTGTCAGTCTCCCATGGTCCAGTGTTAGTCTCCCATGGTCCAGTGTCAGTCTCACACAGGACAGTGTTAGTCTCCCACGGTACAGTGTTAGCCTCCCATGGTGCAGTGTTAGTCTACCATGGTATCCCATGGCCCAGTGTCAGTCTCCCATGGTCCAGTGTCAGTCTCCCATGGTCCAGTGTTGGCCTCCCATGGTCCAGTGTCAGTCTCCCATGGTCCAGTGTCAGTCTCCCATGGTCCAGTGTTAGTCTCCAGTGTTAATCTCCCATGTTGCAGTGTTAGTCTCCCATGGTCCAGTGTTAGTCTCCAGTGTTAATCTCCCATGGTCAAGTGTTAATCTCCCATGGTCCAGTGTTAGCCTCCCATGGTCCAGTGTTAGTCTCCAGTGTTAATCTCCCATGGTCCAGTGTCAGTCTCACATGGTCCAGTGTTAGCCTCCAGTGTTAATCTCCCATGGTCCAGTGTTAGTCTCCAGTGTTAATCTCCCATGGCCCAGTGTTAGCCTCCCATGGTCCAGTGTCAGTCTCCCATGGTCCAGCATCAGTCTCACACAGTACAGTGTTAGCCTCCCATGGTGCAGTATAAGTTTCCCATGGTCCAGTGTAAGTCTCCCACGGTACAGTGTTAGCCTCCCATGGTCCAGTGTTAGCCTCCCATGGTCCAGTGTCAGTCTCCCATGGTCCAGCATCAGTCTCACACAGTACAGTGTTAGCCTCCCATGGTGCAGTATAAGTTTCCCATGGTCCAGTGTAAGTCTCCCACGGTACAGTGTTAATCTTCCATGGTCCAGTGTTAGCCTCCCATGTTGTAGTGTTAGTCTCCCATGGTCCAGTGTTAGTCTCCCATGGTCCAGTGTTAGCCTCCCATGGTCCAGTGTCAGTCTCACACAGTACAGTGTTAGCCTCCCATGGTGCAGTATAAGTTTCCCATGGTCCAGTGTAAGTCTCCCACGGTACAGTGTTAATCTTCCATGGTCCAGTGTTAGCCTCCCATGTTGCAGTGTTAGTCTCCCATGGTCCAGTGTTAGTCTCCCATGGTCCAGTGTTAGTCTCACACAGTACAGTGTCACTCCTCCATGGTGCAGTGGCAGTCTCCCACGGTACAGTGTTAATCTTCCATGGTCCAGTGTTAGCCTCCCATGTTGCAGTGTTAGTCTCCCATGGTCCAGTGTTAGTCTCCCATGGTCCAGTGTCAGTCTCACACAGTACAGTGTTAGCCTCCCATGGTGCAGTATAAGTCTCCCATGGTCCAGTGTAAGTCTCCCATGGTCCAGTGTTAGCCTCCCATGGTCCAGTGTTAGCCTCCCATGTTGCAGTGTTAGTCTCCCATGGTCCAGTGTTAGCCTCCCATGGTCCAGTGTTAGCCTCCCATGTTGCAGTGTTAGTCTCCCATGGTCCAGTGTCAGTCTCCCATGGTCCAGTGTTAGCCTCCAGTGTTAATCTCCCATGGTCCAGTGTTAGCCTCCCATGGTCCAGTGTTAATCTCCCATGGTCCAGTGTCAGTCTCCCATGGTCCAGTGTTAGCCTCCAGTGTTAATCTCCCATGGTCCAGTGTTAGCCTCCCATTGTCCAGTGTTAGCCTCCAGTGTTAATCTCCCATGGTCCAGTGTTAGCCTCCCATTGTCCAGTGTTAGCCTCCAGTGTTAATCTCCCATGGTCCAGTGTTAGCCTCCCATTGTCCAGTGTTAGCCTCCAGTGTTAATCTCTCATGGTCCAGTGTTAGCCCCCCATTGTTGCAGTGTTAGTCTCCAGTGTTTATCTCCCATGGTCCAGTGTTAGCCTCCCATGTTGCAGTGTTAGCCTCCCATGGTCCAGTGTTAGTCTCCCATGGTCCAGTGTTAGCCTTTAGTGTTAATCCCTCATGGTCCAGTGTTAGCCTCCCATGGTGCAGTGTTAGTCTCCAGTGTTTATCTCCCATGGTCCAGTGTTAGCCTCCCATGGTCCAGTGTTAGCCTCCCATGTTGCAGTGTTAGTCTCCCATGTTGCAGTGTTAGTGTCCCATGTTGCAGTGTTAGTCTCCCATGGTCCAGTGTTAGTGATTGGGTGGTTTTAATGTGGGATATGACTGAATGTGTAGCCATACCTTTAAGGTGTGGATTGTTGCCAATGCAGTCAAATACTGGTTTCCACATCCCAGATTTGTTATAAGGCTCCATGATTTCGCTGGAATATTGCAGACTGCTGCGTAAAGTGAGTGAGTATGGTTGTACACTGCTTTCAGCAATATTCCAGCAATATCATGGCAGGGACACTAAATGGGCTTCACACATTGTACCCAGAAGGGCTGTGTAATGCAGCACTCACTCACTCATTTCACCCTCTTATGGCTGGGATGTTGAACTAAAGACTACCATGTGTCAGTTGTAGGGTGTACAGGACTTAAGGAGGTGAATTGGGTTGTCTACCACAAGACTACCGGTATACACGACTGTTCAGCTCATAAACTCCTGTACTCTCCACTGTGGACACTTGGAACATCTTAATCTTTATTACCTACGAGGCCAAACATTTCAGGGTTCATAGAAATCATGTGTGCCCGTGGGTCATATCATGTCATGAGTCAACAATATATTGTTTCCATCATGAGGTCGGAATGACGTCACACTAGAAATGCTGTCATAGCTGAATATTGTTGACATCATTCGGCAAATTGTGGTTCAGCTGCTGTTGCAACTTGCTGTCCTTTTAGGTAAAAACTAAAATTTGTCGGTAATGAGTGGAACATTATATTAGCTTTCGCTTGGGAAATACCAGAATTTAGACACTCGTGTAGTAAACAGTTTGATATGATAACGAATATAATATCCTCTAGTTATGTTCACAAGTGACAAATACCTTGTTTTCTGTGAAATTTATTTGTGTGACTGTTAAAGTGCCAACTCAAAGCATGAACAGGATTAAATATGGCAGAACAACCAAGTGATGTCACATCAAACCTTGTTATGATGTCAGTACAGACTGACCACCAATTTGTGTGGATTTTGTCGACTGGCCAATGAGATAGCTGGATTCTTTAACTATATTGACAATATTTTTTTCCAGGAAAGGTGTATGTTCAGGGGAGTGGTGCAGGATGGCGGCCCCAGACAGGTGTGTGGGTGGTGATTGTTGCTGTATGTGTGCTGGCACTGACGAGGTGATGATGTACATCGCAGGACTCCAGGACATTCGGGGGCTGAATGGACAACTTACCACCCGGCTTAAACTTACATGCTCACTTCTGGCTGTTGACAATGTTCAGCTGTTACTGTTACTTATTGGGATTGCCCTGTGATTGGCACTCATGTCAGTCTATGAACTAGATTACACATGCACAGATATATATATTATCATATGCTGATTTGAGTGAATCAAGTCAAATAGACGGTATTGTGTGTCCTTCGTTGTCAGAAATCAAAAATCGAATGGTATATAATAATTCCAGCATGATTTGAACATTCATCAGGCATTGCATGACGAAAGTTCTACTGATGTGATTGTGATGTGAAAGTCATTCAGTGTTGGTCTCTTTGCATGGCTTTTAAGCCAAGACTGCTGGAGGCTGCAGAGACACTGGAGGAACACACACAGCTGGATCAGGGCAAGTTCCTAGGATCTCTCCAGGACCGCTGTTGTGATTTTGGTCTGAATCTACAACCATCTTGACTGGTCATCATCTGCTGCCTGTAATGACTGCCAAGCTTGACTTGTGTCATGGAGTGTTGGTTGACTCTGACTGAAACAAAGAGGGGCTGTGTCTCAGGTTCCATAACACCATGAAACAAGCCAAAGCATACGAGGGACAGTGTCTCTGGTTCTGTGAAGTGTAGGAAGGACTTTATCTCTAACTCCATAATGCAATGGAGAAATGCCACATGTGAGATTGATGCTACTTTGCTCTGTGACAGTTTCCTGTGCATATATCTTTGTGAGAAGACCTACAAAATTATTTTATGACGTATGATCTGATGAATGCACATTAATCATCAACACACTGAATCAAGATGGTGAATCTTGCAATGTCTGCAGTGAAACATCCTTGAGACATCCATAGGTGTAGAGTTTCAACATGGATACATCTGAGATCTGATGCTGTTTGGGGTTTTCAAGGATAAAGAAACCACAGGATTATTTTCAGCATGACCAGATTGAGTTGGTGTCACTGTTAGAACGAATCAAGGAATACATCTGTATGTTTCAGCAGTAGAAGGAGCTGAAACATGACACTTGCATGTACATATAACCGTGGTCACAATGTCGTGTATATATCTCAATATGGCAGAGACATAGATAGATCCAGCATAATATCAACTATGAACTTCAAACGCTTCATTGTATCTGCTTCTGTGTGACATGACCTGTTGCCATGCAATATGACATTATCTTTGCCATGTGTGGCAATGACCTATTGCTACTATTTGTATCCTGACTTATTGCCATGCATTGTGACATGACCTATTCTTATCCTAACTACATAGGTTGTATACTGACACACAGCTGCGGATTCTGATGGGAACAACACAACCTCTGTGACAACCAATTTGGCCCCCATATCAAAGACCAGGGAATAAGAGTTGTCTCCCTTGCAAGCCAAAGTTTTATTATTAAATATGGCTGACAACCGAAATAGAATTTTCAGAATATTGTGTAGTTAAACCTTTTGTGATTATGTGCAATGATATTATGTGTTCATATTCTTCTCTGTCTCAATGTTGATACAAACACAATCAGCATCAATGGCTCATGGGCTGTATGTCATGAGGTGACATAGAATTATCTCCCTTGCATTAGTGATACATTTATAGCATCGGAACAGAAAACTAATTTTGTTGCATGTATAATGTCTTATCTCCAATTGTCTAGTCAGATATGATCCGAACAGATGTAGTTCGTGAATGCGCTGTGATTTCTGGTATTATTTGGGGTTACTTACTCAGGACCACAATAATCATAATACACATGTACAAGCGTTTGTACCCTTTCATATAGCTACTGACATCTCTCACACAAAGGTTGCTGTAGAGGGTGTTAAGAACACTGTCTTTCATATGAAGACAAAGTTGACGTTTGGATTTCAACTTTTTTATTCAAATTTAAATACAGTCAAACACTGTTGAGTCGGACCGAAGTAAATACTTTGAATTATACAAGGTTTGACATAACTGAAAGTGATAAGTAAAGAAGGAATAAACAGAGACAATCGTAAGTTCAGGACATCGGTGTTTGACTAGTTGAAATCCACAAGTCAACTCTTGTCTTCATTGAAGTTTCTAATTTGCCACTTAAAGTTACTGCCTTTCATGTGATTGTAGCTCCATTAAAGGAAGCCATCTATCAATATCCACAGACTTGAGTCAATGTATCTCTCAAAACAAACCAGCTATTTGGATAAACATTCCTGTTTCTTTTATACAGCAGTAGATTGTACTGTTTTCGCTTTGACGAAAATCAAAAATCAAAACTTATTGTCTGTGCTAATGATACATTTAAGCCTATAAGTAGCTGTAGTAGTTTGGACATCTTGGCTGTGTGTATCTGAACACTTGGTACAAGGACTTTGGGTAGAAAAGTACCATGATGCTAATAATCAGCACCATAAATGTAGTCTTAGATTTGGGACTATGCACCACTTGGAATGAGTGCTACAGTAAACTACAGTTATAAAGAACTCAGAGGGACTACTAATTTTAGTTCATTTTATCCGTCGTTCGTCATACGCATTTTGACGTCGGACATGTATGGTTCTGCAGTGTAAGCTCATCTGTTGATAGTTTCTGCATCACTTGCTGTGGCTTAGTGTATGTAGTGAAATGTGACATTACTGTAAAGGTGCACACTCCAGTCCCCTGCCAGTCTCATGCATATAGCTTGATGAGCCCACCATGGAACAACCATGTTACCACCATTTCACAGAAATCAAAATGTTTCACCTGAAAAGTACCTGGCGTGGTCACTGTCTAAGTGCTGGCTTGGTATGGTAGTGACAAGATTAGGAAATGTTTTACCAATCAAACACAGGTGTAGATTGTATTGATCCAGCCTAAGCCGAAATTTAGCGGAAGTCAATCTCAGTGGTCCTTTTTGTATTCATTGTCCTGTATTATCCTACTTAGCAGCTTATCAGTGTCTTCATAAGATTGTTCAATGGCACCAGACCAATTTAAAAATTATTTGTTTCACATTTTTAATGTCAAAATTACAAAATTAATGTGAATCTTGTTGTAGAATTTATGGAAATTTGCAGACCTTAAAATGCAATGTTTTGAACATGTGACAGATCTGTAAAACAAGAAATTAATTTAGTCTGGCTTGGGGAAACAAAAGCATTATTGTGATGCATTTTTTAGCAGTGTAGCACGAAGGCAAAAAGAATTTGTTCTGTCTCCTACCTAGGTACCAATGAAGCAGATTGTCAAATGATGTTGATTGCATAACAGGAGTAATGATGAGATGGTCGTAAACTTCTTTTCATAAATCATATATTATACAACATAATTATATTCAGAATTGCTTCCCTTAGTGGTGCCAGGATCAGCTGATAGCAGGTTTGATGATCCTAGATCTGTCAGTTGTGAATGTCAGTTGCCTAAGTTTCTTTGAACTTTCCTCCTACATGAAACCAGATACCGGTTATATGAGTGAAACCAAACTCACTCACTCACTCACCCACCGGGTTAATGTGACAAGGCCTGATCAAGGATGGAATGATGCACCTTCACATGCATCCTCTGTCATCACAGCATCAGGGTTTGTTTTGCATTCTTGACAGTATTTATTCATCCTGAAAGCATTGACCTTAAAGAGGTCCTTCATCAAGTTTGTCAGTCGTTCAGTACATCAAGTGTGAATGAGTTGTCTCCGTGTGAAAGACATTTTATCTCATTTTTAATGTTTTAAATTGTTGGGGATCATATCGTATCCAAATGACAAATGTCAGCGAACATTCAGTCAGTATTTCTTTCTGTGAATAACACCATTACATATCTTCGATTTTAAGGTCTATTAAAAATACAAGACAAAAACAGACAAAAATATAGTTTTATTTACTTTTAACTGTCCATTTCTTTGCTAATGTGCAATTTCTGACTGACAGATGTTTTGGGGCCTGGATACTTACAACCCTTGTAACTGTTGACTCAAGTTAATATTGTTGATTTGTGCCAAATCCTTGTACAAATGTGAATAATTGTAGTTTGGTATGTAGCTTTCAGGGATTCAACTTTGAATAGTTTTTTGGTAAATTGAACACAGTCTTTCTTTCAATGTGCTTTTTATCACAGTATTTACTTTGGAATCAGTATGAAAGTCCCATTATCAGAATTCCATATTGAACTAATGTGTCACCAGCCTAGGCCATGGAAACACAACTGTTGAGGATTTGTTTGAGGGGATGAGTGACAAGTATAGTGATACAGGGATTTTCATTATACAAACTCACTTGGGATTACATCATATCTTTCACGGTAGTTTCCTTTCCAATTACATGTATTAGGACAATTATATCTGGATGTAGGTTAAGGTGTTGAATCAGTACTAGTAATGTTTGGAAGCATTGTAAGCAGACTGGCTGAGCAAAGACTGTAATAGTTAAGCCTCGCTGTGCAAGACGTGTGTGAAATATAAGAATGTCTTCATGTTCAGATAGGTGATCTTCAGTATGAGAATTAAATGCTGTGTTTCATTCATTGAAGATATTGCTTGGGTACAGATGTACCTTTCAAGTTATAGAATAATCTCTTCCTTTTTTTCCCACTGAGGTGCAAAATTCAGCAGGTGTCTGACTAGTTATGAATTAATGTTTTGGACTCGGAGTGGAGGCTGGGATTTTTGCTAGACAGAATATTTTTTCAGTGACCGTTTCAATACTTTAAGTTTTAGGGGGCCAAACAATTGATATTTTTTCAGGACATCCAGTATTTGCTGTGAACAAGTATTTTTTTAAAACCTGATGCAAAATTATTTTTTCACGTAGTTAATTAATCCAAAGTATATTCTTGGTTGATGGCTGCTTTTTAGATTTCACCCTACTTGATATCCTTAAATAGTTTGCTTTCCGAAATAAAGTTTGGCATTTGAAAAACAAAACTGTGAAACAAGTCATGAGAATCAGTCTGTAAGGTTACGTTGTCATATAGGTACAGTTATCGAACATTATTATTGAACACAGTGTTAGTCAACATTAATAGTCTCGGTTATTACAACTTCTTTAGGAATTGACCCTATCAGCATTAGAAGTAATTTTGCAAGAAACAAATGGCCGGGAGTTCATGACCTTAACAACCTTTCATAGGACATTCTTCTATGCGATGACCAACCTTGAAAAAAAGATTTTTGGACATTTTGTATGACAGTCAGTCAATGTTCTAAACAATTAACTAATTTGAGACCATGCAGTTGTAAACAATATTGGTATCTTGTATTTGTGCTCCTATCATACATGCAGGCATTGTGCAATACTGTGCTTGTCTTATTAATGACCCCATTACGCATGTTAGGTTGACGTCAAATTCTACACTTATTTCTCATTGTTATGAAATATTGTTCAATTAAAAAAGGAGATTCAGTCATTCACATTTTGAGATGGCGAGTTGAAACTATGAAGTTTCCCAAGATCATACACAGCTTTATCACAAAGTAGTCCAAGGCCTCTGTAAGGAGTGCTTGATAACGGATACATTTAATGTTGCTGTAAGGTTTAGTTGAAATTTTTGAGGAAACTGTTTTACTTCCCATGTTATTTGACTAAACAATATGTATGCTTATGATACACATGCTGGCTCAAGGCTGAACTATCAAGATGATAGTTGACAAAAACTGTAGTGTGTATAGTCGTATTTGAACATTAACTCAATCAAAATCCAGTGTCTTTAAATTTGATTGCTGGATAATATTGATGTAATATTTTCCTGTATGATGTAGTGTGTCTTGTCTTCCATTGTTATTGTCAGTCATGCAGTATTCATTTATCTGAACGGATGTAAGCCTCTCACCTAAATCCCATGTACCATGTGGAGGTTCCAGGTCTGAGGACTCAATGCTTGCCCTAAGACCTGACTTCAATATCAACCAGTGAGGCTGCTTGATGTTTCTAGGTGTGTCATCGTATCCTGATGACATGGACCATTGCTCATGCTTTCAGTCACTGGTTTGCCTGGTGCAGACTCCATTATTACAGGCTGCAATGATATAGCTGGCATGATGCTGGCTTAGGGGGATAAAATAACATTCACTCACTCACTCACTCCATCATGTGTGCGTGGAGGCCATGAAGGGTGGACAGTTGAGCTGCTCATGAGCCATGTTAGCCTGTATAGAACATATTATTCATCACCAATTTACCATGTCTAAATTCAGTTTTAGGCTGCCATTACACTTACAATATGACTCACCCACCTCAGTGCTATCCACCAAATTTCTTCTGTACCTAAAGCTATATTTCAAGACTTCAATTGGCATTCAATAACTGTTATAAGGTGTAGTTTAAGATCGGGAAAACTAGTCTGAGGATGCAGACAGGCTCCCAAAAATATGTCCTACTCCAGGCCAACCTATATTTTATTTCCTAGATTTGCCCACTCAACATGTTAGAAAAAGAAGGGCTTTTCTTGTTTCTAAAAGCTTTTCTTCTTAAGGCCAGGTGAAGCTGTGTGAACTTGAGTTGAAATTCTAGAGTGACAAGGTTGCAGCAGTGGTCTCATTTTTGTCACGATAATCCTTACCCGGAATGATGATATTTTGAAAAAGTTCACAATGGGTTCACAAACCATAATAAATTTAGGGACGATGGGATTAGTGGCAGTTTTTAACAGTCTGTTGAGAGGTCAGAGGGAGAAAACATTCAGCTGAAGGAATAAGTTTGTGTAATTGATCTGGTAACCGTTGCTTTTGCTGCCAAGATGAAAATAAAATTGTCCTGATGGGCAGGATCTGTGATAAGATTGGGAGTGAATAGCGTCAGGATGATAGTTAAAAATGTTGATATTGTTTTACTTTTGTTTGTTATGTCCCGGCAATTTATATCAATGTTTTTCTTGAATTGTGCAAATATTTCAAGATTATCTAGTGCATGATGTATAGCTACTAACTGCTTAGTGCTATTAGTGTATTCCTATGTGTTATGTCATTTACCATCAAATCAAAATGAAGACATGCATTTTAAGGTCATTTTAATGTTTCATTGTGAATCATTTTACTTTTAACATAACATTAATTGTTTTCCTTCTGTAAAAGACACATTGGGTGTTAACTGCTCAAATGATGTTGTCATGAATGAGCTTATACCTTCCAGATGTTTCTCAAATTTTAACTTCATGATCTTTGAGGGTGAAAAAACTCTTGTCACAAGAGTATGTGTTGTTTAAGTATCCTCTGGCTTATTGACTGCAGTCCTTCAGGATCAAGAGGACACACAAAGTTGTCGTGAACTTTAAAAATAGACATTTGGAGTGGCCTAAAAAGGATTTTAATCAAACCTTTCCTTTCTTGGACAAATCTCAAGAAAATGTTTCAAAATTTAGTTTGTTTTTGTTGCCATTTGTTTTTCACATACTACCAATAACCTTTACCATGGATCTATGGATCAAGTATTGATTGCAGAATGATGATTACAGTTTATTTCACCTTAGTGCTATGTAGTACACTGTAGACTTGACCATTTTAACATAGAGCATTGTATTATACATTGTAAGGTTTTATGAGGTACTTCTCAATTTTAAATATCACAAATACTGTACCATAACAATATTCATATGACCTAATGGAATGGCTTTTCATCTGTAATGTGAATCGTCATCCTTTGGGTTTTTGTAATATAACACCTTTGACACGGCCCATGTGATGCTGAAGGTGTGCATGGATGATCAAATGGTGGTACTTACAAGAGCTTCGAAATCCAGTGTTTTAACACTTGCATCACCTGTATTTTAGTTCAGTTTGTTTGTTCCGTATGATGCTACTCCCAGATAAACGCTGGTGAGCTTCAGAGGTATGGTTGTATCTTTCTGTATGCACAAGATTTGCTAAACACTTCTGTTTACATGGTAGATCATCTTAGAACCCTATTATGGCATGACTTTAGACTTTGATGGCGTTATGCTGCCCGGGTAGGCACCAAGTAGTGCACACACAGCAATGTCCCATCCAGAAGCTGCTGTGGCTGTACGGGCACTGTACATAGACTAGTTGTCATCTCATGCATGTACTGCAAACAATGCTCTCAACACATCTGTCATTTGGAATAAACAAGTGTTTTATAGACATACTTTACTGTGTTATTTGTAAGGCTACAGAGATGTGAGAAGTGAGTGATTTTGGTTTAACACCACTTTGAACAGTTATATCATGGTGTGCCAGTTTAATGTGGGAGGAAAACTTGATACAGCAGGCTCCAGTGCCCTGACTGCGGTACTGAAACATCACATCGTCATCAGTCTCCTGTCCATGCTGCATCACTCACTCACTCACTCACTCCAGTGCCCTGACTGCGGTACTGAAACATCACATCATCATCAGTCTCCTGTACATGCTGCATCACTCACTCACTCACTCCAGTGCCCTGACTGCGGTACTGAAACATCACATCGTCATCAGTCTCCTGTACATGCTGCATCACTCACTCACTCACTCACTCCAGTGCCCTGACTGCGGTACTGAAACATCACATCGTCATCAGTCTCCTGTACATGCTGCATCACTCACTCACTCACTCCAGTGCCCTGACTGCGGTACTGAAACATCACATCGTCATCAGTCTCCTGTACATGCTGCATCACTCACTAACTCCAGTACCCTGACTGCGGTACTGAAACATCACATCGTCATCAGTCTCCTGTACATGCTGCATCACTCACTCACTCACTCACTCCAGTGCCCTGACTGCAGTGCTGAAACATCACACCGTCATCAGTCTCCTGTACATGCTGCATCACTCACTCACTCCAGTGCCCTGACTGCGGTACTGAAACATCACATCGTCATCAGTCTCCTGTACATGCTGCATCACTCACTCACTCACTCCAGTGCCCTGACTGAGGTACTGAAACATCACACCGTCATCAGTCTCCTGTACATGCTGCATCACTCGCTCACTCACTCCAGTGCCCTGACTGCGGTGCTGAAACATCACATCGTCATCAGTCTCCTGTACATGCTGCATCACTCACTCACTCACTCACTCACTCCAGTGCCCTGACTGCGGTACTGAAACATCACATCGTCATCAGTCTCCTGTCCATGCTGCATCACTCACTAACTCACTCCAGTGCCCTGACTGCAGTACTGAAACATCACACCGTCATCAGTCTCCTGTACATGCTGCATCACTCACTCACTCACTCGGGTGCCCTGACTGCGGTACTGAAACATCACATCGTCATCAGTCTCCTGTACATGCTGCATCACTCACTAACTCACTCCAGTGCCCTGACTGAAGTACTGAAACATCACACCGTCATCAGTCTCCTGTACATGCTGCATCACTCGCTCACTCACTCCAGTACCCTGACTGCGGTACTGAAACATCACATCGTCATCGGTCTCCTGTACATGCTGCATCACTCACTCACGCCAGTACTCTGACTGCGGTACTGAAACATCACATCGTCATCAGTCTCCTGTACATGCTGCATCACTCACTCACTCCAGTGCCCTGACTGCGGTACTGAAACATCACAATGTCATCAGTCTCCTGTACATGCTGCATCACTCACTCACTCACTCACTCACTCCAGTGCCCTGACTGCGGTACTGAAACATTACATCATCATCAGTCTCCTGTACATGCTGCATCACTTACTCACTCACTCCAGTGCCCTGACTGCGGTACTGAAACATCACATTGTCATTAGTCTCCTGTACATGCTGCATCACTCACTCACTCCAGTACCCTGACTGCGGTACTGAAACATCACATCGTCATCAGTCTCCTATACATGCTGCATCACTCACTCACTCACTCCAGTGCCCTGACTGCGGTACTGAAACATCACACCGTCATCAGTCTCCTGTACATGCTGCATCACTCACTCACTCACTCACTCCAGTGCCCTGACTGCGGTACTGAAACATCACATCGTCATCAGTCTCCTGTACATGCTGAATCACTCACTCACTCCCTCCAGGAGCCCGCCTGGTACATCAACACATTTGTCATCAGTCTTTCAACAGAAGTTTGGCATTGGACACAAACACTCAGTTGACATTTCTCCAAGGAAAAAGCAACATATTACTGAATATGCTCTCTGTGTGGCATCAGGACAACATGAGGTCAACTTAGGATATTCCCACTGTTATATGTGATGCCTTTGTATAGGCTACTGTACACTTTGTAAACGTATTTAAAATAAATGTCAACCTATAAAAATAATATAATAAAATCAGGTTTTAATTCCACCACAGATTATTGCATTGATTATTCCTATGTATCAGAGGCAGTTGTACAAAATTATTATTTTTTCAGTAGTCATTAGTAGTGGGGCAGACGAGTGTTATGGGTTTGATACCCCACATGGGTCAGTGTCCGATGCCAATAGTAATGATATTGCTTGAATGGTGCTTCAAGCGGCCTAGAACTACACTCACTTACCCTTCGATAGTCACGAAGCGTACGTAAAATATATACGGGAACTTTCTGTGAAGATAAACGCGAAATTCAAAATGAGATTGAAAAATATTCTTTCTTACCTCAATAATTGGTTATTTGCCCTTTCATCGTCGTTATTTTCAATATGCGAGTTGGAATTGTCCCAGCCGTTTCCTCGTGTATGCCAAATGGTCATTTTCCCAAATGTCTCTAATCTCTCGATCAAGTTCAACTTCATTTTTTTTGTTTCTCGACGTCTCTAGGGCTTGTTTTTCAAAATCATAATTTCACAATAATATTGGAACATAGTGTATCGGACAAGTTCCAATATTCTGTAGTTTGTAATCCTGAATCCTACACGCGTCCTAAGGTCGAACGGGCGCATTATCATGATGGAGAAATGTAACTATTTCCCGGGACATGCAGTGCCGTAGCCGGGATGGGGGGGGGGTGAAAGTAACTTGAACAAAAAATGAATAATCTTATTTGCCCCCCCCCCCTGTCAAAAAAAAGTTAACTACGACATTGACATGCCTCGCTAATACAGGCCACAAGTGAGAATCAATGACATATAGTTTTTAGCATTTTTGTTTCCATCCACGACAGTCAAACTTACCACGCCATGCATGCCAGAGAATAAAGATCTGGGCCCAGATCATCAAACTGAATCGAGGCTGCCGACCTGGACGCAGGCACGTGTGGAGGAAAACTTCGCCAAGCTGTATCCGAAATCTGGGTGATTTTTCCACCAAAAAATAATAACCTTGCATTCATCAGAAAAGATGAAGAAACCTAATCTTCCGGAAATGGTCTAAAACATGAAGCAGACGACAATTTAAGTCACGTGACGGTAGCGGGACACCTAACCTCCAACGTGACCAAATTTTCGTCACCACTCGCATTATTCCGTAACCACATTCGGCTTGTTGACTAAGAAGGTTCCCAATCACCAGGTAATATATGTACTTTATTGGATGAGTAAAGGTGGTTTTACCATGTATTCTGAAACCGTATCACAACGGTCTGTTGACAGACAAGCCTTGACTTGCAAACTAACGGTTGATAACATGAGCACAAACCATGCTACTGATATATCAATTCAAATGAGCTATTTATTTATTGTACGAAAGGCACAATGATTGTTACACATTTGAATATATACATATTCACATGTTTGTAACATGGGTCACATAGATTTCAGTATTTTCTCAACATAATGTTTGTTTCTAACGGTAAATGAAAAGAAAATGATCACATAGTGTTCCTTTTTTTCAATCCCCCTGGGGGCACGGATGGCCCAGTCGTCTAAGGCGCCGCGATTCGTTGTGCAGAGTTGCGTCCCTTGGGCACGCCAGAAACCTATGATTGTGGGTTCGAATCCCGGTTCGCCCCGATTATGTTTCTAGGTTTGTCAGCACCATACCCGTGCTCGTGGGTTTCACCGAAGTGGTAAACGTCTGAGACCTGCATCACTTCGGGCTTTCCTCCCACATTAAGCTGACACGCCGCGATATAACTGTAATAATGTTAAAAGCGGTGTTAAACCCAACTCACTCACACAATTTCAATCCGCCAAGTGGAACATGAAAACACAGTGGTATTTTTTTTATCCCAAAATTTAACTGTTGATGTGCCCTTACAACCTGTGAAACATCCAGAAGAGACAACTGAAATTGAAAACTTGATGCAAACGCCTTGCTGGAAAATAAAGGTCTTACGACCTTCTGAAATAAATAAACACTCGTCACTTGTTCAAGGATTTACGATAACAGACCTAGTATTGTGTCGCAATCAGATGGGACATCATATATTGTGCACAATTAAGAATACAAACATTTTCATTTACCATGAATTTGGCAATTATTTTACTCTAAATTTAACATTTGAAACCACAGGCTGTACGTTCGGTTCCAAATTTCTTTTTAACGCGGTTCAATCTACAGGTACATAGTTATACATTGGGACCACAGTATCTTCTAATTTAATGGAAACAGACGGAAACCAGATGGTGCCAGGTCTGGCGAGTATGTAGGGTGAGGAAGTTCTTCGAATCCACTTGTCGCACAGCAGATTTTACAAGTCGAGATCATAATTTAGAAACTATGGCAATCTGTAAATGTTCATGAATAATAGTTTCGTAAAGTTTCAATAAAGGTTCAGCAATGGTAATACGTCTACCTGACAGTATAAGTTTTACTGTCGCCTTGATTGAATTTTCATTGATGGAAGTTGAGGGACGTCCAGACCTGGGCCCACTTGCACAAAGCGACCTTAGCGCTGAGACTATTGTAAGCCTATGTTAAAGTATGGGAGTTAAGATCATCTTAGCGCTATAGTCGCTTTGTGCAAGTAGGCCCATGTTTCACCATCAAGGCTTGTTCTCCCAGCCTTAAACATAGATGCCCAATATTAACAGTGGAATACACTTGTGACATGCGGTCATGAATTTCTTGGGGAGTAAAAAACTTGATTCTGTGTACATTTGGGCCCCCATCACGTTGAACTGGCTGTCACTAATATGTAAACGGCCTCAACAGACCAAAATTATATACACTTGCAATGAACTACTCAAACAATGTACTACATTGACAAGTTCATTTTGTTATGGTCCATAGTCAGGCTTAGAGCTTTTTCACCAGACCTCGTATTCAATAAAACCAGTAGGATTATCTTCCGTTGTTTACATTGTTTATATATTCATATAGTATAGAGAATGTCTGTAAACATACGCATCCTCATAACACATACATCATATACTAGTATATAGTTATTGTTGGTCGATATATCCAACATGAGTGATTAAATGAGTTGAATATTTGAAGATGAGCCTTTATAGCCTCCATCGGCTGTTTCCTCCACATGTCTAGACTGGCAATCAGTGCCCTGTGTGAAACGGAGTCCCTGTCGCTGTGTAGTCATGGTAAACACTTATGGGCAGATTGAACGAGATAATAAAACTTGTCTGATAATAAGTCTTGCTCGAAAACAATCGTCCTTTTTGAAAATCACAAATAGAATAAAAAAACATGAACAAAATGATATTACCTTCGTGACATTAATATTACCTTGGAAATACACCTCAACCTCCTAAATATGTCTTTCAAGACAATTTGACAGCCTCCGTGGTCCAGTGGTAGCGCGTCCACGGCACGATGCCCGGTCGCATCATACCAAAAGACGTGAAAAGATGGTACTTGTTGTTACCCTGTTAAACTGCAGCATGGTATCTCAGTGAGCTAGCACTATACATCAGCATCAGTCCGGACAAGTACAAGCACACACACACACACACACACACACACACACACACACACACACACGTGCATGCACGCCGCTGTATAAGTGCAATAATCTTGGACGCGACGTTAAACCCCATTTCACGTAACCACCTTCAAGATAATTTATTAAAACATATCCATACAAAAAGTGTATGCAAACCTGCAGCTAAAAATATACAGTCAAGAATCAAGGGGAAATTAGAACTAAGACATGCTACTCTAACTGTACGTACGTTGTTAGTTGTCTAATGGCAATGCCTACAGGAGTATAGATGGGAGTACTGTACGACACCGTTGCAGATGAGCATTCTACGTCCAGCCAACTCAATAAAATAATATCTTCCAGTATGTAAACAGGATGACGCCATGGGGTACATAAATTTTGTCAGGTGTAACTCGGTGCGACGAGTCGCTGTATACATGGTTGAAATCAAGCTCGCTGACTTGGTAAATGCATGTCATCGTATCCCAATTGCGTGGGTTGATGCTCATGATATCAATCACTGGATTGTCTGGTCAGGACTATTTAAATTATTTACAGATCGCCATTATATAGCTGGAGTATTGCGGAGTGCGGCTTTGAACAACAAACTGGCAAACAAACTTTACCTTGTCAACACTTCAAGCAACGAGTTTCCTTCATTTCCTTTTTAGTTTTGTTGTTGAAATTTCATTCTTTCAACCACAACATTCATTTACGAGTAGGGGCGGTCGGGTAGCCAAGTGGTTAAAGCGTTCGATCGTCACGCGAAGACCCGGGTTCGATTCCCGACATGAGTACAATGTGTGAAGCCCATTTCCGGTGTCCCCCGCCGTGATATCGCTGGAATATTGCTAAAATCGGCGTAAAACCATACTCACTCCAACCACAACATTCATTTACGAGTTGCGTGTTGTTATTATTCCGAGCACCGACCCTACTTGCGTGACCAACTCCTGTCATTCCGTAGATACCGGAAAGATGCGAGTGGTGACGAATGGTGCTTTTCGTCACTTTAGGACATGGCCCGGGTCTCGTGTGAAATCAAACCATTAAACCAACCACTCACCCTCCCAACCGCGCGGCAAGAATGAAAGCAAACAACGAAATAAAACCGAATTCAAAAAGACTAGATGCTGCTCCAACTTCTGAATTCTAATCAACAGAGAGGAGACATTTACCCCGTTCACATGCGCCTCTATACATATGTGTGTATATGTGGATACGTGTGTAGAAATACATACAGGAGTATACTTGTCATGTGAACGCGTTTACTCATGTGTGTATATTTACACCAGGAGCAAATTTGCATCATGTCTGGAGCAGGTGCAAATGTAAATGTAAATTTGCACTGTGTGTATATGTTGCAATGTGAACGTTTATTTTAACGTAAGAGGATGATCTGATTAATATCTGTTCTTTTGCCAACACCAAACAAATTGTCAACAGTTACGAACTTTTATGCGTATATACACAGAGTTGAGCGGACGATGTTTTCTTTTGGTTTCAAGGAGTCTAAACTTTGTTTGGAAAACAACCTGTTTTGTGTTGAAAGTCGTAAACAGACTGACGAATATGTGTGCGTTACACAATTTACATACCTTATTTACACAACAAAGTTGATAGCAAATTTACACATACGCACGTATGTATAGTTACACGTGTGTAAAATTACTTACGTTAGTAAGTGCTGTGCATGTGAACGGGGTAATTGATTATGTTAATCTCCACATCACTGCGTCCATGTTGACGACACTCTGTAATGAGCTGTCTTTTTTTCGCTATGTTATTGATATTTTAGTATTATTGACATCGACGTACACGTTAGGCTTACTATGTGTTCGCCATAACGTCCGATACGGATGATAATGTTTATTGCATGGGCGGATACAGCCTTTTTTTATAAAAAAAAGGGTGGTGGTGCACAATTAAGATCTATTTATTGTCTTTGGTGGTAATTTATACAGAAATAAAGATTTCTTTCGAAATAAAGGGGGGGTGGGTGGGGTGGGGTGGGGGGGGGGGGGGGTGGGGGGGGGGGGTGCACACCCTTCTCTCTGTATCCGCCCATGTTATAGGATGACCATCATGTTGCAGCAGTACCGTAACACACACGTTACATACACCCACGTTTCTTCTACAAGTAATGTTTCCATGATTGATGTCAAGGTTTACAATTTCGATTGCTCACGTGGTTTACTGGTTACCCAAACAATATTTTCCTTAATAGGGCTATAACTATTTTGACTTGATCCCTTTATCGTAATGACAGCAAAACAATCAACGTCTGGCCTGCGACCCTTTTATGTTTTATTATTCAGCTGACGCATATGTTTCGAAATAGAAGTCCAATACCGTCCATTAGGGTGTGTCTTAAACATACAACTCAGACAGCAAACTGAGCATGCGCACTCGTTTCGATTACCGTGCAACACGTGTTGAACCATTGAATGGTCTATTGCAAATGAAACATAATGGCAAACTGAACGCGACAATACGTTCGTGACTAACAAAAGTACTCAAAACTATATAGCTTGATTATTGCGCATATCATCAGCCGATATGAACTCCGTATACACCAAGCGGTAAATAGACAGATCAGAACGCTTCCAGAACTTCCAAAGACGATACCGCGACAATTAGACACCGCATGTGCCACAAGAATCTCACCGTATGCAAATCGATTGCGAAAATATTTATGAACAACAGGTGTGTACAAAAAGATCCGTGTCGTGGAAAGGAGTACACACATTTTAACCGAATGTAAAAGATATGACAGGAAGCGACACAGTGAAAAAACGGTCAGTAGAAATGGCGACATCGCTGCTGACTGTGGTGGTGTTCCTAACGTGCATGGGCGTCGTGAATGGGGTACCGGTCAATGTCGCTCTCAACAGAACTATCCAGGCATTGTATACTTGTGGTCAGTTCGGTCCGGAGACTTACTATAACCACAAGGATGTGGACAAAGCGGACAGAGTCCGACAGGAGATGACCTGTAGTAACGTCACCGTCCACCCACCGAGCGCCATGGTGGACGGCAAGTCGGACACTAAATGGCAGAGCACTAACTACTACTCCATCACCGTCTCTGGGAATCTGTCACTTCCAGCCTTTCCGAAGTCAACTGCAAATTTACATGCAGTAATCTACATCGACCTCAGACAGGTAAGGAATTGTACTGGATTGGACACGCTTTGGGCAGTCGATAAGTTTTGTTTGTGATCGTTCACGACTTAATTGATTATGTCAAGGAGTCTTTATAAGACTTATTGACTCTTTGATTTGGTTATAACTTGTTAGAACCATCTATCATTAGAATTCTATACCATTTGGAAAAAAGACAGGTACGGTTTTTTATTTCATATTTATTAGGTTCTTTAATTGATGCTGATGCATTTTACTTTGTTAGCAAAACGAGTCACATTAAAAATACAGACTTCTGAAACTTGGTTAAATGGATATCTTTAAACCACAAATACATAAACACTCATTATTCATCAGGAAGTAATATTGATGCACAAATTGTTTAGTATACTTTATATTATTAAAAGTGACCAGACCCTTTCCATATTCCTAAGAAATCTTGATTATACGATCCTAACTATATCATGAGCATGTGTTTATAAATCACTATCAAATAGTGATGATACCAGGTGTTTGCAAAAAAGTGAGGGTATCCTGCTCCACCAGTGGCACCAATCACAAACACATGCAAAGGCAAGTCCATTGTTCACCTAAAAACATATGGGAACATATGGTATATTTCAAACAAGTGAATTGCATCGGACATCATTTTTGTCACTGATGCATCAAATTTGGATACAATTATGGTACAAAGCCCTGGGCAATAACAGAAAATGTTTTGTTTTGTTTTTAATCTAGTATAAGAAAATATGGACCTGTTTTGGTGACATTACATCATTATTTTGTATCTGTCACCATTAATAACATTTCTTTCTTCGTTAATGATAAAACAAGGACTGAGTGAAGTATCCGTGTTAAACGATTTCATGGTATCTCAGTGGGCGAGCACTACGACCTGGCATAAATCTGCACACACACACACACAAAGACACACACTAAGACATGCACACACAGACACACAAGCATTTACGCACAATTAACTCATTGAACTATCTCAAGGATATACATAAAGAGGTTTGTACTTAATTATAGTAACTACATCACTGAAATGATCAAAAGCAATGATCACTACAGGAGCAAGCAAAATTTTGGGCAATCTTGTACCAGTTGAGGATTTATTTACCAGTATGTCATATCCTGGATGGAATTACCCATCCATCCCCCGGCCCCCATCCCCCCACCCCACAATGTTTATTCTGTTTAACTATTTAACATGTTTCAATTTAGATTTGCATTTCAAGGGCATTTCTCTGCCTATTCAAATATTTAATGAAATAATTTCTTTTTCATTTGACAAAAGTTAGAAATTGTTGAGAAGTCAATTTAGGATGTCTGTGACAGAGACGATACTATATATTGTTTTCTGTTGAATACAGATTAAAGTAAAAAACTTGAAGTTGGAAACAATTTTACCTTATTTTTGGCAAGAACTTGCCAAATCACCAGATGTGGACCAGAAAACAGTTCTGAAGCTGAGGTTAAAACCACAACTTGTTCAAAACAGACTCATGTGAACACCTGGTGCCCAGGTAGTGCCACAGACCTTTCTACACGACATCAGTGTAGCATGTATACTCTTGTCGTGTGGACTAAGACTGGTTAGAGTGGACATTTAGAACAACAGTGAACTTCAGAAAGATGAGACAGTGTGAATGCTATCCCATGATGTCTGGATGGAAATCGCGTCAACAAACATGGTTGTGTAGAGGAAGCTATATCCTTCTTTCTTACCATTATCAAATGTCCCTGAGGGGTAGTGTGGTAGCCTAGTGGTTGAACAGTTTGCTCATACCGCCAAAGACCTGGGTTTGATTCTCCACATGGGTGTGTTGTGCAAAGCCCATTTCTTGTGTCCCCTCCCATAATATTACTGAAATATTGCTGAAAGTGGTGTTAATCCATATGTGGCGTTAAACGACAGACAAACAAACAAGTAATGTGCCACTTAAAGATAGTGATGTTTTCAGGGTAGTAAAATACTTTTAAAATCTGTTGCAGTCGTTCACAGTGCAACTGCTTATCTTGAAGTTGGGAGATGCCAAAAGGCCTAACTTCATGGCGATCCACAAGTCAGACAACCTTACAATGGGGTATGCACCATGGGCGTACAAGGTCAACTTTGCCCAGGAGTGCCAGTCCAAGTTCAGTACGCCCCCGACTGACCTCCCCACTGTCCCTGGAGATGCTGTGTGTTCACGATACACCCAGAACACAGCTGTCACCTTTGAAACTGTGAGTTGACAGTGATACAGCAGTTCAGTATCACTTTGAAAACTAGAAACTTTGAAAATAATACTGTTACAACTGATGGACACATCTCAAGGTTCAAGTGAAATGATTTCCTGTTGTTTTGGTTCATGTGGGGGGTTACTGTTCACTGTTATAATAATGATAATGATTATTATGATATTAATTGACATTTGTTGTGCACCATATGCACCACTGAATGTGTGGTCAAAGCACTTACTACAGGTTGGATACAATACCGACTGCATCTCCCTTGATTGTACTGTTAAATAATGCCTGCATCCTACCTGATGGTGTTGTAAAATAATGACTGCATCCTACCTGATGGTGTTGTTAAATAATGCCTGCATCCACCCAGATAGTATTGTAAAATATTGACTGCATCCACCCTGATAGTATTGTAAAATAATGACTGCATCCTACCTGATGGTATTGTAAAATAATGCCTGCATCCACCCTGATAGTATTGTAAAATAATGACTGCATCCACCCTGATAGTATTGTAAAATAATGACTGCATCCACCCTGATAGTATTGTAAAATAATGACTGCATCCTACCTGATGGTATTGTAAAATAATGACTGCATCCTACCTGATGGTATTGTAAAATAATGACTTCATCCTACCTGATGGTATTGTAAAATAATGACTGCATCCTACCTGATGGTATTGTAAAATAATGACTTCATCCTACCTGATGGTATTGTAAAATAATGGCTGCATCCATCCTGATAGTATTGTAAAATAATGACTGCATCCTACCTGATGGTATTGTAAAATAATGACTGCATCCTACCTGATGGTATTGTAAAATAATGACTTCATCCTACCTGATGGTATTGTAAAATAATGACTGCATCCTACCTGATGGTATTGTAAAATAATGACTGCATCCTACCTGATGGTATTGTAAAATAATGACTTCATCCTACCTGATGGTATTGTAAAATAATGACTGCATCCTACCTGATGGTATTGTAAAATAATGACTTCATCCTACCTGATATGGTATTGTAAAATAATGACTGCATCCTACCTGATGGTATTGTAAAATAATGACTGCATCCTACCTGATGGTATTGTAAAATAATGGCTGCATCCATCCTGATAGTATTGTAAAATAATGACTGCATCCTACCTGGTGGTATTGTAAAATAATGACTGCATCCTACCTGGTGGTATTGTAAAATAATGACAGCATCCTACCTGATATGGTATTGTAAATAAATAAGTGCATCTATCCTGATGGTATCGTAAAATAATTAGTGCATCCTACCTGATGGTATTGTAAAATAATGACTGCATTCTACCTGATGGTATTGTAAAATAATGACTGCATCCTACCTGATATGGTATTGTAAAATAATGACTGCATCCTACCTGATGGTGTTGTTAAATACTGACTGCATCCTACCTGATGGTATTGTAAAATAATGACTGCATTCTACCTGATGGTATTGTAAAATAATGACTGCATCCTACCTGATATGGTATTCTTAAATAATGACTGCATCCATCCTGATGGTATTGTAAAATAATGACTGCATCCAACCTGATGGTATTGTAAAAAACTGACTGCATCCATCCTGATGGTATCGTAAAATACTGACTGCATCCTACCTGATGGTATTGTAAAATAATGACTATATCCTACCTGATATGGTATTGTAAAATAATGACTGCATCCATCCTGATGGTATTGTAAAATAAAGACTGCATCCTACCTGATATGGTATCGTAAAATACTGACTGCATCCATCCTGATGGTATCGTAAAATACTGACTGCATCCTACCTGATGGTATTGTAAAATAATGACTGTATCCTACCTGATATGGTATTGTAAAATAATGACTGCATCCTACCTGATGGTGTTGTTAAATACTGACTGCATCCTACCTGATGGTATTGTAAAATAATGACTGCATTCTACCTGATAGTATTGTAAAATAATGACTGCATCCTACCTGATATGGTATTGTAAAATAAAGACTGCATCCTACCTGATATGGTATCGTAAAATAATGACTGCATCCATCCTGATGGTATCGTAAAATACTGACTGCATCCTACCTGATGGTATTGTAAAATAATGACTGTATCCTACCTGATATGGTATTGTAAAATAATGACTGCATCCATCCTGATGGTATTGTAAAATACTGACTGCATCCTACCTGATGGTATTGTAAAATAATGACTGCATCCTACCTGATGGTATTGTAAAATAATGACTGCATCCTACCTGATATGGTATTGTAAAATAATGACTGCATCCTACCTGATGGTATTGTAAAATAATGACTGTATCCTACCTGATATGGTATTGTAAAATAATGACTGCATCCATCCTGATGGTATTGTAAAATAATGACTGCATCCTACCTGATGGTATTGTAAAATAATGACTGCATCCTACCTGATGGTATTGTAAAATACTGACTGCAACCTACCTGATATGGTAGTCTTAAATAATGACTACATCCATCCTGATGCTATTGTAAAATAGTGACTGCATCCAACCTGATGGTATTGTAAAATAATGACTGCATCCTACCTGATGGTATTCTAAAATAATGACTGCATCCATCCTGATGGTATTGTAAAATAATGACTGCATCCTACCTGATGGTATTGTAAAATAATGACTGCATCCTACCTGATGGTATTGTAAAATAATGACTGCAACCTACCTGATATGGTATTCTTAAATAATGACTGCATCCATCCTGATGCTATTGTAAAATAATGACTGCATCCTACCTGATGGTATTGTAAAATAATGACTGCATCCTACCTGATGGTATTGTAAAATACTGACTGCATCCTACCTGATGGTATCGTAAAATAATGACTGCATCCTACCTGATGGTATTGTAAAATACTGACTGCATCCTACCTGATGGTATTATAAAATAATGACTGCATCCTATCTGATGGTAATGTAAAATAATGACTGCATCCTACCTGATGGTACATTGTATTGTAAAATAATGACTGCATCCTACCTGATGGTAATGAAAAATAATGACTTCATCCTACTTGATGGTACATTGTATTGTAAAATAATGGCCACATTAGCATGAATAGAGAGTAGAGCATCACTTTAAGATGAGACATTATTCATTCAAGAGAAGCCTGTGATGAAGCTGTCAAACACTGACGCACTCTTTGTTTCAGATTCAGTTTAATTTCACTGCTGTTCCAAGTGAACTCAGGGTAAGATCTTCTATGGTGCTCCATTTCTCCTTATATATCTGCTTATAGGGACAGCTACTGATTTTCACCATTAATCGTATTTGTCTTTTTCTTCAATCCAAGATTTGCTTCTGGGAGAGTCAATTGTGTTTTTGAAATTCATTTTTACAATTTCTTTTAGGTATGCAGAGTAAATCTTCATTCATGTACATCAATTTATGAGTATTTTTTGTATAACGTGTGGGTATTTTATGAAACAAAACAAGTAAAGCACAAACCATAGCATGAAACTGTGAAGTGATTGATTGATGTACTGAGAAATTCAAATATGTATCCAATATTACAATTAATATATAATATTGGAATAATTGTGCATTGGCAATTTTTATTTTAAGGAATGGACAAGAGCCCGCTATATCCGAATTGAGTTCTATGAAATTGAAAGGACTCTCAGCCCAGAAGCGCTTCGCTTTGTAAGTACACAATCATGCAAAGCTGTGAGTTTTCTAGAGTCTTGCAATGTTTACAACAATGACTCCATAGAAACAAGGCATTACATCAAGCACTGTTACCCTGTCTGATTAGTTTCAAGCTGGAGGGGATTGTCTTGATGATCGATGATCTAGGGTATTGATATTACATGTATCTATTTGTTTGTTTGTTTGTTTGTTTAAATGTTCCAGCTATATGACGGCGGTCTGTAAATAATCGAGTCTGGACCAGACAATCATTATGATTTACATCATAAACATCTATCTATGCAAAATGGATACAATGACATGCATCAATCAAGTCAGTGAGCCTGACCACTCGATCCCGTTAGTCACTTCTTACAACAAGCATGGTTTGCTGAAGACCAATTCTAACCTGGATCTTCACAGGTTAAATGTATCTGTTATTTAATGATACTACAGTTAGTGCATGTAATTCTGAAAAAAAAGTTTTTAACAAATAATAATAGTTTTAGGACTTCATGTGTATTTTATCAGAATGTGGTGACAGTCATTTTCAAATGATAACATTTACTGTTGAGATACCATTGAATTTAGGTTATAGGACCTAATTCCCTCTGCTGAGTCCTAGTTTTGGCATCCACTGTAACCATGGTAACCTTTTCATGATCAGAAAATTCTATGAGAAATCATTTTTTGAGGATATTCCAAAGAACACATATTACTTTGTTGTACTGGCCTAACCTCGTTGCCATGGCTGTCTCCCTGTGCTTGTATACAAGAAAACATGCCTTGCATTCTGTAATAAAAATTAATATAACTTTCATTGTTAATTACTACAAACGCCAGTTAAGTCGGTGTATGAAGCCTTTGTGACATGGAAAGAAAGTATTGATTCCACCACTAGACACATACAATAGTTATGTGCTTACTACAAACAAAAGCTCCGACTAGGCAACAGGTGTGAGGGGCTGTACAATCCAGGATCAATATACGTCATTGTCACACTTCAGGCTGCTAACTTGGCAGTGCAGTGTATTGTCATCTCTCATCAGTGGTATTGTTAAATCATGACATGAAAATATATGTATTTTCAAAGGAGCACATGATTGCTTGTCTCAATGACAGTTATTGTAATTTTGATTATTAATGAAATTCAAACAAGAGTTTGCCACTAATGTGGCTATATACCCCGCCCCTGTTGCAGAATTTATGACATAATTAAATCTAAACAAACCCTAACCTTTTTTAACCGAGGTGGAACTTGTCATGGAAATTGTAAAAAAAGAAGAGTTTAGAACCTAAGTCCATCTTGTTGCCATGCAAACGTAAAAAATAAAAATTTCTAAAATTTCTAAATAGCAAAAGGCACCAGTTCAGCATGTACTTGATGCACCTGCAAAGTTTCATAAAAATATATTGAGTTATGCTCCAGAAACGAAACGTGACAGACGGACGGACAGACAGAGATAATTACAATCAAAGACATTTTACTAGACTCTGGCTACTGACTAGTGGCTAAAGTCACAGACTGAAATTATTTTCATGTCATCAGTTTTTTGTTAGAAATTATGTAAATTCAGGTTAATGGGGATGATGTATATAATCAAATGATCATTGATTGATTTAGTTACAAATTGAAACATTGAGGGGGCGGTCGGGTAGCCTAGTGGTTAAAGCATTTGCTCATCACGCCGAAGACCCGGGTTTGATTCTCGACATGGGTACAATGTGTGAACCCCATTTCTGGTGTTCCCGCCATGATATTGCTGGAATATTGCTAAAAGCAGTGTAAACTCATACTCATGCACTCACAAATACATTGAAAGGTCTATTACTGACTATTACTTCTTAACCAAGCCGATATGTTAGTCTAAGTTGGACCAACTGATGAATAGCATCTCTCTACCTTGTAAATGATGGGTTTAAACAGAAAGCTCTGAATGTTTAGAAATAAAAATCAGATCATCATTGAGTGCACTGTTTCATTTAATTTGTAAAAGACAAATGGAAAGCAATTCTAGGCTACTAGGAAAGAATGAAGTCGGTATCTCAACTGTTTTAAGTTGTCTTTTAACTGCTGATCAATGATAAATAGAAATCAGCACCTTCTTTTTAAGCTCACCTGACTGAATCTAACAATTACTTTTGATGAGGTCAACATGCGAAAACAAGTACCTGTTGACCCGACGCCTGAGGTTGTCTGATCGGAACGAGGCAGCAGGCAGTGGACCGGTCAGAGCCCTGTAGGGGTCGGGTCCTTGGGTCTTTGTTGTCGGATGTTAACCTCATCAAGAGTAATCATTTCGTTTTGTTATAACAAAATTCAATCAAAATTCAGAAAATCTTTAAACCGTCCTCTGTTTCATTACAGTAACTTAGCTGCAAACTGTAAAATGTTGTATCAGAAGCCATCTTGTTTACCAGCAGACAAGTCAATATTCATCATCTGATCATGTGATGAATCAATATTTGAGGTCAGTGTCAGTCACATGATTTGGGGGTCTACATCGAAATGAATTGTTTCGTCACGTTATATGGACAAACCAATGCTGGGGTGAAAATCTTCCGCGGATCTGCAAATTTCCGCATATTTTAGTGACCACAAATTTGTTAAAGGGGCACTGATCTAACGCAATTCCCCGGGACTGGTTGTTGCCTTTGTTATTGTTTTTTCCCAGTGAGTACCCGGATGTAAAGCAGAAATCTAGACTAGTTCGCGACCTCTGCTGCGCCATTCGTAAGCGCATGAGTCACTTGTATGGGTAGTAATATAGAGGGCGTATGGTCACATTGATCAACAAAATGAAATACAGTTTGGGAGATAATAAGGAAATGTAGGTATCTTTGTGGTTAGCATCGGTAATGGTGACGAAGTTTTGATAAGTCACTTGCTTGGTAATTTTGCGATTTTCGTTTACACTATTTTGACTTGCAACACAAAGTAAATATTTCACCTGAGCATTGCTTTTTGATAGTGTGTATATTTTTTACTGTCAAAATGTGTAACATTTTCAAATTTATTCAACGCCTAAATATTCAGTTATTTAACAAAGTGACTGAAAAACATTTTCATCTGTATTATTATGATAACGAATTCCAAACATTTTGATGTTTAATGTCATCACTAAGAGACTGAAAATGTAACGTTGAAAAGTACATTTCTATGTTGTTTGGCTTCTAATCCTACATAATAATCTGTTGTGATGTTTGTAGGCCCTTTTGATCGCTTTTATCAATCTGGACAGATTTTTTAGTCAAAATGACTGAAATATTTACACATTTTATAAATTGCCTGAGAGAATTACATTTTACAAACGTATATCGCGCATTGAAGAATTTCCCAACCAAGACGTAGAGAAACAAGGACGAATCGGTTCAATGCTACAGCAAATGAAGGAAAACAAAATGCAAATACCATAATTACAACCTACCAAATTTATGTGTATAAATTTAAGGCAGCTTCCTTGTTCGAGGAATGTATCCGTGAATATCCACACAAAGGAACAATATCCCACTCGTCTGCAGCTGTACAAAGAAACCTATTCGATGTCACGTGTCTCTGTAACAATCACATATTTTAAAAGATATATATCGTTTCGGGATATTATAACCCGTGTTCGTTTCTCAACTGATCACTTGGATTGTTTCAGGTGTTTCACATAGGTGTCAAGTCTCAAGGGTCAGCTGAGAAAGCCCACGTGACAACTATTTTCATAACGTCCACGGTTCCTAAAAAATCCATTGAGTGATAGATAACAATGATCAATCAATCAACGTATTATCAGTTAACCCTTTGAACAAAGTATGTTGGTTTTACATCGGCACTTCACGCAAGGATATGTGTGTATTCCCTTTGTTTTAGTAAACCTAGACATGTAAACACTCACTTTTGACATATCCACAGTGCAAGATAACAGTGATTAATCAATCAACGTATTTGTTGTTAATCCTTTGATGACTAGGAACGATCCGTTGACTTACAAAAAAAGTAAATCAACTGATCATTCACCTCTTGCTGGTCTGCCACGTGCATCTTACATAACACACATTTCACCTCACTTCAAACCTGGATTTAGATTGAATAATTACCCCAGACACAATAAATGCCAAATCGGAACCTTTGTCAGGTAATCTAAGTGGTGCTACCACTAATTGTACCTGTAATAAATTCATTAACTGAGCATCAAGTGAATGACGACAAATACTCAAGTGTAGGGTTATGCGAGAAAACGCGGATGACAACAAGGGAGTAGTAATCGTATTATCGACGCAATCCGAAAACCGAAAATGCTTTCACTGCATGGATACTTTTTTTAGTGTTAACTATAACCATCTGGGGTATTTCCAAATGACGACATCCGATGAGCTACGCCGTTCTTTTTGTCTGTTAGTTTAGGCTGAAGAAATTAATTAACATGCGCCCTTTGTCGAAATCTTAATAGTTCACGGTTAACCAATCAGTGTTTATGCAAAAATGCGTAAAACAAATATTGCCTCCAGGCTCCAAGTTTATTTAGCTGTCTTTGCAGACGGTAGCCCAGTCTCTGGTCACGCTCAGTTGCGTTGCGTATCATCCGGGTACTCACGGGGGAAAAAACAATAACAAAGGCAACAACCAGTCCGGGGAATTGCGTTAGATCAGTGCCCCTTTAAAATCTCATATGGCTTCCCCCTAAACACCCCCAAATTATGGACCATGCTCCATAGCAAAGAAGTTTCAGCTGTAAAGGAGAAAATCCATTCTCATCCCTGTCAATGGAATTGCAAGATTTCCTAATAGAGGTATAACAATGCGTTATACATGTATATAAATGACAAATGACAAATAATAAATAAAATTACATCATTTCTGGAGATTGGAACATGCTCTCTGCTCTCACAACTTGTTGACGTAAATTAGACGACAAGTTATATATTTTTGAGAGGGGAGTATCTCATCATTTATTTCCCATAGATGTAGCTGGGTAACATAGATAAACGCAATGGCCAAATGATTGCATCCAAAAGTGGAAGAGATATGACAATCAGTATATGGAGATATGGTACAGATTCTTGACGGGAAAATTGTGAGAATATTCTGGAAATACCAGACTTTACCCCCCCCCCCCCCCCACCCATTCATAAAATGGACCTGTCTGACATTGCCGAGATCGGATTGTATTCAGTGAGTCATTATTATTTAAATACAATAAATATTTTTAAAGCTTGTACATTTTATAATTTCATATAAGAAATAAATGACTCATGGTCATTGTTTGTCATACCAAAAAACTGTCAGTCAGACTGACCGTCAGGTTGTTTTTCTGTGAGACATTATGTCTGTATTTCAGCGACTCTTTGTCCTTTTGGATCTGAAAGTAATCAAGATGCCACGTCTATATTTCAGCGACTCTTTGTCCTTTCGGAGCTGAAAGTAATCAAGATGCCACGTCTATATTTCAGCGACTCTTTGTCCTTTTGGAGCTGAAAGTAATCAAGATGCCACGTCTATATTTCAGCGACTCTTCTGTCCTTTTGGATCTGAAAGTAATCAAGATGCCACGTCTATATTTCAGCGACTCTTTGTCCTTTCGGAGCTGAAAGTAATCAAGATGCCACGTCTATATTTCAGCGACTCTTCTGTCCTTTTGGAGCTGAAAATAATCAAGATGCGTTGTTTATATTTCAGCGACTCTTTGTCCTTTCGGAGCTGAAAGTAATCAAGATGCCATGTCTATATTTCAGCGACTCTTCTGTCCTTTTGGATCTGAAAGTAATCAAGATGCCACGTCTATATTTCAGCGACTCTTTGTCCTTTCGGAGCTGAAAGTAATCAAGATGCCACGTCTATATTTCAGCGACTCTTCTGTCCTTTTGGAGCTGAAAATAATCAAGATGCGTTGTCTATATTTCAGCGACTCTTTGTCCTTTCGGAGCTGAAAGTAATCAAGATGCCATGTCTATATTTCAGCGACTCTTTGTCCTTTTGGATCTGAAAGTAATCAAGATGCCATGTCTATATTTCAGCGACTCTTTGTCCTTTTGGAGCTGAAAGTAATCAAGATGCCACGTCTATATTTCAGTGACTCTTTGTCCTTTTGGATCTGAAGTAATCAAGATGCGTTGTCTATATTTCAGCGACTCTTTGTCCTTTTGGATCTGAAAGTAATCAAGAAACCATGTCTATCTTGCAGCAACACTTCGCCATATCAGAGCTTGAGGTGATGGCGGAGTGTGTGTGTAACGGCCATGCCACAGGCTGTGACCTCAGTGCACAGACCCAGATCTACGAATGTGTGTGTGGCGGCAACACAGTGGGCCAGTTCTGTGAGCGCTGTCTCCCCTTCTACAACCAGAAAGCCTGGCAGTACGGTGTAGCCTGTGAAGGTATGCAGTCATCAATATGCCATTCACAGCAAAGCAGCCTATAAATAATTGAATGTGGGCAAGGCAAACTAGTGGTTAATAGTATGAGCAATGTTTTCAGAATTGCAGGTGTTTTTGAGTATAACATGTTTGGATATTGAATTCTCAATATCACAAATTGGAAAACAGGTGTTTACGTATGGTGCGATGGACTTTTAATGGTTGAGGCTCTACCTAAGAGCAGAGACCATATGATAGATTATATGGTCTCTGCTAAGAGCATTGAAGTCCATGTTAGCTGCAGAGGGGGTGCCGGCCGACATATACCACGAGGATGCAGAACTATTAAGCAAGTCTTGCTCCCCTCTCAAATCATCAAACAGTGGCACTTGTGTGGGTTGTTAGGAACAACCTGCCACTACAATGGGCATAACACTTCCTCGCGGTTTAAGACACTGAAAAATACAAAAGTTATCAGTAATTTTCTTTAGGACTCTTTCTCAAAGAAAACTTTCAGGGTTGTGAAATAGACATAAAAATAGTCTGCAAGATGATATCATCATGCAGAATGCTGTGACTACCTGATACAATGGATGACATTCTATGTTTCAGTGATAACTCAACCGGTCGGGTTGGTAGAATGTGAAACAAACCAACTAAATTGAAATTGTTCTTATTTATATTGATGTAGTTTTTTTGTAAAGGTTGCACAACAAGGATCTGATGTTTAATCATTGAAATGGGCAGTATCAATGGCACCTCGCGATATGTGCTGACTCCTTTTAACTTGGTGAACTACACCATATACATAGTCCTACAAAACATTCTTGCTTCATCCATCAGTTAATTAGTCTGTCTTACAGACCCTGGTACAAATATATATCAAATACAGCCCATGCAAGTCTATAATGTTTGGCAAGTCTAGATTACTACAGTATCTGAAAATGAAGAGTCCCTAGGCTCCCTTTTATTATATTTTTATTAAGATAACTGAACAGCTGTTTTTGTCTGTACGATATGTTCATTTCAGAGACTAGATGTTAGTCTATCAGTTAATGTACATGTCTTGATGAGATTGTTTTAAAAAATGTTTTGAAAAGTTAGAGTGTCAACCATCTGACATTTGGTAAGAGGAACTTGTTGTGGCCTTATATCGGTAGTCGTCACCATCAGTTATTTATTGTATCTCCGTCAGTGCAAAGTAATGAACAGTAGAATGAGGTTTTCATTTGCCATTTCCAAAATGGAAGTCTGATGAGGTGTTTCTGTGCCTGTTACAGTTTCATTCTCCTTGTTCCAGCATGCAACTGTTTCAACCACTCCACGGAGTGTACGTACTCCAGCGAGGTGGAGACAAACAACCAGAGTCTGAACACGGCAGGGAAGCAGATCGGGGGAGGCCAGTGCATCAACTGTCAGGACAACACAGCCGGTGGGTACACATAGCAGTAGTCACGATGCACTTTTCCCTGAATTTGCTGAAGGGATAGGTTGTAGTTTTTTCTGTGCAAAATACTAAAAAAATCCTTTTTGCAAAATACTGAATCCCCAAGAGGGGTGTGTGCATTATGCTTAGGTGCGCACTGTACTCGAGAAACATTGTCCTGGCTGTTGGAGAACTGTGGGGTCTTGAGCAGGTAAACCAGCGGTTGATAGTGTGAGCATCACTCCATAACAGTGACACTCTAAGGAGATGTGTTTAAAATTTTGGGGGCGTTATTATGAGGGGATTCTGTTGAATGGATGCTATCTATATCCCTGTTGCTTTGAACGCAACGGAACAGACCTTCATTGACCTTTAGGCGCTTGCTCAATCCCACGAGGCAAGAGAGCCGTGCTGGTACAGTCAGGTGTGACAGGCATGTTTTATATTTAGTATGCTAATTAGCAATGACATCTTGAACCAGTTAGTTGTAAGATAAATGTTGTAATACAGACATGAGTGTTCAGCCCCCAATCATGATTATCCATCTTGGATAATTATTACCAGTACTTAAGAACAGTGTTGCTGAAAATTTTAGTTTGGAAAATCATTTTGCAGTTTTTCAAGTGAAAACTAATGTTAAAATAATCGTTTCTAAGATTCATACATTTTGCACTTCGTTTCATAACTCAATGAACATTCCGTGTTCGTTTAAATAAACAGACCGGGAGTAGTGCACTTTACCGGGCGCACTTTTTCAGATCCAATTAGCGCTGTGGGGGCTCAAACGCGCTTCGCCGGGTCACCGGCTCTGCTTATTAATGCGTTAATTAGCCGACGCTCTACCACTGGACCACAGGCGCTATCACATGTAATCAGTGCTCGTTTAACAGGTCTTTAGAATCCCCATTGACATGCATGCGTAATTCAGTAAACAATCAATTGCGCATGCGTGTGACGTCACTGCCCGCTCTCCCATTCATCTTTTCTTGAAACCACTCGCAATTGTTTATGTCAACATGACCGACCAATGGGATTAACTGGATTAACGCTTGAAAAGGTAAGAATTTATGGCTAACCCTTGCCCAAAGCCAGCTGACCCTAATGACCGAAAAGGGGTGTTGGATCGTAAAGACGTGTAAGTTTCCCTAAGACCGAAAAACGGGTGTTTGATGGTAAAGATGTGTAAGTTTCCCTAAGACCGAGAACGGGTGTTTGATTGTAAAGATGTGTAAGTTTCCCTAAGACCGAAAACGGGTGTTGGATCGTGAAGCGAGAGTCACCAGAGCGTGAGGCACGGTAACGGTATAACGAGACAGCGGTGGCACTATAGCGCGGTAATTGAGCGGATCGTAGAGCTCGGGCTGTGCCCGGTAAACTGCATTGATGCCAACAGACCAATGTAGTATCATGATTTTTTTTATTGTAAGTGAAATTTATGTTTATTTGCAGAAAGAAATGACATTGTGACATCTCATATTTTCACAATCTCATCCCCATCCTTCTAAAATTTATATTTCTGGATTCTCAGAATGTTTTCTTGAAATGGCCTCAAACAAGTTTTCTCTCTGCAGGAACTAACTGTGAGAGGTGTTTGCCCAACTACTTCCGGCCGATGGACAGGGCCCAGACTGACCCTCAGGCCTGTGTCCTGTGTGGCTGTAATGCTGCCGGCTCCACCATCAACATACGGTCAGGCATCCAAGGGGACTGCGTCATGAACAACGACACCGCCCTCCCAGGGATCAAGGTATTGTTCAACACTGTCAGTTAGTGTTAGGGACACTTGTCTTAGTTTTTGATGACTTGCCATAATCCATTTGAATAGTGCACCTCCCCTGATGCAATGTTGCTTCTATATACTATTAATGTAACAATATGATTTCACTGTACACACATCCTTGTCACTTTCTATGATCACTCACTAATGTGTACCTCCACTTTTCACTTTTAAGTGGAGATGACAGTATGCAAATGTATATAAACCTGATGAAAATGTGATTGTATACATATGTATAGCATGGTGACAATGTGACTAGTAACATGTATAACATGACAATGTGATTGTATACATATGTATAGCATGGTGACAATGTGACTGTTATAACATTATGACAATGTGATTCTTATAACATAATGACAATGTGATTGTTATCAGGTAATGACAATGTGATTGTTATAACATGATGACAATTTGACTGTACACATGTATATCATGATGACAATGTGACTGTATACCTAATGTATTGCATGGTGACAATGTGACTATAAACATGTATAACATGACAATGTGATTGTTATAAAGTGATGACAATGTGACTGTTTACACATGTATAGCATACTGACAATGTGATTGTTATAATGTAATGACAATATGATTGTTATAACATAATAACAATGTGATTGTTAAAACATAATGACAATGTGATTGTTATAACAAAATGACAATGTAATTGTTATAACATGATGACAATGTGATTGTTATAACATAATGACAATGTGATTGTTATAACATGATGACAATGTGATTGTTATAACTTGATAATGTGATTGGTATAACATGATGTCATTGTGATTGTTATAACATGATGGCATTGTGATTGTTATAACATGATGGCATTGTGATTGCTATAACATAATGACAATGTGATTGTTATAATGTAATGACAATGTGATTGTTATAACATGATGACAATGTGATTGTTATAACATGATGACAATGTGATTGTTATAACATGATGGCATTGTGATTGTTATAAGGACAATGTGATTGTTATAACATGATGACAATGTGATTGTTATAACATGATGACAATGTGATTGTTATAACATGATGGCATTGTGATTGTTATAAGGACAATGTGATTGTTATAACATGATGACAATGTGATTGTTATAACATGATGGCATTGTGATTGTTATAAGGACAATGTGACTGAGTACACATGTATAACATGATGAGAATGTGGCTGAACATACAGGATGTGTTGTGTACAGAATCCCGGAGACTGCTACTGCAAGGCCAATGTTCAGGGTACCAAGTGTGACCAGTGTAAGCAGGACTTCTACAACCTGGACGAGGCCAACTCTGACGGGTGTACAGGTAGGGGAGCAGTCAGCCGTGTCAAGGAATCACAGACAATCTAAAAGTCTTCGATTCCATTAACATTTATGTTGTATTACGCCATCATATCCAGGCTCTCCTCGTGGCATGTGCAACCCATGCTTGCCGTAAAAGGCGAGTATGCTTGTCGTAAGAGGCGATTAGCGGGATTGGGTGGTCACGCTTGCTGACTCAGTTGATGCATGTCATCATATACCAACTGCGTGGATCGATGCTCATGATGTCAATCACTGGATTGTCTGGTCCAGACTTGATTATTTACAGACCAACGTCATATAGCTGGAATATTGCTGAGTGTGGCGTTAAAAAAAAGAGGGTATTTGAGGTGTGAAAGAGTGAGCGAGAGATGGGTGGCTTGGTGGTTGTGCAATTTGAGATAGGTGGCTGGATGTATCATTGGGTGTTTAAGTGATTGAGCGAATGAGGTAGGTCAATGGTTGGGTCGCTGGACAGTTGAGTGAATACCAGAAGGATAGCTTGGAGGTCAGAAGTCAGTTAGGGGTGGGCCATTGGTAGGTTGGGTGAATGAAGGAAAGAATGTCTGGAAGGGTCACAGGGTGGATGAGTGAGTGAGTCAGGGCTAGCTTGTGAGTCGCTGGGTGGTTGAGTGCCTGGGTGGGTCCCTGTCTTGTTGAGCGAGTGAGTTAGGGGTGCCTGGGTGGGTCCCTGTCTTGTTGAGCGAGTGAGTTAGGGGTGCCTGGGTGGGTCCCTGTCTTGTTGAGCGAGTGAGTTAGGGGTGCCTGGGTGGGTCCCTGTCTTGTTGAGTGAGTGAGTTAGGGGTGCCTGGCAGGGTCCCGGTTTTTTGTGTGAGTGTGTTAGGGATGGCTGGGGAAGGGGGGGGGGGGGGGGGATCCCTGTTTTGTTGAGTAACTGTGTCAGGGGTGTTTGGGTGGGTCATTGAGTGGTTTTGAGTGAGTGAGTGAGTGAGTGAGTGACTTAGGGAGCAAGTAATCACAGAAACCTGAATGATGTGAATTACCAATACAGTACATCAGTAAAGCTAGTCATGTCACATACTTCAGTAGCTGAGTGTCACATGTACTATTATGTGTTGTGTAATGTCTGCAGCTTGTGGGTGTGACGTGGCTGGGACAGTGGGAGCCAATCAGACCTGTGTGCCCGACGCAACAGGCCAGTGTTCCTGCAAGCCGAATGTAGAGGGGCGGAGATGTGATACATGCAAGGATGGCTTCTATGGCCTGGCAGCAAATGAAAGTAATGGTATGTTTCCACATATTCCTCTCCTCCCTTTTCCTGTTCTTGTGGGTTCCCTAATCTTGCGGCAATATGTTTGTCCGCTATTAATAAACCATGTGGATGTTTACTTGGAGATATGCCACAACTAGATAGTGTGAGGATGTCGTTCATTGCAAACATTTCCAGAATTTTCCAACTAAGTGGTAAGTATACTAAGTCATAAATTTATGGGGAAGTGAAAACTTAGTTCTACAGGTCTAAAACCCCTGAATATTCCTGTGTCAATAATGCATCATAATTTGACAAGTTCTTATCCCATGAACCTTTTGCTGCTTGAAACACTTTGTCTGCTAGCTTCATAAAGTCATGTGATCTCCAGCTCAGGAGATTATGAGATGCCCCTCCCAACATGGCCACTGTCAAGTGAAAGTCAATTCTTATGATTTATTATATCACTATTTTTTACCTCAAAGGATATAAACCCAGATCTATACACAATTACATTTAGCATGTGTGAATTTATGTTAACACTGACAGCCATACAACTACAAGCTGTATCACCAAAAAAAATAGTTCCTCAAAATGAGAGGTGACATGAGCGTATGTCTGCTCAACATGCTCTTATTTAAGTTTCTTTACGACAAATATATTCAAATAATATCATCATGAGAGGAGAAAGGTCTGTTATGAACTACCTCAGTAAGTCAGTCATAATGAAAGCACGTCGTAATACATTTGCATCAAGTACAATATGTCAATAAACGTATCGGGAGAGATTTCCGAAGTTTTTGATGAACCTGTGGCTATTACATGTGTTCATAAGTCATCACTGATCGATTGACCTATCGTTGAAAAGTGATTGTAAAGATGTGTCCAATGGATACTATGGTAAATTCAGTGATTGCTGTCGACTGTCACTGTAGTCAAGACAAGTATCGAGTCGCTACTACGATACTTTGGATGTGCTTTTCTTCATTTTGTTCTTTAGGATGGGCTGTAGTGAGGATATCCTTGAATAGGCATGCACTCAAACTCTCTGACTTATCCCAAATGTATGCAAAAACCCTAAGTATAAAGGCTCTAGATGACAAGAAACAACGCTTCTGTATTTATTTGTGCTAGGGAATTCCTAGGGGTTTCTCCAGAAATGTGAAAGTAGTCTGTAAGTGTTTACGTCATTTCAAGAATACAGAATGAACGTCAAAATGTGTCATTCATACACTTATGAACTTCATTTTAGTGATCATGTAACCGCCTCTTGTCCAATGTAAATTTGTATATCGTGTAAACTTCACATTAAAAAATGAAAAGGACTTGCACGCAGGTTTTAAAGTGATGTGAGAGTACTGAGAAAGATTTCTTTTGATTTGCCTAAAGAGAAGAAATATGGAGATAAGTGAAGTTTCATAAAAAAGGAAATAGCCTGAGATAATTAAATCATGGAATTTAATATTGGCTGTGCACTAAAAATAAATGCATGATATTGTTGAGCTTCTTGTGTCTTTGCTGTGTAGGCTGTTCCCCGTGTGCGTGTGACCTGGGCGGGGCCTCCTCACCCACGTGTAACAAGGCAAGTGGACAGTGCTCTTGTCGGCCAAACATCCAGGGCAGGAAGTGTGACAGGTACGTACTACTGATATTAAACATTGGGCTTTGACGATGGAGCATCGCGATGAGCACTGTACGTTGCCTGTCTTGGGTTGTCATGGACAGTACGCCTTGTTTCATGATGTGTTCTTTGTGAGTGAATCAGGGGTCCGGAAAATTTAAAATCCCAATCGGACATTTGCATTTAGGCCACGTCCCCTTCAAATAGTGTATTTTAGTACGACTTTTCAAACACATTACAAGTTTATGTATTCATAATATGATGAATTATGAATTGTTTCAATTTAAATTGTTTAATTCACCTGACAATTAATAACAAATAATATCATTTTAGATTTACATGGAAAACATATGTTTGTTTCTGTTATAATAACGATCTGTTAACGTAGTGAACGGTCTAATTAATATTCATGAGTTATATTCATGAGTCTGCTCAAGTGTACGTGTTGTAACATTTGGATCGAGACTATTATCCCATATTTGGTTATCACGTGACCTCACGGGAAAAGGTTTTTTTTAAACTAAAGATTTTTTTAAAAACAAGACAGATAATTTAATCACAAATACTAAAATATCGTTGATAGCAATAGTTGTTTGAATACTTTTTTCATCTGTACTTAATTATTGACCATAAAGAATTGGATATCGATCGTCCGAGAAAGCAAAATGGCGGTCAATCAAGATTCAATATACGACTAGCTACTGAAAACAATAAAATCTGCAAATCCTCATTGTATGTCAACCAAGTGAAAGTCGTTAGCCACTGGCTGTCGTCACGCTTTCGCTTCTTGTCTGAGGTTACGCATCGTAGCATTGTGAGGATAATGAGGTACATCGATGATGCAAGGTATTAATGTACAGTTGTAAACACCTTTCACTCAAATTAACAAGATGTTCTCAGTAATTAATCCTCGATTAATCAGTGTCAACTCAGTTTATTGCCTATTACAGTGATTGACCGATTGGACTATCATGTAGGTACGATGTATTTACAGCAATCAAAACAAACAAAGCTTGTCAGTGTAGTTAATCTTCATTGTATTGCAACTGCAGACAGAAACTGCTCAGTCCTAACTGTTGATCATGTCCGGTCAAAATTTAAGAATGTCCGGACAATACTTTTTAAAATGTCCGGTAAGCAATATTTTAAAACGGACATTTGAGATTCCCAATCGGACATGTCCGGCGCATATGACGGTTTCCGGACCCCTGGAGTGAATGCTGTTCCATAGACCTCTCTTAATATTTATGCATGACCCCAAGGTCAAACTCCAAAACGAGGTTTTCCCCACATGGCGGCAGAGCAAACACCCGGAAGTGATTTATCGCTTGTCTTGCATGTCTCGTTCACCTTCGTTGAGAATTGTGCGAGCACGGGGAGTTCCCTGTCGGGACAAAGGATTCCCTTATAATAGCAATGGGTTCGTCAACAGTATTAAAAGTAGGTATATTGTGATTTTACACATGAATGGGCTAAGACAGCCATAATGACTGATAACCAGCCTTAAAAATGTGTGTAAGCGCTATTTTTAATTTATTTTAATTCTTGTGTTTTGGGGTATTACGGTAGTCTGTAGATCTAATTAAATATGATTATTATTAAGGTTATAGTTTATACTGTGTCACGTATATTGCAACCATCATAAATGCAAATGTTTTTGGCTGTAGATCTAAATAGTTTGGTTAGCAAACTAAATTAGCATGGTTATGTTACGGAGAGCAGAAGGTCCGGGGTTTGATCCCCAGCCGCGTCATACCAAAAGACGTTAAAAGATGGTACTTGTTGTTACCCTGTATGACGCTCGGCATTATGGGGCTAAAACAAGGACTGGTCGGCTCGGATTCAGTATACTGTGTCTGAGTGGGGTATTCATGTTAAACTGTGGCATGGTATCTCAGTGTGCCAGCACTATAAATCGGCATCAGGCCCCCCCCCCCCCCCCCCCCCCCCCCCCATCCCCCCCACACACACACACATGCATGCATGTCACTATATAAGTGCAAAAAACTTGGATGCGACGTTAAACCCAATTTCACCTCACCTCACCTTGTTACAATCAGACTCTATTAAGAGCCTTCCTCTGTCATGAGCTGACTCTATGAAAAGCATGCTTATGTTACAAGCTGACTCTATTAAGAGCCTTCCTCTGTTACAAGCTGACTCTATCAAGAGCCTGCCTCTGTTACAAGCTGACTCTATCAAGAGCCTGCCTCTGTTACAAGCTGACTCTATCAAGAGCCTGCCTCTGTTACAAGCTGACTCTATTAAGAGCTTTCCTCTGTTACAAGCTGACTCTGTTCAGAGCCTGCCTCTGTTACAAGCTGACTCTATCAAGAGCCTGCCTCTGTTACAAGCTGACTCTATTAAGAGCCTTCCTCTGTTACAAGCTGACTCTGTTCAGAGCCTGCCTCTGTTACAAGCTGACTCTGTTCAGAGCGTGCCTCCATTACAAGCTGACTCTATTCAGAGCCTGCCTCTGTTACAAGCTGACTCTATTAAGAGCCTGCCTCTGTTACAAGCTGACTGTATCAAGAGCCTGCCTCTGTTACAAGCTGACTGTATCAAGAGCCTGCCTGTTACAAGCTGACTGTATTAAGAGCCTGCCTTTGTTACAAGCTGACTCTATTAAGAGCCTGCCTCTGTTACAAGCTGACTGTATCAAGAGCCTGCCTCTGTTACAAGCTGACTGTATCAAGAGCCTGCCTGTTACAAGCTGACTGTATTAAGAGCCTGCCTCTGTTACAAGCTGACTCTATTAAGAGCCTGCCTCTGTTACAAGCTGACTCTGTTCAGAGCCTGCCTCTGTAACAAGCTGACTCTTTAAGAGCCTGCCTCTGTTACAAGCTGACTGTATCAAGAGCCTGCCTCTGTTACAAGCTGACTGTATCAGCAGTTTCACTTCTCCTCACAGATAAAGATGGAATAAGGTCCGTGGCTTCCAATATTGGTCGGTATTACAATACACTAAAGTTAATAGTGGATCTGACTGCAAATTTGGTACCATATATCATATAGAAGTTGAAAGAAGTTGAAATCAATATGTCATCTGTCTTCATTGATACTACAACTTCTTCAAGTCCACTGACATATATCATGTTAACTAAATAAGCACTTTGTCCCATTTCCAGTGTTGCCCCAGGATACTTCTCGCCAGACATTCACTTCATCCATACAGAATTCGAGGATAGCCTTGGGGTTATGAACCAGAGAGACATACCTGGATACTTTGGAAATGGATATGCCAAAATGGGGTTTGGGGTAAGGGAAAATAACAGTGGTGGGTTAATCCCAATGATATTATGTATGTTCTATCTGTAACGTGTCAAATTAAGACATTGTTATGTTGCTGCTGGTGGAGATATGAATGATGTTTATGATGATGGTAAGGGTGGTGATGCAGATTGCTGCAGTGATGCTTGATAGTGTTGTGTGAGGTTTATATGGAGGTGATTGGTGTTTATACATATGTGAGATGCTTATTCTTAATACATGTATAAGAGGTGATGCTTGTTTACGGTAATGAATCTTCGTGGAGATGATTGATTATGGTGATGGTGATTTTTGGGATGATTGCTTTTGGTGATGAGGATTGTTAAGGGGGTGATTATTTTTGGCAATGAGGCTTGTTAAGGGGGTGATTGTTTATGGTGATGATGATTGTTAAGGGGGTGATTGTTTATGGTGATGAGGATCGTTAAAGGGGGTGATTGTTTATGGTGATGATGATTGTTAAGGGGGTGATTGTTTATGGTGATGAGGATCGTTAAAGGGGGTGATTGTTTATGGTGATGATGATTGTTAAGGGGGTGATTGTTTATGGTGATGAGGATTGTTAAGGGGATGATTATTTATGGTGATGAGGATCGTTAAGGGGGTGATTGTTTATGGTGATGAGGATTGTTAAGGAGGGATTGTTTATGGTGATGAGGATCGTTAAGGGGGTGATTGTTTATGGTGATGATGATTGTTAAGGAGGGATTGTTTATGGTGATGAGGATTGTTAAGAGGGTGATTGTTTATGGTGATGAGGATTGTTAAGGGGGGTTGTTTATGGTGATGAGGATTGTTAAGAGGGGGATTGTTTATGGTGATGATGATTGTTAAGGGGGTGATTGTTTCTGGTGATGAGGATTTTGAAGGGGGTGATTGTTAATGTTAATGATTGTTTATGGTGATGTTGATTCTTGAGATGATTGTTTGTGGTCATGTCGATTCTTGAGATGATTGTTTGTGATGATGTCGATTCTTGAGATGATTGTTTGTGGTCATGTTGATTCTTGAGATGATTGTTTGTGGTCATGTCGATTCTTGAGATGATTGTTTGTGATGATGTCGATTCTTGAGATGATTGTTTGTGGTCATGTTGATTCTTGAGATGATTGTTTATGGTGATGGTGATTCTTGAGATGATTGTTTGTGGTCATGTTGATTCTTGAGATGATTGTTTGTGGTCATGTTGATTCTTGAGATGATTGTTTGTGATGATGTCGATTCTTGAGATGATTGTTTGTGGTCATGTTGATTCTTGAGATGATTGTTTGTGGTCATGTTGATTCTTGAGATGATTGTTTGTGATGATGTCGATTCTTGAGATGATTGTTTGTGATGATGTCAATTCTTGAGATGATTGTTTGTGGTCATGTTGATTCTTGAGATGATTGTTTGTGGTGATGTCGATTCTTGAGATGATTGTTTGTGGTCATGTTGATTCTTGAGATGATTGTTTGTGGTGATGGTGATTCTTGAGATGATTGTTTGTGGTCATGTCGATTCTTGAGATGATTGTTTGTGGTCATGTCGATTCTTGAGATGATTGTTTGTGGTGATGTTGATTCTTAAAATGATTGTTTGTGGTCATGTTGATTCTTGAGATGATTGTTTGTGGTCATGTTGATTCTTGAGATGATTGTTTGTGATGAGGATTGTTTAAGGAGATGGTTGTTAGGGTGATTCTTGTTTAAGGTTAGTCTTATTGTAAATATTACTTGTTTTAGAGAATGATTGATGAAAATGATGCTTGTTTAGGGTGATGATTGTTTAGATGATGCTAATGGTGACTGACAGTTGTCCTGATTATAGTTATTGTATCCCTTGTCCACATGGTAAATTGAACTAAAGCATCTGACCAACCATTTGATATTTTGGGGGCTCAGGGGAATTATTTAACCACTGGTTTTACAACAATAATAAATTATTGGTTTGATGTCCTGAAGTAAAAATGAGTTGTGGGTCCTTCCAATTTGTTTTGGATGCTTTATATAAAGAAAAAAATGAGTTTCTTACAAAACAGTCTTGTCCCCGTTGCTGCACCAAATATGACATGGTCGGTAATTACTTATGAAGTTCCATTGTAATAGATTTTAATGAATATTTCAGTCAACTATCAAGACAAATATAGTGTTTCCTGGGGGAACAAACTTTAATGGAACATGTGACATACTGATCCGTTACTCAGCGCCTGGAAACACAACCGCCAGCATGCAAGTCTTCTCAAGTAAGTGGAGTAGAAACACTATATGTCACTACATACTAAAATAAGGTGGACCCTCCTGTAAGTAACACATTAAGGGAGAGAGCAAGTAAAGTGAACGACTTCAGATAACTTCAATTAGGAGTTAAACCTACTGAAATCAGTCTTCCTAATCAGAGTCAGCTGAAGTCTCTGTTCCTTTTAGCTAGGGGAAATGATACATTGGTGCACCAGTGCATCGTGAGTTTTCATGCATTATACATTATTACATTATTATTTACATTATACATTATACATTATTTCTGTATAGATGTAACAGGCCTGACATAGTGCTAACTTTTATTGAAAAATGCAACATAATATTTATGTCTACATGCATGTAAAAAGAAATCAAATTTGTGTCCGACTAACCCTAACTTGTCCACACAACAACGTTCTTTGAACAAACTCAGTACCTAGGTTTATTTCCCAAACTACATCACTAATCCCTGTGTTATGTATAATTCATGACACAGGACACAGTCATCAGAGATCTGTGATTGTAGTTATTTAGACAAGATTATGCATCTATGTTTCAACTTTGATAAATGCATGGGATCAGGGTGCTACCTGTTTTTGTCTGGTGCAACTAGCTTTACATGTGAACATGCACCTGGTGCAAGTTAAATCAAGTTCCTTAAATAAGTCCTGATACAAGAAGATACACTTGTAAAATACATCACTTACTACTCTTTTAATGACAATCAGCATTTTTGTCAGTCATATATTGCAAAATGTGTTGTAATTTGCCTTTCAAGTTCAGTACTAAAAATAGCCACTACAAACAATAGTCCACAGCTAGCTTTTCCTTTTGAACCTGCTCTGAAATATTTATTGTCAGCAAGTATCCATGTGATTTGACGTCAATTTGATGGTATCGGTGACCTGTGTATCGTGATACGTATCATATTGTGACCTTGCTGTATCATTCACCCCTACTTTTAACACAGTATATATTTATTGACTACAGAATGGTTAAATGTGTATGTGAACACACATGTAAATACATACTTTCATGCCAATTAAATACAGTAAATCATGAAATTAGTGCATCACCAATTAATGCAAGTGTCGACTCCATTTCCTAAAGTGCATGATGAAATTAATGGAAGGGCCCTGCAAAAGGCTGTAGACTGAATAATATCATTTGCCATCTTCACAAACTTAACTTCAACTGCTTTGCACGTTAAAAAACATGAAATCAAAAGCACGAAATTCCAGCAGTGTTTTACTTGTAAATGTCGAATAATCTCATATTGGTTGTTTGTTTTTTTGTTGAACACCGCACTCAGCAGTATACCAGCTGTATGACGACGGTCTGTAAATAATCGAGCCTGGACCAGACAATCCAGTTATTGACATCATGAGCATGAATCCATGCAATTGGGATCGATGACATGCATCAACCAAGTCAGCGAGCCTGACCTCCCAATCCCGTTAGTCGCCTCTTACGACAAGCATAGTCGCTTTTTATGGCAAGCATGGGTTGCTGAAGATCTGTTCTTCCCAAAAATAATCCTAGAAGGTTACCAAGAACAAAGACTCAAACAGACTTGCCTCCTGTGATAACAGCTTGATAAATTTGTGTAAACAGACAAGCCATGCCTGACATGGAAGCTGGCGAGAAGCACTGTCTAAATCCAGCATTCAGTTACATTGTTTATTGTGAGCTTTCTTATATGTCATTGTTTCCACCCCTGTGCAGTGAACTGGACATGACAATATGTCCAGATAAAGATGTGTCACGTTTTAAATACAAGCAAGGGACACTTGCATATTTTGCATTAATTTCATGATGAAGATCAACATAGAAGACTGACTTTAAAGTGGAACATTACCTTATGCCATGTTTAGGTCTTGCTTTCATCTTCATGTGTTCGTTCATGGATATGTTTCTTATTGTTTCTTTGTAGATGACCCCCGACCAATGACTATACAATTCCCTGCGTGTCCTGACCGCTGGTGCTATGAGCATACCATAAACTACAGGACACCAATTCTCCAACCCAGTACTCAACTGTGTACATTCATAGTTCTGGGCACCTTGTACCTGGTAGGTTCATGGGAGATTATTCTCAGATGTGAAACCATGGGGATTATGTTCAGGGGAGATTACTCCCAGATGTGAAACCATGGGGATTATGTTCAGGGGAGATTACTCTTAGATGTGAAACCATGGGGATTATGTTCAGGGGAGATTACTCTTAGATGTGAAACCATGGGGATTATGTTCAGGGGGGAGTTCTCTCATATTCTGAAACCATGGGGATTATGTTCAGGGGAGATTACTCTTAGATGTGAAACCATGGGGATTATGTTCAGGGGAGATTACTTTCAGATGTGAAACCATGGGGATTATGCTTTGGGGAGTTGACTCATTCTGAAAAGTTTATATATATTCAGGCAGATTGTTTGTTTGTTGTTTAACGCCACACTTAGCGATATTCCAGCTGTATGATGGTCTGCAAATAATTGAATCTGGACCAGACAATCCAGTGATTGACATCATGAGCATCAATCGGCGAAAATTGATATGATGACATGCATCAAGCAAGTCAGCTAGCCTGACCACCCGATCCCATTAGTCGCCTCTTACGACAAGCATGGGTTGCTGAAGACCAATTCTAACCCGTGAATCTTCAAAGGACACATTGTCATAAACCTATAAAATCAATTGCCTGAAGCTATGACTCCTTTAGGATATCAAAGTCTGCATTCTGCAAGTTGTATGCTAATAGCAGTTGACATGATCTACCAGTTGGAATTGAGGTCAATACTTCCATTACTATTGCCAGCTTATAGTGTGAAACCATTACCCGCGATATTCATTATTTCTGCAAATTTAAACATGGCAAGCGTAACAGGAAATACAACAGAAAATGTAAACAAATTATCACAAAATTCACATTTCATCCAGTTGATTAATGTAGGAAAACAGCTGAAATTTCATCTTAGCAAGTGGCTTTATCTTATTTACTTGTCCTTGAAATTTAACAAAAATAAACAATAAAGTGATGGCTAACCTGGTATTCCTAAGAATAACAACTGTGCATAGGCTCCCCAGTATTCCTGGACAAGACATCTTGCTGATGTAGGACCCACACATGTTCATGACACCTTCTGTGTGTATTGTTTACAGGATCGACTGATAAGTGTCCCTATTGAGCTCACCCAAACAGAACAACTGCTCAACACCAAAGACTTCGACCAAAAATGTGATGTCGTCACCAATGACATGAAGTATGTGTGTGTTTACTTTATCCTCGTATGTTCAACATCATGTACGTACACAGTGTTGCAGTGTCACAAACCTTGCAATATATATGTGTGTCTGAGTCTGAGTCTGTGTCTGTGTCTGAGTCTGTGTCTGTGTCTGAGTCTGTGTGTGTGTGTGTCTGTGTCTGAGTCTGAGTCTGTGTGTCTGTGTGTCTGAGTATGTGTCTGTGTCTGAGTCTGTGTCTGAGTCTGTGTGTGTGTGTCTGAGTCTGTGTCTGAGTCTGTGTCTGAGTCTGTGTGTCTGAGTCTGTGTGTGTGTGTCTGTGTCTGAGTCTGTGTCTGTGTCTGTGTGTCTGAGTATGTGTCTGTGTCTGAGTCGGTGTCTGAGTCTGTGTCTGTGTCTGAGTCTGTGTGTGTGTGTCTGAGTCTGAGTATGTGTGTCTGTGTCTGAGTCTGAGTCTGTGTGTCTGTGTCTGAGTCTGTGTCTGAGTCTGTGTCTGTGTCTGAGTCTGTGTCTGAGTCTGTGTGTGTGTCTGAGTCTGTGTCTGTGTCTGTGTCTGAGTCTGTGTGTGTGTGTGTGTGTGAGTCTGAGTATGTGTGTCTGAGCCTTAGTCTGTGTCTGTGTGTCTGAGTCTGCGTCTGTGTGTCTGAGTCTGAGTATGTGTCTGTGTCTTCTGTCTGCACATTCTCATCAACAGTTGGTATCCTCCAGTAATCAACGAGTCTGTTTGTAATCATTGTGTTTCTGGAACATTATCCATTCAATATTTGTTCACAGAACAGTGCTTTTTGCCATTAAGTGATATCTATATTTGTTATTTTCATGGAAGCAACAAAACTTAAACTCAACTCACCACATGTTTATTTGAAATAAGGGTCTGAAATTCATTTATATTGAATCTTACTCAAACACAAGCTGTCAGATCAGTGTAATAGATCTGATGTTAATGAAATTGAATGTAAAGTTGAATCTGTTTGGGGAACTCATCCAGAAAACTGTGCAGAGAGAGCTTTTGTTTTATCTGACAATAATTTTCTTCTTTGGGACAATTGTCATATAAGTGGTCTTGGTCTTCCTAGGAATGGAACTGCTGATGAGGGCACCTGCAAGGCTGGCTGGTTCTCACTGATGAGCTACTACCTTAACGGCCCACGGAGTTGTGACTGCAGCCAGCTAGGCAGGTCCGCTGCATCCTGTGATCCCTTTGGTGGGCAGTGCCAGTGTAAGGGTGGAGTGACAGGAAGGGCGTGTGACAAGTGCCAGGCCGGCTTCTACCAGCTCACTGATGCTGGCTGTTCAAGTAAGCTGAATTCACAGACAATGTGTTTGTTTTAAACATATTTCATTGATATAAAGGTCAGTAGGAATATCATGCGTCCCTCCACCTTACACCCCCTACTTTCCAATTTCCAAATTTCTCAAAATTTAAAAAAGCAACCTTAGCGCCCCCCAGGTTGTGCCTCACCTTTCGGACACACCCTCCTTGGCAATCTCACTAAATGGCCTGGTGGGCCCGTGTCCGAAATACTTATAATGTTTGAAAGCACACGTTAAATCTCCAATAGTAAGCAAGTAATATCATGCTGAACAAATAAACCTGTGACAGTAACAGTGTCGTTATGAAGAATGGACACATTTACCCAATAGGGTTAGAATAGGTCCCCTATTGCTTGTCACCGTGATGACCTAGGTTTAATCAGATTAGGTCCCAACATTCTCATGCTTGTCATAAGAGGTGCATAAACTGGACCAGACTTGCTAATTGTTTTGACCACTGGTTCGTTAGGCCCAGACTAGAGTATGATACAGCTGAAATATTGCTGACATGTAACAACAAGGAAAGAAAACCAACATTTATTGTCAGCAATGGTGAGTTCCTGCAATGTAATGCTGGCTTGTTCTTCAGCAACCCATTGCGCTGATCAGCTTTATAATAATCATGACAAGTTAGTGATTTCAGCTGATGTTCACTGATGCAACTTTCTCCTCATCCAGGCTGCAACTGTGCGTCCAGCAGTGTAGTGTGTGATGCAGTGACGGGCCAGTGTGACTGTCCTCCCAACACTATCGGCCTCCGATGTGACTTGTGTGACTTCAACATGTGGGGCTGGAATGCAACAACTGGATGCAAGGTCCAATCACTCACCTACGTGTCACCTTTTGTCACCTGCTATCATTCTTAATTCCTGACAACTTCCTGTCATATATTCCTTTTCTGTCACTGTCCTGTCACATCCACCCACTTCCTGTCACATCCACCCAAATCCTGTCACATACTACCACTTCCTGTCACATTCACCCACTTCCTGTCACATTCACCCACTTCCTGCCACATCCTACCACTTCCTGTCACATTCACCCACTTCCTGTCACATTCACCCACTTCCTGTCACATCCACCCACTTCCTGCCACATCCACCCACTTCCTGTCACATTCACCCACTTCCTGTCAAACCCATCCACTTCCTCTCAGATCCACCCACTTCCTGCCACATCCACCCACTTCCTGTCACATTCACCCACTTCCTGTCACATTCACCCACTTCCTGTCACATCCACCCACTTCCTGTCACATTCACCCACTTCCTGTCACATTCACCCACTTCCTGTCACATTCACCCACTTCCTGTCACATCCACCCACTTCCTGTCACATTCACCCACTTCCTGTCACATTCACCCACTTCCTGTCACATTCACCCACTTCCTGTCACATTCACCCACTTCTTGTCACATCCACCCACTTCCTGTCACATCCACCCACTTCCTGCCACATCCACCCACTTCCTGCCACATCCACCCACTTCCTGTCACATTCACCCACTTCCTGTCACACCCACCCACTTCCTGTCACATCCACCCACTTCCTGTCACATTCACCCACTTCCTGTCTCATCCACCCACTTCCTGTCACATTCACCCACTTCCTGTCACACCCACCCACTTCCTGTCACATCCACCCACTTCCTGTCACATTCACCCACTTCCTGTCTCATCCACCCACTTCCTGTCACATCCACCCACTTCCTTTCACATCCACCTACTTATATCAAGTCTATCAAGTACTGATAAGTCTTAATTGATGTTGATATTTTTATAAGTACATCAAGAACTGATACATCTTCCAGAGAGTTAACTGACTATGGAAGTCCAGTTTCCACCCTTGCCGAACTAGGCTAGAAAATCTGGGCTCAATCGTCGTGCCACCAGTGGCTATCATAAGTTATGTTCGTTCTATGTCCTTCCTATTGACCAATGATATTCTACCTCTCATATCACTTGCATTAGCTTCAAACAAAATGGTGTCGCCCATTCAAAACAAACTAATCGATAATCAAAATCGATATTGTAATAAAAATTGCATCAAATCACATGAGCACCTTGATTAAAAACAAAACAAAATCTGGAAATATTTATGCTAATGCCAAGCTGGCATGTACACATGTTTTGCAAGTCCTACGATCAACTGAAATATGCACAGCAGTTTACGCATGTGCTTTTTGTTATGCGATTTGATTGGATTACGCACTCGTTGGTCCAGCCAAAATATTACTTCATATTTCCAGCCTAGTTTGGCAAGAGCGACCACTGGACCTTTATAGTCAGTTACTCCTTGCCGTGGGAAGATGGTACTGTTAACTCTGAATTGATGTTGGTATTTTTGTAAGTATATCAAGTACTGATAAATCTGTGTTGTATGACAACAGGAATGCAACTGCAACACCACCGGATCCCAGCGGACATGGTGTAACAGCACGACTGGGGTGTGTTCCTGTAAGACAGGTGTACAGGGAGACAAGTGTCATGAGTGTGCGGACACGTTCACCGGCTTCAGCAGCCTGGGATGCAGTCCCTGCAACTGTGACAGCACCGGCTCCAACTCCACTGTGTGTTACAAGGCAACAGGTCAATGTTCCTGCAAGGTGAGCAGTTCTTGTCGTGGGCAACACTGCCTGGATTATTAAACACTTTCAGTCAGTGACAGGCACAGGGGTAATAGAGTAATAGTGAGGGCATCGGAAATGGGTTTCACACATTGACCCATGTGGGAAGGCAAACACTTCCGCCACTTGGTTCCTCGAATGCCTCTCGGGGCGATTGGGTAGCCTAGTGGTTAAAGCGTTCGCACATCATGCCGAAGACCCGGGTTCGATTCCCGACATGGGTACAATGTACAATGTACAATTTCTGGTGTCCCCCGCCGGGATATTGCTGGAATATTGCTAAAAGCGGCGTAAAACCATACTCACTCACTCACTCAAATGCCTGTCTTACTGGATACAGTGAATGTAGGACCTGACTTGATGATGTGAATGTGTTGACTGGACATAGTGAATGCAGGACCTGACTTGATGATGTGAATGTGTTGACTGGACATAGTGAATGCAGGACCTGACTTGATGATGTGAATGTGTTGACTGGACACAGTGAATGTAGGACCTGACTTGATGATGTGAATGTGTTGACTGGACACAGTGAATGTAGGACCTGACTTGGTGATGTGAATGTGTTGGCTGGACATATTGAATGCAGGACCTGACTTGACGATATGAATGTGTTGACTGGACAGAGTGTCCTCTGACCTGACTTGATGATGTTGATGTGTTGACTGGACACAGTGAATGTAGGACCTGACTTGACGATGTGAATGTGTTGGCTGGACACAGTGAATGTAGGACCTGACTTGATGATGTTGATGTGTTGACTGGACACAGTGAATGTAGGAACTGACTTGATGATGTTGATGTGTTATGCTTCAGGCCAATGCTGAGGGGTTGCTGTGCAACCAGTGTAAAGCAGGATCCTTCTATCTCCATAGCAACAATACTAAAGGCTGTCTTGACTGTGTATGCACAGGCATCACGTCCCAGTGTTCCAGCTCCACAAGCAGACAGGAGTTGGTATGTACACACACGGCTCCATTTTAATAGTCGTAGAATAGTTCATGCAGGATAATGTGATTTTGAATAATGCATCATAATATTTCTAAAAAGGAACCCCTAGCATCTTCACAATATTGTCCATAACATTTTGACGTCAGGTGTGTCATAGGCAGAAGATGTATGTCTTGTTATTGAATCCAACAGTACTGAAGATTCTCCTATGCTGATCAAATTGAGTTTCAGGGTTGTGCAGCTCTCTTTCAGAAACAGACTAGACATGTCTCCATTGGGACAAATGACATACCGTATTCGACGTAATAAGCACCCAGGGCGCTCTCAAAATTAGAAATATGGGGCTCTTATTAGAATATTATTTTGGTGGGAAAAAACAGAGTGGAAAGATCAATTTCGTGGTTTATGCTGACGTGATTAGTAAATATCGCCGTGGGCGCATATTAGAGCGGGGCGCTTATTACGTCGAATACGGTACTCATTTACATTGATGATATATTTTCAACAAATAGCATGACCACCATGAATTCGTCAAGCCTTGTATGTTTATAATTTGTGATCACAATATGCACCCCTTCTTTTCCTGCAAAGCTACAGCTATGTGGGGTCCTTCAGTATAGAAGTTTCTGTTAAATGTCAAAATTCAATCTTGATGTGCTCCAAAAACTGGATTTCCTATTTCAGAAAACTGCCACACTTGTTGAGTCATCTCAAGGACAGCTGACACCGACAGTATCAGTGGCAGATAAAGATGGTGTTACCAACGCATCCCAGTTGGTGACCTCTTTCACCGATCCAGCCACGAACCACGTGTCTGTCAGGACAGTCATAAGTCCAGCAGGCAATGTGTATTGGAGAGTTCCACAGCTCACAGGGTCACTGCTGCCCGTCTACGGGACCACCATCAAGGTTGAGGTCAAGGTCGAGCCTGTTGTAGCAGCGGGAACCCCAGCAGCAACAACAGCAATTTTGATTGGACGAGACAAGAGGCGACTTGTACATGACATTAATGCTCTGGCGGTGAATGTTACAGCCAAAATCGACATAGGCTTGATAGAGACCCAGTGGAAGTGGGAAAATGGTTCTGCCGTTACAAGGGGACAATTTTTGCTCGCTCTTACAAACGTTGAAGTCATTTTGGTTCCTGCTGCTTTCACAGACACAGATCATGTGTCTTAGTAAGTTCTATGCTATATTCTGTTTTCACAGACACAGATCATGTGTCTTAGTATGTTCTATGATATATGCTGCTTTCACAGACACAGATCATGTGTCTTAGTATGTTCTATGATATATGCTGCTTTCACAGTCACAGATCATGTGTCTTAGTATGTTCTATGATATATGCTGCTTTCACAGACACAGATCATGTGTCTTAGTATGTTCTATGATATATGCTGCTTTCACAGACACAGATCATGTGTCTTAGTATGTTCTATGATATATGCTGCTTTCACAGACACAGATCATGTGTCTTAGTAAGTTCTATGATATATGCTGCTTTCACAGCCAAAGATGATACAAACTACCGGTACAACAAAATTGTGATAATGCAATACAAAAGTTGAAAGTGCAATATTATTCACATACATTTCCCGCTTTGAATACACCTTTATTTTTGGAGCAAATGGAAAGATAAGAGGTCAGTTTAGCTCAAATGAACAATTCAGCCTTAACAGATATTCTCCAGCAAAACATTCTTTATGGTATACAAACTGTGATTTCCACAGCTATTCAAAGCCAAACTGAAGAAGGAATTTTGAGAACCATTTATATTTACATTTATTATTTGCTTGTAATAGCATTTGAAAATATTTTTTGTGATATCTTAAATTGGGCATATTCATTAATTTAGTCCAATAGGTCAGTACTCATGTATGTGCAAAACCACATTGAGGATATCTTCCACATTTGCCAAAAGCAATGTGATTCGGCATTGACGACTATAGTCCTTGAAATAGAATCGCGAAATATATTACCGTATTCGACGTAATAAGCGCCCCGCTCTAATAAGCGCCCACGGCGACATTTGCTAAAATATTGGCTAGTGAACAATCCCAATTAGAACCCCTTCCGATTGATCAATGTACACAAGACTTATTTATTCGCGTATAATACGCACTCATGTTTTATATGCACCTTTAATTATGGGCATTTAATTCTGGAAAAATATATCTGTCGTACATAAACATTTCAGGCCGTCAGCATAAACCACGAAATTTATCTTTCAACTCTGTTTTTTTCACCAAAATAACATTCTTATAAGAGTTCCCTGTTTCTAATTTTGAGAGAGCCCTGGGCGCTTATTACATCGAATACGGTAATTAACAAAGACAGCTGCACGTGTGCTGGTAATAATAAGGTGAAAACTTTATCTGACGATAAGAAATATTACATAGAGTAATGACCAAAATTGCAAAGTTTGCTTCTCAAGAAATACCCATTTTACTATCGATAACTATCATTTCTGATCACGTTACAATTCAGGCTTAGATTGGCAGTCAGTTGACTTCGAGCAGCTATATTTAACTGCATGTGCAGTGTACGTACATTACCAGCACAAACTGAAAGTAAAAATCGTGCAGATTGCTATTAACCAAGTTCAAATGCACGCAATGCTAAATATAATCACTGGAAGTCACCTGACTGCCGATCCGTACCCAGATTGTAACCATGTGATCAAAACTCAATGATGTTTATCCCTACCAAAATTGCCGTAATGGCTTGTTTTAAATTTTATAAGTATTGGAATTAATGCGTCAATGTTCGTTAATTTATAATTGCAATATTTTGTGATTCTATTTCAAGTGATGAGGACTATAGGGATCGTTAATATGCCAGCATGTGGATGGTTTCAAAACTTCATTAGCCCATAATAAAGTTTTACTTAAAGTAACGGCCAAATATTAATAAAATGACAAAGATTCAGTTTTTTCACCTTCATAAAACCATTTTTCATTTTTTAACTGGAAACCTCCCTATTAGTTTAGTTAGCTTTTCACTGATATTACATAAAACACTTTATAGAATTATTTTTCTTCTTTTGCAAACCAGAAACTTTATCCTGATAATAAGGAGGGTGTGCAGGATTTGACTAGCTGAATATTCTTGTCTGCACTTTGACCTAGCTGTCGTCTCGTGTTGTACAAGTCCCTTCTTAACTATAAACCTTCTATCATTGCAGCTTGTCACGTCTTGAGTACAGTTTGGATGGCGCTGTGGGCCTTGTAGCAAGTAGTGTGGAGAAATGTGAATGTGGAACAGGATATACAGGACTGTCGTGCGAGGTTTGTAACATTGTGGTGCATGATAATCACTGCTGAGCAGAAAGGGAAGTACTAAGGACAAACAAAGGAGAACAATTTTTTGTTGTTTGATGGCCCAGTGGTTGTTGTGCTTATGTACTTCAGCAGACAAACAATATTTTGTTAAACCAGAAGTATAAGGCTTAAAAAAATAAAATAAAATATAATGCAGGTGGGCAGTATTTTGGGGGTTTTTGTTGTTGTTTTTTTGCTTGTTCAAACTAGCATGTAACCAAATAAACAGCTGTGAACCATCAACCTGGCAAAGGGCCTCCCTACATAAACAAGCATACAAACTCCTGGCCACCATGACCATAGTACGAGATGCACAGGAAAGCAGTGTGCATGTAAAGGGAAGTAACTGTGTGCTATATTGGATCGCATTGTATTTAGGTATTAGGATTTTATAAAGGAATTTAAATGGAAATAAAACGAAACATGCGGCAGACTTTCTGATGAAGCGGGTGGTGCCTGAGAACCAAGACTATTATTTTTTCAAGCCTAAAGGGCTTGTATATTAAATGTTGACAGTTCATTGAAATAGAATGACCTGTCATGAGATGTCTTGTTTCTCACGTCACTGTGTTATTCATATGGCTGAAACGATATCCCGGGACACCGATGCATCGCGATTCACTCAATACGATAAGGTGCGCAATTTGTGAGGTGCTGTATCTCGATTTTTCATGATACATTTTTTTTTAATAAACTTTTATCACAGATACGTTTTAAATGATTTTTAAATTAATTTCAAATTCGAACCGAGTCATAAAAAGTAGGGAAAATATAATTTTCGCTACACACACGTACGTCTTTGAAAATTCAGTGGGTATGCTAGCTTTGTATATCAGCAGCAGTTCAAGCTTTCTGATTGGCTGAGCGGTCTCTAACTCAAACATGTCGGAAAAAGCAGACGCTTGTCCTTTGCTGGTGAAACCACCGGGGATTCACAAATCAGTAGTTTGGGAACATATAATTTTCGCTACACACACGTACGTCTTCGAAAATACAGCAGGTATGCTAGCTTTGTATATCAGCAGCAGTTCAAGCTTTCTGATTGGCTGAGCAGTCTCTAACTCAAACATGTCGGAAAAAGCAAACGCTTGTCCTTTGCTGTCGAAACCACCGGGGATTCACAAATCAGTAGTTTGGGAACATTTCGGGTTCCTAGTAACATTTGAAGATGGAATCAAACACGTGTGCAAAGATCAAACGTGCTGTCGCATGTGTCACGCAATGTTGAAATAGACGGGCAGCACGACAAACATGACAACTCACATACGCAGCCATCACCCAATTATAGACATTACTATCTAGTCACAACTCACAAATATGTAGGACTGTTACTTTTGTGTTTGCTGGCCATTACATGGAAATGGCAGATGATTCATTAAGTTAAAATACCCATTACAGTACATATTTTATGACTCATGAAAATTCATTCACTTTCATTTAAAGTTTGATTTTAATAAACTAATTCATTTATCTTTTGTCTTCTTTTATCACTATGTGTATTGTAGTGTATCGAGATATGTATCGAATCGTGATGTAAGTACCGAGATATGTATCGTATCGTGATCTAGGTGTATCGTTGCAGCCCTAGTTATTCATGCATTAAACTCTCAAGTGACATTGGACATCCAAGGTGCTGTTGTACAAAGTGATCTTAGCGCTAAAGTGATCGTAACTACCATACCTAAACATAGACTTACGACGATCATAGCACGAAGGTTTTGTACAACGACACCCTGGATCTTGTTCCACAAAACACTCTTAGCGTAATATAACCTTTATTGGTCAATGTTAAAGTGTAGAGTTATGATGGACATAGGTCTATAATATCCTTGTGGAACATGGCGTGAGTGGTAATGTTTCCTCTTCAGAGTTGTGCGACAGGCTTCAAGCGTGCCAACGTGACCGGCCATGGGTATCTGGGTGTGTGTGAACCTTGCACCTGTAATAACCATGCCTCTACCTGTGACCCCAACACTGGGAGCTGTCTCGACTGTCAGCATCAAACCACAGGTAGCCCCGGGAACTTGCATCACTTGAACTCAATTTATTTCATCTGACGATGAAATACTGACTTAAAGCACTAAAGAGCTACAAAGATTAGAGATTATCTGTCTGTATCCCACAGCTGACATCTGTAACTTGTCAGTTTGCTAACGGGATTAACCTCTTTGGCCATGTGGACAAGGTGTCTGACCTCAATTCAGAAAGTCAGTGGTTCAAATCCCATTATGTAAAATGGATATTTAATGACTGTTACATGTCCAAAGCAAGGGAACAAATGTTAGACAACTTACAGGACTCATTCACAAAGAAAGTAATCCATCATTTTGAAGTTTAATAGAAAATATGTTTGACTGTTTCAGGTGCAAATTGCGAGATGTGTAAACCTGGTTACTATGGTAACGCTACCATCGGGAATCCAAACGACTGCAGCCAGTGTCCGTGTTATGACCCACGTGTTGTAAACACAACTTGCTACAAGGAAGCCAGTGTCATTAAGTGTTTCTGTAACCCGGAATACACAGGCGACCATTGTGACAAGTCAGTACATTGTAGTATTATCTGTAGTCAAAGACGTATATACAACGTCTTTGCTGTAGTTCTTTAGAATACAAAAAACTTCTTTTGCATCAGTGCCAGAAATCCTCTTTTTACACTGTTGTAACACTACTTAATCTTGAGAGTTTCAAAAGAAGTCCTTTTAACTGTCAACCATCCATAACCAGTCACAATACTAATAGCACCTCCCTTCCTAAACCTGTTCACATGCTACTATTAGTGTCTCAACTGGTCATGGATAGTTCACAGTAAAGAGGACTTCTGTTGAAAATCTTAAGATTTTATAGTGTGATGACAGCTGAAAAACAGGATTTCTGGCACAAATCTGACAGAGGTAGTATTCTTCATATTATTAACAATGATAACTATCGTTTAATATTTGCAGCTTCCTCTTTAACTCTGTAGGGGATTATTGTAACAGCCAATATATTCTCTAGGACTGGTTGTAAAAGTTAAATCCCTCTCTTGACTATAGCAGCTGAACTTGAAGGGACCTACGAAACAATTCAGTTTAACATCTCAATGTCCATTTGACATTCAGTGTCATAGTTTATACTCCTTGACTTGACATGAGGTGAATCACAAAATGCTGTTCCCTGTGTCAGGTGTAAACCGTTCCACTACGGTCAGCCATCAACCCCTGGTACCGGAAGCTGCACAGCTTGTGACTGCAACAACAGGACTGATATCTGTGATACAGTCACAGGAATATGTAATGGCTGTGACTCCAACACAACAGGAAACCACTGCGAACTCTGCATAACTGGCTTCTATCGGAACTCGGTGACGAAAGCGTGTGATTGTGAGTATAAGGTTTGACTGTATCAGTTTGGTTTTATGACACTTTGAACAGTATTTCAATTTTATCATGGCATCTTAATGTGGGAGGAAAACCTAGATGTTTACCAATTATTGTGACATTCTACCCCTCCCCCCACCCACACACACACAAAGGTGGTGCTGACAATCCTTGAATAAAAACAGGTCCAATATTGGATTCAAACCCAATGTCATAGGTTTTGGTCACACCTAAGGGAAGCAACCCTGCACAATGGCACAGGCTGATTGTAATAGTCAAATCCCACTCCAAGGGCTGATTGTAACAGAAACTGATGCAGATAATAGTTTATCCTCCCACCCCCACCCCCACCAAACCCCCCTCCCCAACCCATCCACCCCTCCCTCCTCCCCCATGACCCTTTCCATGATTGATGCTGACAATTCAGAATTCAGGTCAAATATTGGATTCGAACCCAATGCCATAAATTTCTGCCACAGCAAAGGGAAGCAACCCTGCACAGCAAAACACAGTCAGTGTACGATTCAACATGGCAGTACACCACATACAACCATTACAACAATGAATATTTAATATTCCAGTATGTGAGTGCAACTCAACAGGATCAACCGACGCTGTGTGTGACCGGTACAATGGCAGCTGTCCCTGTTATCCTGGGGTTGGGGGAAGGAGCTGCAACACGTGTCTCGACAACTACTGGGGCTACAGCACTAGCCCGTCAGGTGAGTGTTGATGGTGGTGGCAGGTATATTATCCCCCCGCCAAGAAGTGGAAGGGGGATATAGGAATGGGTGCTGTCCATCCGTCACGTTTCGTTTTGTGTCTGGAGCAGAACTCAAAAACTATGAGAGAGATATCTTAACCAAACTTGATTGCTACTTGCTCTGCCATGCTCGATAGGCCTGCGCAACTCTTGTCGCGACATGCAGCCTAAGGGTTAACCACGAGGCTATACCACCTTGCTGACCTGAGATCTGTCAGCTGCTGTCATAAGTCAGACAATCCAAAACAACATGGTGCTTCAAACAATGGCAAACAATGGCAAACAGTTATTAGGTGAATGTTGAATTGTTCCAATAAGGAAGCTGACAGATCCAAATGAGTAGCTTGCAACTTTAACAGGTTTTTCATGTAACATTCCTTGTAGGTTGGTTAAAAGTCTGTGGGTGCAAAGTCTGTCAGATTGTTGTGATCATTTTCTTTTGGAAATTCTAGAATTAATAACAAGATCATCACAGTTTGGCAGAAATGTGTCAAAGGGCCCGAGAGATCAGAAGTTAACTTGAGTATTTGCCTTTGAACTTTAAAAAAATAGGATCAGCAAATGATAACACCAAGGCTGTTGACTTAGTATTCCCTCTGACAGTATAGGGTGATAGCAGGTTGATTTAATATCATTTGCGATCTTCTCAAACTTAACTTTAACTGCTTGACGTGTGATCTTACTTCAATGAAATCAAGAGCATGAGGTTCCAAATAATGAATGTTCAGATGAGAAAGATTGAGTCACCAACGAGGATTGTACAGCTTCCGAGTGTTGTTATATGAGTTAGCACGATCCTTTGAATGTAAGTGAGCAGTGTTATGTATCCATAATGACTGCTTTTGCTGTACTTGACATTTTCACTACCTTGGTGTTTAAGATTATTTGACAAGGTTACCAAGAACAAAAACGCGAGCATGCACGGCTGGCGACTGTCACAACAGCTTGATGAACTTGTGTAAATGTAAAATGTCAATGCCAGAGAATAGTCAGTGTCAATTATGTGCAGAAATAGATTCAATTTGGTGTAAAAGACAAAATAGGGGTGAATATTATATGAATAGATCACTGAAAATGAATAAGCACACCTTTTGATGTGGAACTTTGTGAGAAGCACTATCTAAATCTAGCGCTCAATTACATTGTTTATTGTGAGCTTTGTAATGTTTGTCATGCCTGTGCACAGTGAACATAAGATAAAATCTAGTCAATCCTTATATAAACACAGTCAATCCTTATATAAACTGAAAAATGAAACCTAAAACAAGATTTATCAACATTTTAGGTTTCAAGCATACTTTCCATGAACCTTTTGAAGGGGCATAAAATATCTGTTGCTGGCTTATGGTACTTGAATTATTTTTTTTTTAAAAGCATTGTGATTTATCAGCACCTCTGTTGCCTTGTGGTACACTCACTGGGCTACAGATACGAAGGTTGTGTGTTTGATCCTCAGGAATACAGAGAAAGAAATTTGTCATTTTACATTTCATTACATTCATATGTTACAATCTAAACAGAAATTGTATTAATAAAATCCCTGGGAAATAATAATGTCCCAGTTTACGAGATTTAACGAATCTCATTAAAATCAGATCTTAGTTCTCGCTACTGCTAAACAAAGATCTGAGGACATCCCATTACGGGTCACGTCAGACTGACCTTGTGCGAACTTTGACAGACCGACAGAAGGACTGACAAGAAGTCGACATTAGCCAATCAGAAGGCAGCTTTCTCGTGCACTACGGCACTAATTTCAAATTGGCGACTACGCTTCAAAACATATTTTGACAAATTCTCGATTACAAATTTGAAACCTGAACAAAAGAACATTCTGGAATGGCTAATAGATGGTCTACATTGTATGGATTCAGTTGTTAAATCCGTAACTATCATTTGGAATATCCTGGTGTTAACATTTTCGAGGTTGCATTATCAGAATTCAGATTCCTAATGTCACTTTCATGATCTGGTAAGCGACGCTCTGATTGGTCAGATGAAAGGTCGTTCTGACGTGACCCCTAATGAGATGTCCTCAGATCTTTGTTTGGCGGTAGCGAGAACTAAGGTCTGATTTTAATGAGATTGGAGATTTAATCAGACTGGAGAACAATAAGATGACGTCACTGGAAGTCCAGAATGAGTTTTGTTTTATCTTTCAGGTTGTCAGGCCTGCAACTGTGTGGAGAAGGGGAGTACGACCACCCAGTGTGCAGACCAGGGGATGTGTTTATGCAAGACCCATGTTCTCTCCAGTCAACGGTGTGATACATGTGTTGATGGCTACTTTGGTCTACCAGATCAAGAATGTACTGGTAAGTGTATGTATGTATCCATACTGGGATACAGTTGATTAGACACCAGGAGAAAACAAACAAAAATAGGGCTTTGAGGTTAATTTTATGAAAATCTTGAAAATTTTAACAAGATATATTAACAGTGTAACAGTAGTAGGTGTAACTTCCAACTATGTTTTCTTGTAGCATGTAACTGCAATCTGACTGGGGCTGTCGGTGGGAATGCTTCGGTATGTGACAAAGCGACTGGTCAGTGCCTATGCAAGACAGGAGTGACTGGTCGAACATGTGACAGCTGCCAGGCTCTATTTATAGACTTCAGCGACACTGGATGCAAAGGTATTGTCAGGAATGCACGTCTGTCTATATTTAACATCATTAATCAATTATGTTTTAGATTTTCTAACAGAAAATATTCCAATAACCATCCTCGAGTGTATGTTATTATACAGTTATATAGTTATACCAAGGTTTCGTCTGTCCGTCAGTCCAAAAACTTTGTCCGCGCGATTTCTCTTAAACTATTCAATGGATTCATCTCAAACTTAGTACATATAATCTGTGTCATATGGAGGGGTACAGTCAAAAGATAAAAATTGTTTTTATTAATTTTCCATTTTTGTATAAATTTTTCAAACCCTAACCCTATCCTAGCTATTTAATTTGAAACTACTGACACACTAGGTGGGTCGGGGGTATTACTGAGCCACGCTCACTTTTGCCCTTGTTTCCATTCTGTAATGATATATATATGCTGGACCTATTGGCCACAAGAGCTTCATCTCAGAAGAATGGTGTCACCAGCCTGACAACCAAGCACAATGCTTCTTCTGAAAGAGAATTCAGCATAGATCTCCATTCAAAATCACTGTCTCTTCTGGACGAAGCCATGATATTTTATAATTGAAATAGAAGGCTGTTACAAATTGACTTTTAGCTAGAAAGTTATGTTCTGCTGACTATTTGGACAGGAACAGGGAAGGCCTTATGCTACAATACCTTCCTTATGGCATTTTGAATGCTATTGATACTGCGGCTTTATTCGAATCATGAAAGAATTGTGTAATTTGACTGGATATTTATTTTTAGTATTGCGCCAGTTTAACTGCAGTAAAACTAAATGTATGGTGGTGATTGGGCCCAGGACCAAAGTAGAATGAAGATAAATACACTGGATGAGGATGTCCAGTAGCTAAAATGGATGGGGATTTTCAAAGTTTAGAAAATTTGATTATTTTAGAATCTAGGAATATGTATACAAAAGACATCTCTTTCAATCCTATTAGCATTTTGTTATTTTGTTAGTTGATTTCAGTATGTTTTATTAAAGCGTTTTTTGCCATTAACATATTAGGTGATGTCAATGGACAATTTAGATTTAATTGATATGTTATTGAAATCTATTGACACAAGGAGGAGATAACTAACAGAATCGGGTGTTCAGGCTCACTGACTTGGTTAAAGCATGTCATCATATCCCAATTGCTTAGATTGATGCTCACGATGTCCATCACTTGATTGTCTTGTCCAGACTCGATTTACAGACCACTGTCATATAGCTGGAATATTGATTAGTGCAGCAGTAAACAACAAACAAACAAATCTTAACAAGTATGAAATTTTAATAGTTGTTTGTAATTTTCTTTTGTTTGTTTATACCTCCTGCAGGGTGTGATGTGTGTTCAACATCCTTGGGTAATGATACTAGGAAATTGGAAGAAAAATGGCAGGAAACATATACAGTGTCACAGCATATTGATGGAATCCAGGCACAAGACAAAGAACTTCAGGTAAGGACCGACCAGCTTCAAGGAATAGTCTAACCAACATGGAGCAGTGGGATGGCCTAGTGGTTAAAGCATTCACTCACCACGCCAAAGGCCTGAGTTTGATTCCACACATGGGTACGATGTGTAAAACTATTTTTGATGTCTCCTGCCATGATACTGCTGGAATATTGCGTGGTAAAATTACACTCACTAACTCGTACATGAGGCAATATCGAAAGGGATTCAGCAGACGGTCAGTCTTTCAGTTACAGGATTAATCTGGAAAAGCCTGTGTATAATAGGTCTTCTTGTTTTCACATAAAGCTGTTTATAGTCATTGTGACAAAATTATTAATAATTTTGCAAAGATTTATATGAATATCAGTCCAGTTGCCATAAAGCAAAGGGATGTGATGTGATGCTGTACATGAAGTGGATTCTGTTGCAGTCTCTTCACGCACAGCTAGAGCAAGCCATGACAGACCTCGGTCTGACCGAAACCAACAACAGCACGGTCAGTGAGATGACCGCAAACATCACTCTTCAGGAAAACAGCACCAAACAGCAGGTGGAGCAACTCAAACAGAAGGTATTACAGAACTGTTGCAGGATGCATGTAGTCAATAAAATTACACGTGAGGGTTGAAAAATGAGTTTGAAAAATGTTCGGATATTTGCAGATGCGCAGTTTAGTGATTACTGATTTGTCAGTTGAAGCAATATTCCATCACAATGGTGCATCGATCAGAACAGTCTGATGTGAGGCCATCAGTAACTGGAACAATGGTTTAAATTCTTTGCTGATGGGTAATACATGTTGCCTCTTTTCTTTTTCAAACAACAATGCACTGGTGGATGCAGAGAGGCTTTGCAAGGAGTTCTTGTTATCACAAAATGGCGATGTAATACACATTTATGTAAGGGAGGTAACTCTGATTTGTCAGGTGGACCAACCATGTAACAGTAATGTGCTCTCCTTTTTCTAACTCCTACATGCAGCCCTGCAGTGGGGTAATATATAGGCTAAACTATGCATGATGGCCTGTTGTCCACATTCGCAGGGAAAGGTCCCAAGAATAGGTGTAATTATGACTTTATTTGAGTTTTTAGTGTGCTATGGGTGGCCATATTGTACTTTATTACATTTTTCAGAAAACAAAGTAAAGATGGGAGTTTGTGGGTGTGCATGGGAATGAAGAATATTATTTTGAGACTTTCGTTGTGTTATGGTAGCATCTTTAAGACAATTGCCAAATCTTTTTTGTTTTCTCTATAGGTTGCCAGCTTGAATATAGCAGCGGGTCTTCAGAAAAACATGTCCATTTCTGAAGATGCGAGGCTAAACGGCCTCCTTACTGAAAGTTTTAGCACCCTTGACCTTGCTCGAACTGAGACACAGAAAGGAAGAAACTACGAGTACAAGTTCCAGCAGTACAATGTCACAGCACAAACGGTACAATCTTCAACTATTCCTAGCAAAGCTGAGTAGATATTATTTGTTGTAACAAACTGACATCATGAAACAATGAATCCCTTGACTTTGGTAGCCATGAAGCTGTAAACCCTGCCTTCTGGACCATTACTGGATCTTCTGTATGTGAATGTGAGGATGTCACAGTGGAGTGAGTGAGTGAGTGAGTGATGCAGCATGTACAGGAGACTGATGACGATGTGATGTTTCAGTACCGCAGTCAGGGCACTGGAGTGAGTGAGGGATGCAGCATGTACAGGAGACTGATGACGATGTGATGTTTCAGTACCGCAGTCAGGGCACTGGAGTGAGTGAGTGATGAAGCATGTACAGGAGACTGATGACGATGCGATGTTTCAGCACCGCAGTCCGGGCACTGGAGTGAGTGAGCGAGTGATGCAGCATGTACAGGAGACTGATGACGATGTGATGTTTCAGTACCGCAGTCAGGGCACTGGAGTTTGTGAGTGAGTGAGTGATGCAGCATGTACAGGAGACTGATGACGATGTGATGTTTCAGTACCGAAGTCAGGGCACTGGAGGAGGGTCACTCAGTCTCAACTTCAGCCCCCAGTTGGACCGGGCCAACACAACCTACCTGCAGATCACTGGTGACCAGAGCCTGCAGGACATGAGGACGAAGGCAGAGGGACAGGTCAGGTCTCATTTCACTTCAAATCAAATGGTTTTCAAAACCCTATATTGGTAGAAATAAACATTAAATTATAGAACTATACTTTTGTGTATGACCAAAAGCACTAGATATGGTGGATATGAACATTAAATCATACATCAATACTTTTGTGAATGACCCAAAACCCTAGATTTGGTAGAAATTAACACTAAAATAAAGAACAGTTTTTTCGGATTTGACCTGTTAAAAGTATGGTACTAGGGTAGAAAACTATACAGTACCCCAGATACATGATATGGATTGAATGGCCACCATCCATTGACCAGGGGCTGAAGTGGTGCCTTTTTGCTATTTAGGAAATTTATTTTATTTAGTAATTTAAAAAAATAAAATTTGTTTCTGTTTCCATGGCAACAAGTTTGATTGTGACCCTGTTCATAGTGGTGTGTACCTAAAATAGAAATACAAAGTTCAAAATCACAATTCAATGCTATTGTTTTCATAGCTTGATAGCTACTCTTGTATACGGACAGACAGATTAGATAGAAATTCCCTCATCAAGGTGGACTTAAAGTAACAGTCAGGCGATTTGTTCTTTCGAATTTGAGGGGGCCAGGGGGACTTGTCATCTTCTGATGACTCTTGTTATTTATATGCAGACCTTTATTATTCCTCCCAGCATAGAATGCAGAGGGATATAGTCGACGCCTCATCTGTCTGTCCGTCCATGATAATTTCGTTTCCGGAGCAAAACTCGAAAAATCATTCAATAGTTGTTCAACAAAAATTTGCAGATATATCAAACAGATCCTTAAGTGGTGGATTTTTGACATTTTTGCTTTTCTTTAGTCCATGGAAACAATTTGGACTCAAAACAGGATGGGAGTTGATTTCATTTTGGAGCACAACTCAAAAGCTGTTCAGTACCTTTCATCACTACTTGGCAGATATATCAAACAGTTCAGAAGTGGTGCCTTTTGCTATTTGAGGGTTTGGGGCATTTATATTATACCCCTGACCTAAAAAGGCAGAGCTATATAGCTGTACCAAGGAATTCAGTCTCCCGTCCGTCTTTCCTTCTGTCCTTTTAAGGACATTTTTTGTGTTCGACTTGAAAACTTCAAAATAGATTCTTTTCACATTTGGTGAACACTTTTTATACCTACAGGAGAGGTGCAGTGCAAAGTTTGATATCAATATTTGGATTTTCTGGAAAAAAAGACAGCTATATTTCATTTTTTTACTTATCATTTTTTCACTGAAACATTTGAACGATCTATAACTTGAAAACTACTGCATGGATTCTTTACAAATTAAAGGAACAGTTACCATACTAATAGAAGAGATGCAGGGCAAAGTTGTTTTTTTATGTGTCTTTTCTGAAAAAATATATTTTCATGATGTAGACTTTGAAATTTTCTTTACTTCAACATTTTTACGACTTTTAACTTGGAAAACTACTTCATGAGTTTTTCCAATTGGGGGATAGTTTCTCTACCAATAGTAGAAGTGGAGTTCATAGTTTGATTTCAATATGTGGATTTTCTGAAAATAAACAACTATTTTTTTTAATTTTTTTTTAAAATTCTGAAATATTTGTGCTACCAAAAACTAGAAAACTACTGTATGTATTCTTTCAAATTTAGGGAACAGTTTCCATACTAATAGAAGAGGTGCAGTGCAAAGTTTGATTTTGATATGTGTAATTTCTGAAAAAATATGATGTTTTTTATGTTATGAAGTTAGAAATTTCTTTTCACTTCAACATTTGTGCTACCAATAACTTTTAAACAACTTCTTAGATTATTTTCCAATTTGGTGTACAGTTTCTATTCCAATAGGAGAGGTACAATGCAAAGTTTGGTTTCAATATTGTTATTTTATGAAAGGGGGAAGTAGAAATGTTTAGCATGTAAGTTATTAATGCAAGAGAAATATAAATGCTGGGCATAAACCGCTTTGGCAAATTAATGCTTAATGTTATTGTAGTATCGCTTTCAAAATTAGAAATAGGGGGCTCTTATTAGAATATTATTTTGGTGGGGAAAAAACAGTTGAAAGATAAATTTCATGGTTTATGCTGACAGCCTGAAATGTTTATATACGACAGATATATTTTTAAAGAATTTAATTGCCCATAATTAAGGGTGCATATAACACATGAGTGCGTATTACACGCAAATAAATAAATCTTGTCACATTGATCAATCGGAAAGGCTGCTAATTGGGATTGTTCACTAGCCAATATATGAGCAAATATCGTAATGGGCGCTTATTAGAGCCGGGCGCTTATTATGTCGAATACGGTATTATTAGTATTATTGTTTTCATTTAGGCTGCTACTGTAGCAGGACTGCTGGCTAAAGAAGTTGGTATAAGAGAAAACTACAAGACTAAGTCTGGTGAACTCACGGCTAGTGATGCACAACTCAATGATCTGCAGACTAAAGTGAACATGATTTCTGTACACCAGACACAAGCTCAGGTAAAACTGTCATTATTATCATGTCACATTTCACCTTATTGGAACTTGTCCAAAACTTTCCTTATCAGCTCATTAGGACTATATGTGAAATATGTAAAATATATTATGTGAGATTCTAGGAGTGTTATTGCATAAATTGGGTTTGATTTAACAAGGGGGGATACTACCATGCAGAGTATGGTGCTGGTCAAAACAAAATGTCTCAAAATATGCTGTTAATTACTAAATACATTTTTATCAAATTTGTTATCACGTTCAACACTTTTCATCTAAAGATGTCTACTGCAAATGAAAAGGGGTGGAAATCCCACAAGTATTTACAAGGGATGTTCAATGATTTTGCAACTTCAATACAAGACCAAGTCGCAGAATATCTTTTGCATTTTTATTTTTCAATATAATCTCCATTCACCTCAATACACTCTTCCATTTGTCCTTTAAGCTTTTAATACCACTTTTATAGAAATACTCAGATTGGCCCTCTAACCACACCTCTGTGGCAGCCTTTATGTCCTCATCATCCTGGAAGCGTCTTCCACGTAGGGCAGATTTCATTTGCCGGAACAGGAAATAGTCACTGGGGGCCAAGTCTGGGAACTAGGGTGGGTGATTTAACTGTACAGACTTGGTCTTATATTGAAGTTGCAAAACTTATTGAACACCCCTCGTATATGGTGCCGACAATCCAAAGGCTATAATCAGGATTCAAACCAATAAAACCAAGAATCCTGACACAGCCAAGGAACATAACCCTGCACAGCAAAATGCAGAGATTTAGAGTGTTAAAGACACAGATAATAAAATAATGTCACAACTGTTAGATATGAGTGAAATAAGAACTTCACTGACCTGAAGCTGGAAACGAGCCTGTATTGATCGTAGTCTTTGTGTGGGAACTCCAGGCATCAAAACAACAAGCAGAGGCAAACAATGCAGTCATATTAGAAGCCAAGGATGGTGTAAACAACATCACAACTGAAGCTACGGCGTCACAGACAACAGCTGCTAGAGTCTTCAGTGAATGTCAGGCCATTATGTCAGGCGACGCAGCCCCATTACTTCCAGGTGTGACACTCCCAGCAGGTACGTCATCAAACAGTGGTCAAAATGTAACACTCCCAGCGAGTAAACAGTACCATTTTACCATTATGCCACTGAACATGTACACTGAACACACCCACATTTATATTTACTGGCCAATCGGGAAATTCAGTCCCTACCCTTTTGACAAGTGTGACCACACTAAGGTGTTCCTGGCTGCCCTGACAAATGTAATAACACTCAGATGTTCCTAGCTGCTCTGACAAATGTAATAAATCTCAGATGTTCCTAGCTGCTCTGACAAATGTAATAAAACTCAGATGTTCCTAGCTGCTCTGACAAATGTAATAACTCTCAGATGTTCCTAGCTGCTCTGACAAATGTAATAACTCTCAGATGTTCCTAGCTGCTCTGACAAATGTAATAACTCTCAGATGTTCCTAGCTGCTCTGACAAATGTAATAAATCTCAGATGTTCCTAGCTGCTCTGACAAATGTAATAAAACTCAGATGTTCCTAGCTGCTCTGACAAATGTAATAACTCTCAGATGTTCCTAGCTGCTCTGACAAATGTAATAACTCTCAGATGTTCCTAGCTGCTCTGACAAATGTAATAACTCTCAGATGTTCCTAGCTGCTCTGACAAATGTAATAACTCCCAGATGTTCCTAGCTGCCCTGACAAATGTAATAACTCTCAGATGTTCCTAGCTGCCCTGACAAATGTAATAACTCTCAGATGTTCCTAGCTGCCCTGACAAAGGTAATAACACTCAGATGTTCCTAGCTGCTCTGACAAATGTAATAACTCTCAGATGTTCCTGGCTGCCCTGACAAATGTAATAACTCTCAGATGTTCCTAGCTGCTCTGACAAATGTAATAACTCCTTGATGTTCCTAGCTGCTCTGACAAATGTAATAACTCTCGGATGTTCCTAGCTGCTCTGATGAAAGTTTCATGACCTTCGCAGTCCTCACACACTTGGTTCTGATCAGCTTTCATAAACTTTCCCCCAGCATCTGTAGGGTGGTTGTTAGTTAGTTCACCATGAACTTATACCAACTTTGTTCACTCGTTACTTGACAGGTGTTGGCAACTGGACGACTGGCTATGCAAAGCTGCAGGAGGTACAGACAACCATTGCAGCGAAGGTGTCCATCACGGATGCCAATGTGAAGGAATCAGAACGTAAAGCACAGGCACTGGACAGTGATACCCAGAGGGTCAATGAGTAAGTAGCAGACTCTTGTCTTGTCCTCTGACAGTGATACCCAGAGGGTCAATGAGTAAGTAGCAGACTCTTGTCTTGTCCTCTGACAGTGATACCCAGAGGGTCAATGAGTAAGTAGCAGACTCTTGTCTTGTCCTCTGACTGTGATACCCGGAGGGTCAATGAGTAAGTAGCAGGCTCTTGTCTTGTCCTCTAACAATGATACCCAGAGGGTCAATGAGTAAGTAGCAGACTCTTGTCTTGTCCTTTAACAGTGATACCCGGAGGGTCAATGAGTAAGTAGCAGACTCTTGTCTTGTCCTCTGACAGTGATACCCAGAGGGTCAATGAGTAAGAAGCAGACTCTTGTCTTGTCCTCCGACAGTGATACCCAGAGGGTCAATGAGTAAGTAGCAGACTCTTGTCTTGTCCTCTAACAGTGATACCCGGAGGGTCAATGAGTAAGTAGCAGGCTCTTGTCTTGTCCTTTAACAGTGATACCCAGAGGGTCAATGAGTAAGAAGCAGACTCTTGTCTTGTCCTCTAACAGTGATACCCAGAGGGTCAATGAGTAAGTAGCAGACTCTTGTCTTGTCCTTTAACAGTGATACCCAGAGGGTCAATGAGTAAGAAGCAGACTCTTGTCTTGTCCTCTAACAATAATACCCAGAGGGTCAATGAGTAAGAAGCAGACTCTTGTCTTGTCCTCCGACAGTGATACCCAGAGGGTCAATGAGTAAGTAGCAGACTCTTGTCTTGTCCTCTAACAGTGATACCCAGAGGGTCAATGAGTAAGTAGCAGACTCTTGTCTTGTCCTTTAACAGTGATACCCAGAGGGTCAATGAGTAAGAAGCAGACTCTTGTCTTGTCCTCTAACAATGATACCCAGAGGGTCAATGAGTAAGAAGCAGACTCTTGTCTTGTCCTCCGACAGTGATACCCAGAGGGTCAATGAGTAAGTAGCAGACTCTTGTCTTGTCCTCTGACAGTGATACCCAGAGGGTCAATGAGTAAGAAGCAGACTCTTGTCTTGTCCTCCGACAGTGATACCCAGAGTGTCAATGAGTAAGTAGCAGACTCTTGTCTTGTCCTCTAACAGTGATACCCGGAGGGTCAATGAGTAAGTAGCAGGCTCTTGTCTTGTCCTTTAACAGTGATACCCAGAGGGTCAATGAGTAAGAAGCAGACTCTTGTCTTGTCCTCTAACAGTGATACCCAGAGGGTCAATGAGTAAGTAGCAGACTCTTGTCTTGTCCTTTAACAGTGATACCCAGAGGGTCAATGAGTAAGAAGCAGACTCTTGTCTTGTCCTTTAACAGTGATACCCAGAGGGTCAATGAGTAAGAAGCAGACTCTTGTCTTGTCCTCTAACAATGATACCCAGAGGGTCAATGAGTAAGAAGCAGACTCTTGTCTTGTCCTCCGACAGTGATACCCAGAGGGTCAATGAGTAAGTAGCAGACTCTTGGCTTGTCCTCTAACAGTGATACCCAGAGGGTCAATGAGTAAGTAGCAGACTCTTGTCTTGTCCTTTAACAGTGATACCCAGAGGGTCAATGAGTAAGAAGCAGACTCTTGTCTTGTCCTCTAACAATGATACCCAGAGGGTCAATGAGTAAGAAGCAGACTCTTGTCTTGTCCTCCGACAGTGATACCCAGAGGGTCAATGAGTAAGTAGCAGACTCTTGTCTTGTCCTTTAACAGTGATACCCAGAGGGTCAATGAGTAAGCAGCAGACTCTTGTCTTGTCCTCTGACAAGTGATACCCAGAGGGTCAATGAGTAAGTAGCAGACTCTTGTCTTGTCCTCTGACTGTGATACCCAGAGGGTCAATGAGTAGGTAGCAGACTCTTGTCTTGTCCTCTGACAGTGATACCCGGAGGGTCAATGAGTAAGTAGCAGACTCTTGTCTTGTCCTCTGACAGTGATACCCAGAGGGTCAATGAGTAAGTAGCAGACTCTTGTCTTGTCCTCTGACAGTGATACCCAGAGGGTCAATGAGTAAGAAGCAGACTCTTGTCTTGTCCTCTGACAGTGATACCCGGAGGGTCAATGAGTAAGTAGCAGACTCTTGTCCTCTGACAGTGATACCCGGAAGGTCAATGAGTAAGTAGCAGACTCTTGTCTTGTCCTCCGACAGTGATACCCAGAGGGTCAATGAGTAAGTAGCAGGCTCTTGTCTTGTCCTCTGACAGTGATACCCAGAGGGTCAATGAGTAGGTAGCAGACTCTTGTCTTGTCCTCTAACAGTGATACCCGGAGGGTCAATGAGTAGGTAGCAGACTCTTGTCTTGTCCCCTGACAAGTGATACCCAGAGGGTCAATGAGTAAGTAGCAGGCTCTTGTCTTGTCCTCTAACAGTGATACCCGGAGGGTCAATGAGTAAGAAGCAGACTCTTGTCTTGTCCTCCGACAGTGATACCCAGAGGGTCAATGAGTAAGTAGCAGACTCTTGTCTTGTCCTCTGACAGTGATACCCGGAGGGTCAATGAGTAAGTAGCAGACTCTTGTCTTGTCCTTTAACAGTGATACCCGGAGGGTCAATGAGTAAGTAGCAGACTCTTGTCTTGTCCTCTGACAGTGATTCCCGGAGGGTCAATGAGTAAGTAGCAGACTCTTGTCTTGTCCTTTAACAGTGATACCCAGAGGGTCAATGAGTAAGTAGCAGACTCTTGTCTTGTCCTCTGACAGTGATTCCCGGAGGGTCAATGAGTAAGTAGCAGACTCTTGTCTTGTCCTCTGACTGTGATACCCAGAGGGTCAATGAGTAAGTAGCAGACTCTTGTCCTCTGACAGTGATACCCAGAGGGTCAATGAGTAAGTAGCAGACTCTTGTCTTGTCCTCTGACAGTGATTCCCGGAGGGTCAATGAGTAAGTAGCAGACTCTTGTCTTGTCCTTTAACAGTGATACCCAGAGGGTCAATGAGTAAGTAGCAGACTCTTGTCTTGTCCTCTGACAGTGATTCCCGGAGGGTCAATGAGTAGGTAGCAGACTCTTGTCTTGTCCTCTGACTGTGATACCCAGAGGGTCAATGAGTAAGTAGCAGACTCTTGTCCTCTGACAGTGATACCCAGAGGGTCAATGAGTAAGTAGCAGACTCTTGTCTTGTCCTCTGACAGTGATACCCAGAGGGTCAATGAGTAAGTAGCAGACTCTTGTCTTGTCCTCTGACAAGTGATACCCAGAGGGTCAATGAGTAAGAAGCAGACTCTTGTCTTGTCCTCTGACAGTGATACCTGGAGGGTCAATGAGTAAGAAGCAGACTCTTGTCTTGTCCTCTGACAGTGATACCCAGAGGGTCAATGAGTAAGAAGCAGACTCTTGTCTTGTCCTCCGACAGTGATACCCAGAGGGTCAATGAGTAAGTAGCAGACTCTTGTCTTGTCCTTTAACAGTGATACCCAGAGGGTCAATGAGTAAGAAGCAGACTCTTGTCTTGTCCTCTAACAGTGATACCCAGAGTGTCAATGAGTAAGTAGCAGACTCTTGTCTTGTCCTTTAACAGTGATACCCAGAGGGTCAATGAGTAAGAAGCAGACTCTTGTCTTGTCCTCTAACAATGATACCCAGAGGGTCAATGAGTAAGAAGCAGACTCTTGTCTTGTCCTCCGACAGTGATACCCAGAGGGTCAATGAGTAAGTAGCAGACTCTTGTCTTGTCCTTTAACAGTGATACCCAGAGGGTCAATGAGTAAGTAGCAGACTCTTGTCTTGTCCTTTAACAGTGATACCCAGAGGGTCAATGAGTAAGAAGCAGACTCTTGTCTTGTCCCCTGACAAGTGATACCCAGAGGGTCAATGAGTAAGTAGCAGGCTCTTGTCTTGTCCTCTAACAGTGATACCCAGAGGGTCAATGAGTAAGTAGCAGACTCTTGTCTTGTCCTCCGACAGTGATACCCAGAGGGTCAATGAGTAAGTAGCAGACTCTTGTCCTCTGACAGTGATACCCAGAGGGTCAATGAGTAAGTAGCAGACTCTTGTCTTGTCCTCTGACAGTGATACCCAGAGGGTCAATGAGTAAGTAGCAGACTCTTGTCTTGTCCTCTGACAAGTGATACCCAGAGGGTCAATGAGTAAGAAGCAGACTCTTGTCTTGTCCTCTGACAGTGATACCTGGAGGGTCAATGAGTAAGAAGCAGACTCTTGTCTTGTCCTCTGACAGTGATACCCAGAGGGTCAATGAGTAAGAAGCAGACTCTTGTCTTGTCCTCCGACAGTGATACCCAGAGGGTCAATGAGTAAGTAGCAGACTCTTGTCTTGTCCTTTAACAGTGATACCCAGAGGGTCAATGAGTAAGTAGCAGACTCTTGTCTTGTCCTCTAACAGTGATACCCAGAGTGTCAATGAGTAAGTAGCAGACTCTTGTCTTGTCCTTTAACAGTGATACCCAGAGGGTCAATGAGTAAGAAGCAGACTCTTGTCTTGTCCTCTAACAATGATACCCAGAGGGTCAATGAGTAAGAAGCAGACTCTTGTCTTGTCCTCCGACAGTGATACCCAGAGGGTCAATGAGTAAGTAGCAGACTCTTGTCTTGTCCTCTAACAGTGATACCCAGAGGGTCAATGAGTAAGTAGCAGACTCTTGTCTTGTCCTTTAACAGTGATACCCAGAGGGTCAATGAGTAAGAAGCAGACTCTTGTCTTGTCCCCTGACAAGTGATACCCAGAGGGTCAATGAGTAAGTAGCAGGCTCTTGTCTTGTCCTCTAACAGTGATACCCGGAGGGTCAATGAGTAAGTAGCAGACTCTTGTCTTGTCCTCCGACAGTGATACCCAGAGGGTCAATGAGTAAGTAGCAGACTCTTGTCTTGTCCTCTGACAGTGATACCCGGAGGGTCAATGAGTAAGTAGCAGACTCTTGTCTTGTCCTTTAACAGTGATACCCGGAGGGTCAATGAGTAAGAAGCAGACTCTTGTCTTGTCCTCTGACAGTGATTCCCGGAGGGTCAATGAGTAAGTAGCAGACTCTTGTCTTGTCCTTTAACAGTGATACCCGGAGGGTCAATGAGTAAGTAGCAGACTCTTGTCTTGTCCTCTGACAGTGATTCCCGGAGGGTCAATGAGTAGGTAGCAGACTCTTGTCTTGTCCTCTGACTGTGATACCCAGAGGGTCAATGAGTAAGTAGCAGACTCTTGTCCTCTGACAGTGATACCCAGAGGGTCAATGAGTAAGTAGCAGACTCTTGTCTTGTCCTCTGACAGTGATTCCCGGAGGGTCAATGAGTAAGTAGCAGACTCTTGTCTTGTCCTTTAACAGTGATACCCGGAGGGTCAATGAGTAAGTAGCAGACTCTTGTCTTGTCCTCTGACAGTGATTCCCGGAGGGTCAATGAGTAAGTAGCAGACTCTTGTCTTGTCCTCTGACTGTGATACCCAGAGGGTCAATGAGTAAGTAGCAGACTCTTGTCCTCTGACAGTGATACCCAGAGGGTCAATGAGTAAGTAGCAGACTCTTGTCTTGTCCTCTGACAGTGATACCCAGAGGGTCAATGAGTAAGTAGCAGACTCTTGTCTTGTCCTCTGACAAGTGATACCCAGAGGGTCAATGAGTAAGAAGCAGACTCTTGTCTTGTCCTCTGACAGTGATACCCAGAGGGTCAATGAGTAAGTAGCAGACTCTTGTCTTGTCCTCTGACAGTGATACCCAGAGGGTCAATGAGTAAGAAGCAGACTCTTGTCTTGTCCTCCGACAGTGATACCCAGAGGGTCAATGAGTAAGTAGCAGACTCTTGTCTTGTCCTCTGACAGTGATACCTGGAGGGTCAATGAGTAAGTAGCAGACTCTTGTCTTGTCCCCTTATAGCCAAGGGACTCATTTCACCAAGTGATTGTTGTGCTGTGACTTCTGAAATTCCCATGCTTAAACATAGGCTTACAACAGTCATAGCACTCTGACAGCTTTGTGAAGCAGGGTCCTGGATACAATTCTGTATATGCTGAGTTGTTGAAGTTGTTCAACAAATGAACCTTGATACCTACCGTATTCGACATAATAAGCGCCCCGCTCTAAGAAGCGCCCGCGGTGATATTTGCTGATATATTGGCTAGTGCACAATCCTAATTAGCATGATTAGCACCCCTTCTGATTGATCAATGTACACAAGACTTATATATTCGTGTGTAATGCGCACTTGTGTGTTATATCACCCTTAAAGATAGGCAGTTAAATTCTGGAAAAATATATCTGTCATATGTAAACGTATCTAAACATTTCAGGCTGTCAGCACAAACCACGAAATTTACAATGCTTCAACTCTGGGTTTTTTCACCAAAATAATATTCTAATAAGAGCCCCCTATTTCTAATTTTGAGAGTGCCCTGGGCGCTTATTATGTCAAATACGGTATATGGAGTCCTCTGAAACACTACAGCTGCATTTCTATTTTAAACACTATAATGGAGTTTGCTTTTTATAATAACTTTGAAATTTGTATATGAAATTATTAGATATGTTAAAATTAAAGTGACAACTAGCATTTTTACTTTTGTGGATTTCTTCATGATCAAGTTGAAGTTTTTGTGAAATATGTGGAAAACATGCAAACATCCTCATGGCAATGACATTGATACTTCAACCACAAACGTTGTTATAGTTCCCCAGAGTGTTGTTTGGAATAGTTTGAGAATATAGTGTCAGGAATAGAGTGAGTGAGTATGGTTTTACGCCCCTTTTAGCAATATTCCAGCAATATCACGGCGGGGGACACCACAAATGGGCTTCACACATTGTACCCATGTCAGGAATCGAACCCGGGTCCTCGGCGTGACGAACGAACGCTTTAACCACTAGGCTACCCGACCGCCCCGTTAGGAATAGAACAACACAGGTGTTTTGTCGGGCCAAACAGTACAAATAAGTTGACATTAAAAAAGTAAAATGTGTAGCGGACAGCAGAAGTGCATCTCTTCATGTGAATATTGCTCACATTAAAATATTCAGAGTATGCATTAATATTTGTTTATGTAATAAGTGAAAAGTCCAATTATACCTGACAAGTGAAATTAGAAAATGTAAACATGGTAAAAAGAAAACAGGTTGATATTATTTTTAAATATGTTTCTACACCACAGCAATCTAAAAACAAATATGTGTGAGACTCTGGGCCACAAACATTATTTTCCTCAATAAGTTAACAAAGTTTCTGCCATCTTGGATGGATTTGTTTGGATTTTGCTGATTTTAAGTGATCCGAGTTCCTTTTTCAACAAGTATTGATGAATGTACCCCTTTCCTTAGTACATTTCAGATTGTCAGACCAAGAGGCGAGGGTGCAGTGAACGCCATCACCAACTTTGAGAAGGTGATACTCACCCTAAACACCACCTTGACAACAGCTGCCGAAGCAAGGGTAACCATTGCAGAAGCACAGGCCAATCTCAACAGTGTCACCATAGCAAATCTGGAGGCACAAGCTAATGCCTCAAAGGCAGAGAGCGACCAAATACTGGCCATGATTAACACCATCAACTATCAACCGGAGGGTAAGGTGTTTTGTAGCCTTGCTCCAAGGCTGTGCTGACAGACTGTGTATAATTCTATCTTTGCAATAGGCAAGTCTAGATAAGGGGACAGTCTAAGGAAACCAGACCTTTATGGGGACAACTTATTCAGATTATTTATATGAGTTAGAAATTATTTAAAAAAAATAATTATTGCCTTAGAGACTTGTGCAGGTGTAGGTGTTTCGTTTGATTCAATCACTTGGGTCATTGAATAGAAAGAGATCAAGGTGAGGCTCATATAAACTTTATTTTCTGGAAATTTATGAAATAAGGATGTTGGATATAATATTGGTATTTACGTACAAAAATTGTTCTAGTAATAGTTATTTCGGACGAAATGTGATGTTTCACTGTCTAACGTCACTACCAGGCTGACTTTCAAACCCTTATAAAAAAATAAAGGCCTGAAAAGATGCATCCTAGCCTGCCTTAATCATTCCCCGCAAGGCACATTTTTACCTTCTCTGCAGGGTCTTAAGGAAGTCTCTAGATATTCCCGGCAAATGTCTCCACACCATCTCGGCAAACTACTCCAACTTGCAGCTTGCTGAGAAGTATCCAAGACTTCCTTACAGTACCTACTGAAGTAGTCTCCGATACTTCCTCAGAACTAACCTTATATGGCTAATTAAATATGCTTTGAACCATCTCGGTTGAGAAACAGTACAAAAAACGTGAGATCCTCTGCCCTGTGCAACATGCAATCCCATATGTCATTCTTGATAATGAAAACTTGCGTTATGGATGGTGATTCATAGAAAAAAAATCAGTTTTATTAAGAAATGGTACAAACTTGTTTTCTTAAGTGATCTTTGCTCAGGTGAAATAAGGAATTGAAAAAGTTAAACAGTTTTCCATGTTTGTTGATCTACTTTGATATTTGTTTCTTTCTGAAATACATTCAAACACCGTTGTGTCAAACTTTGATGTGTTGAACTTATGGTTGTCTCGAAGTAAAAGCTTGGTCCCTGGGTATTCCTTCCTTATTCATCACTCTTTGGTTGCCAAACCTTGGATAACTCAAAGTATTTACGTTTGTCAGTTTAACTTAGACACAATGGTATTTAACTGTAGTTAAATTAGGTTGGAAAAAAAGTCAATAATCCAATGCAATACACAATGTAAATTTACTTTCCAATATCATCAAATACTTTTTGTCTGGTTTAATGGTTTGATCCTTGCAATTTTTACATGCAATTGTTAACTTTGTGTGTTTTTAGTCTTGAACAGCCGTCTGCAAGGTGTCAACACAAGCATTCAAATTGCCAGAGCCACATGGGTTCCCATTGATGCAAGACTTCCACAACTGCAGCTGAGGGCAGACATACTCAAGACTCGAAGTGGAGGTCAGTTCTCATCCTAAGCTGGCTGTTGAATTTAGTCAGTGTTGTCTACCATATACATTTTGTTATTTTTTTGTTTTATTTTTTGTTGTGTAAAGCCCACTCAGCAGTATCCCAGCTATATGATGGCAATCTGTAAAAAATCAAGTCTGAAACAGACAGTCCAGTGATTGAAAGCATGAGCATTGATCTACACAGTTGGGATTCGATGACCATCAACCAAGTATGCGAGCCTGACATACCAATCCTGTTAGTGGCCTCTTATGACAAGATGGGTTGCAGAAGACCAGTGCTAATCCGAAGACCAATTCTAACCTGGATACTCACGCGCTACCATATATGTACTTCTGATGGAAAGCTGAAAGTTCATTTCAGATTCTCTGGTGGTTGACTTCTCTGTTTGGTTTTATCTCACAATGAATCTAACTTTTAGCCAATATAAAATAATAGGAATACATATCACCTATTTTTATGCTTGTATGATCTCAATAAAAAAAATCCAGCACTGAAAGTTAGGCTGCAAGTTTTTCTACTGAGTACTTGAGACTTGTGCTAGCTGGTGGCTGAACTATCATTGGCCTTCAGTAAGTAGAGCGTAAGCGTAAGAGTAAACCTGATATTTGATACTTGACAGTTATGCCCCAATTATATTTCTGGGTTTGTCAGCACCATACCAGTGCTCGTTGGTTTCACCAATCTGGTTAACGAACTGCATCACTTCAGGCTTTCCTCCACATTAAGTTGACACACTGTGATATAACTTGAATACTGTTCGAAGTGGCGTTCCACCCAACTCACTCACTGCTTGTAGATACATGATGTTATCTGTAGTTTGAGATATCAGGGGTGGTGAGTTTGGACCATACACTAAAAGCCTATTAGTCCAGATCCCACTGAAATACATTCAGAATTAATGAATCATATGGGTTTGGAGAAATGTCCCTTGTTCCAGCAGGAATGTTTCAGAAGGTGATTAATGGAATCAGAACTAACAGGGCTTGAGTGTATCTAAACTAATTGGGGCATGACTAGAGTGAGTGAGTTGGGTTTAACACCGCTTTTAACAGTATTCCAGTTCTATCGCAGCGTGTCAGCTTAGGAAAGCCCTAAGTATTGCAGGTCTTGGATGTTTACCACTTAGGTGAAACCCACGAGCACAGGTGTGGTGCTGACAAACCTAGAAACATAATTGGGGCAAACCGGGCTTCGAACCCACAATCATAGGTCTCTGGTGTGCCAAAAGGATGCAACTCTGCACAGCGAATCGCGGCGCCTTAGACGACTGGGCCTCTTGTGCGCCCGGGGGCATGACTGGAAAGATACTTTGTCTGAAAGGATATTTCCATCTTCCCGAGGCAAGAGAGTTAACTGACTTTAAAAGTCCAGTTTCCACCCTTGCCGAACTACGCTGAATTCCTGGGCTCGATCGTAGCGCCACCAGTGGCTATTATGAGTTATGTCACTTCTATGCCTCTCCTATGGACCAATCAGATTCCACCCTTCGTATCACTTGCAGTTGCTTCAAACAAAATGGTGGCGCCCAGTCAAGACAATCTGATCGATAATCAAGATCTATATTGTGATAAAACGGATCTTACATCGCGAAGTGCATCAAATCACCTGAGGACCTTGATTAAAAACATGAAAAGAATTGACAAATATCTGTTGACAGTGCACATGCTTTGCAAATCCTGCAATCAACCGAAATCTGCCTGACAGTTTATGTACCGGATTTCGATTTCAATGCACGATTTTGGTTGGACTATGCATAAACTCGTTAGTCCAGCCAAAACTCCATAATACCAGCCTAATTCAGCAAGGGTGGAAACTGGACTTTTATAGTCAGTTAACTCTCTTGCCTCGGGAAGATGGGATATTTCAAGTTCATGAATATGTGAATAGTTAATGGATTTTTTATTATGAATGGGATATTTTTTCAGCTGAAGTTAATCAAGCTACCAGCCTTGCCCAAGAGGCTATATTGAAGACTTCAACCACGCAGAGTTCATTGTCATCGGCGAATATGACTTTAGCTAATGTGAGGACAAGTGTCGATACAATTAAAAATCTCAATGACAGGGGTCTACAGCTCACGAGCTCGGTTTCCAACAAAGGTAAATACAAAAGATTGTATGGAAATATTTGACATATCTGTCCTGTAGACAGTGGGTTACAGTCTTGTCATGTTTGGCCAGTAGACTGTAGGTTCCAGGCTTGTCATGTTTGTCCACTAGACGGTCTTGTCATGTTTGGCCAGTAGACTGTAGGTTTCAGAATTACCATGTTTGTCCACTAGACGGTAGGTTCCAGTGTTGCCATGTTTGTCCAGTAGACTGTAGGTTTCAGAATTACTATGTTTGTCCAGTAGATGGTAGGTTTCAGAATTATCATGTTTGTCCAGTAGAATGTAGGTTCCAGTCTTGTCATGTTTGTCCAGTAGACAGTATTCCAGTCTTGTCATGTTTGTTCATTTGAGTGTAGGTTCACAATGTATCATCTAGATACTAAATCTAGACATTTCTTAAGACAAGACTACTGTGAATGAAGTTTGTGCATTCCTGATAAGAACTACCAAGTCAGTAAATAATGCCTCAAATTTAATATAAATATTAAACAAGAAATATGAAATGTTCTTTGAAACAATGGATATGTCACTTATGACTACTATTCCAAAGGGCTTCTGATTTGTTCAGGCAATACTAATATTTCTTCACTCATTAATGTTTGACATCCTTCTTGGTTATTTCAACCTAAAATAATGTCCCTGTCTACTTCACAGTCATGTTATGGAAGAAGTATACCATGTATTAACCACTAAACATACACACAACTTGTTTTTTCTTAAAACCACCCTCTTGATTACTTTTTTTAACCTCCTTTTTCAAAATTGGGATGTTACCTAAATGAATGTCTTTTACAGCTATCTGTAATATTCATAACTTGTTTCAACATCAAAACATCATTCAAATTTTAGACATGTTTTGTTGAAAAGAACTGCAAGTATTTCAATGTTGTTATTTTGCAGTTGGTGACATCGAAGCTCGCATGGACTCCATGACAAGAACAATAGAGGGTATCAGGCAGCACCAACAAACTGTAACAGGCCAACAAGCAAACATCAACAACAGAATTGGCAGTATTGAAGCTAAGTTGCTCCGGGCCAAGGCATTGCTAGGGAAGTTCCGCTATCCTGTCAAGTTCAATGGGTCTTCAGGCGTGTCTATCACAAACCCCTCTAAAGATGTAGCGCTGCCTTACACGGACGTGGAGTTCACTTTCCAGAAGATTGCAACGGTTAACAATGCCCTGCTGTTCTTCTCTGAAAATAATGCCACAGTTGAAGTGCTCAGTGTTGAGATTGTTAATAATCAGGTTCACATGCAGTTCAACTGGACCTCTGGAAACTCTGCCATCACCAGCCTGGCAAATCTTTGTGATGACTGCTGGTTCCGAGTGCAAGCCTCAAGGTAAATCTGGATGATGTAGCAGTTTTTGTAGCTCACCTTATTGAGTTTGGTATGACATTGCTTTGAACAATATTTCAATTATATTATGGCATGTCAGGTTAATGTGGGAGGAAAGCCCATAGTGATGCAAGTGTTAGATGTTTACCACTTTGGTGGAACCCACTAGCATGGGTATGGTTCTCAAAATCGAGAAACATTATAAGGGTGAATTGTGGCACCTTAGACGACTCGGTGACCATATCTTTCAAAATTAAGTGACCTGATGTTATGGTGCTTTGTCGTCTCCATCATAAACTTCAATTGTTTTTAGTTCTCCTTTGTAACCCTTGTATGGCCTTTCTGATCAAATATAATGTTCAATAAAGAAAATCAGGTCAGCTACAGACTTTTCCAGCCTCTATCTAAAAAATCCATTAATGCATGGTATCCAAAAATGTTTCATGTATATCTCATTTATTCATAGGAATCTATGGTAATAGAATACCTGTTTACAATCTCAATGAACACTTGCAGTCAGTTCTGTTACTGTTTGATTAAATTCATGCTTATGTTGAAACGTTTGTCCTTGTGATTTAACTAATACAATTCAGGGTCTAACAACCATCTAATAGGCAATAGGTGATGTCTCGAGATGTCTTATTTCTGAAGGATTTGATTTTTTAAAGAATATTATTTGATGTTTTATTATCATTATAAGATGATCAATGCTGCTTTCTGTAGTGTTATGGCAATAACAGAATACCAAGAATGAGCTGGGAATCAAACCTGGGATGCCAGCCTGACAAGCAAACACTGTAACCAATGGGCTAACTTTAATTCTTTATATGTGGAACAAAGATAGATGTTTTAATGAAGATACAATCTGTGACAGGTATAACACCTTGGTGTTCCTGGCGGTGACGTTGGTGTCGACTGGCGGTGTAGCTGCTGCTGCTGCCCCCCCTATTACTAAGGAGCCATTGACGTTCAACTCGCCACTTTACTTTGGAAGCCTGCCCGTTAGTGTTCAGGTATGTTCAATTTGTTAAATTGTTTGACTATTGTAGGAACTATTTTGAGTGAGTTAATTAGTATGGTTTTACGCCACTTTTAGCAATATTCCAGGAATATCACGACGGGGGACACAAGAAATAGGCATCACAAATGTACCAATGTCGGGAATCGAACCTGGATCTTCAGCGTCTCGAGCGTACGCTTTTAACCACTAGGCTACCCGACTGCCTCAGGAACTATTTTGAAGAAACCATTCTATTCAAATGTTATCTGTGTCAATCATTATATGTGGTGTGAAATAATACAGAATAAAACTTGTTAGACAATTTATTTGAATACAATTGTGCAAGTAGACTGTTGACGGAAAAATGGTTGTGAGCTGAAACAATTCTCATTCAAAAGAAATAAAATGCTTCAATGTAATGCTTTGTTGATTCATGTGGCCTCCTAAATAAGATAAAGTTTTAGTTATTAATACCACTGAAATGTGAACTGTTTTTTTCAGACAAGCAAAGTCAGTAGCCGATCTGGGTTTGAAGGCTGCATGTATGATGTGAAATTCAATGGAGGAGATGTGGAAATATGGCAAGAGTCCATCAATGCTGGGAACACACCTCAGTGTTGCCGAACGCCCACGCCAACACCCCCAACATTGGCTGCAGGGGTCAGCTTCGATGGCTTCGGACAACTGGTGCTGAATGCAGGAGTCCTGAACATTACAGACGTCCCACTGAATATCACCTTCAAGTTCAGGACATTTAACCCCAATGCATATCTGTTCCTGGTTGCAAGAGACAGTGTTCCTGTTATGTTTGGTATTTACCTAAGTAATGGCTACATTGTGTTAGAAATTGGCACTGCCGGTGCCCCACAGAACCGCATTCAGACAACCAACAAATTCAACACGGGAGATTGGTTCCAGGTAAGACTTGGTCTATTAAACAAATTCAAGGATGTCTTCCTGACATTATTGTCTGTAATTTACGCTATTGATGTACATCAGTGTATCCTATTACTTTGCAATCATTAACAATTTGGGTAACGAATAGATTTATACACTTTGGTTAACTCTTTGAATTGGTGCATTTGTGATAATGTTGTGACAGGTGTTTTTCTTGGTGAATAGGTCATAAATGTATGTCCATTTGCATCCATGAGTACAAGTACCTTTACATAAAGGTTGTATGAAGGTTGTAGGGTTGTATGAAGGTTGTAGGGTTGTATGAAGGTTGTAGGGTTACATGAGGGTTGTATGAAGGTTGTAGGGTTGTATGAGGGTTGTAGGGTTGTATGAAGGTTGTAGGGTTGTATGAAGGTTGTAGGGTTACATGAGGGCTGTAGGGTTGTATGAAGGTTGTAGGGTTGTATAAAGGTTGTAGGGTTGCATGAGGGCTGTAAGGTTGTATGAAAGTTGTAGGGTTACATGAGAGCTGTAGGGTTGTATGAAGGTTGTAGGGTTACATGAGGGCTGTAGGGTTGTATGAAGGTTGTAGGGTTGTATGAAGGTTGTAGGGTTACATTAGGGCTGTAGGGTTGTATGAAGGTTGTAGGGTTGTATGAAGGTTGTAGTGTTACATTAGGGTTGTATGAAGGTTGTAGGGTTACATAAGGGTTGTATGAAGGTTGCAGGGTTGTATTAAGGTTGTTATGGTAGAGTTACATGACTCTATGTATATGTGTTGAGAGTGTGTTGCATGTGCCTAAGTGAGGAAAGGACGAACCGTCAAAGTGATTAAATATGTTGACTTCCCTGACAGGTTGTTGCTCAGCACAGCACCCAGAACTCCCTTCAGATCTTCCAGGATGGAGTGGGATCTATTGAAGCTGTCACCCCGGTGCCTGATAATCCTGTAGACTTGACACCTCTGCAAGGGCAGGACATCACATTCGGCTCAGATAAGAGACCCAACTCAATCACGTGAGATATTATTCATGAGGGGTGACTTTCAAGAGTATTTTTGGTATTGCAATAGTACTATGATATTCAACATGGTAACACAGCCTAACACATCTGCATAGTGCTATATTCAGCAGATACTGCTCGGGACCATGTCAGGGCGTAAGGAAGGTACCCCTTATCATTTTCAGATAACCATGTCTCTTTGAACAGGGTGGATTTTGGATGATATCTGTATTAGGGCTGGGACGAGTCCAAATTTACTACCCAGGTACCCACCCCCTATTACCCAACCCTACCCGGGTACCCACTGTAGGTCTCAGGAGATGTCTCAAAATGTCCGATTGGGAACATTTTTAGCATAGCCCTGGCAAAACGTATTTAGATACACGTATTAAACAATCTGGTCATTCATACACTGAAGTTGAATTAAGTTATATCTTTATTCAACCATATGAAAAATCAGAAGGAATGGGTGCACAGTCAGAAAAAAATGCAAACATAAGTGACTTGTAGTGTTACCATAATTTTTGTCATTAACAGTATATCACGTGACTAACCATGGGTCCGGGTAGTCCTGTGGGTACCCGGGTCCTACTCAGTACCCATCCAACCCGGGTACCCGAGTTACCAGTCCCAGCCCTAATCTGTTTGCTTATATTTTATATAGTCTGTTGATACTATCTACAGTGTAGTCAAGCATGGATAGTAAAAATGTACTATTATTTATATGCTTTGAGAAGGGTGCACCCGGTACACTCGATCTTTTCAAATGCAGTGCACATTTAGTACACTGCTGTGGGTAATGGTAATATCAATCAATCAGTGTATCAGTCATTATTTTGTAGTGAAGAGGCCACAGGCCTGTAGTACATACACTGCTGAGTAGTGTAGCATGGTTATTTCTGTGAGAGAATACTTCTTAACAGCAATGCATTACTAACAAGCATGAAATACTCACATCCCCCGACAATATGACATGTCGGGTGTGTGCAATGCATTAGCTCCTGTGAACTATGTTCACTGGGCCTTTTTGTAAAGAAATATAGTACGTTTTCAAGATCTGCTCCGGAAACGAGGACTACCACCATTTTCAGTCTAAATCAAAGTCGTTCCCATGGAAACTCGAAAAATAACCTTTAAAAAAAATCCCAAACTATCAAAAGGCACCAGTTCACCACTAGAACTATCAATGGGAAAAATATGGTAAAGAAAAATGGTACGGTTTTCAAGATCTGCTCCGGAAACGAGGACTACCACAATTTTCAGTCTAAATCAAAGTCGTTACAATGAAAACTCGAAAAATCTTGTTTTTAAAAATTCCCAAACTATCAAAAGGCACCAGTTCACCACTAGATCTATCTATGTGCCAAGTTTTGTGAAGAAATATAGTATGTTTTCAAGATCTGCTCCGGAAACGAGGACTACCACCATTTTCAGTCGAAATCAAAGTCGTTCCCATGGAAACTCGAAAAATAACTTTTAAAAAAAATCCCAAACTATCAAAAGGCACCAGTTCACCACTAGAACTATCAATGGGAAAAATATGGTAAAGAAAAATGGTACGGTTTTCAAGATCTGCTCCGGAAACGAGGACTACCACAATTTTCAGTCTAAATCAAAGTCGTTACAATGAAAACTCGAAAAATCTTGTTTTTAAAAATTCCCAAACTATCAAAAGGCACCAGTTCACCACTAGATCTATCTATGTGCCAAGTTTTGTGAAGAAATATAGTATGTTTTCAAGATCTGCTCCGGAAACGAGGACTACCACCATTTTCAGTCGAAATCAAAGTCGTTCCCATGGAAACTCGAAAAATAACTTTTAAAAAAAATCCCAAACTATCAAAAGGCACCAGTTCACCACTAGAACTATCAATGGGAAAACTATGGTAAAGAAAAATGGTACGGTTTTCAAGATCCGCTCCGGAAACGAGGACTACCACAATTTTCAGTCTAAATCAAAGTCGTTACAATGAAAACTCGAAAAATCTTGTTTTTAAAAATTCCCAAACTATCAAAAGGCACCAGTTCACCACTAGATCTATCTATGTGCCAAGTTTTGTGAAGAAATATGGTACGGTTTTCAAGATCTGCTCCGGAAACGAGGACTACCGCCATTTTCAGTCTAAATCAAAGTCGTTCCCATGGAAACTCGAAAAATAACTTTATTTAAAATCCCAAACTATCAAAAGGCACCAGTTCACCACTAGATCTATCTATGTGCCAAGTTTGGTGAAGAAATATGGTACGGTTTTCAAGATCTGCTCCGGAAACGAGGACTACCGCCATTTTCAAGTCTAAATCAAAGTCGTTGCCATGGAAACTCGAAAAATAATTATTTTTTTAAAAATCCCAAACTATCAAAAGGCACCAGTTCACCACTAGATCTATCTATGTGCCAAGTTTGGTGAAGAAATATGGTACGGTTTTCAAGATCTGCTCCGGAAACTAAATGTGACGGACGGACGGAAGGACGGACGGACGGCTACCATTCCTATATCCCCCTTCCACTTCGTGGCGGGGGATAAAAAATAATTTTTATATTTTAAAAATCCCAAACTATCAAAAAGCACCAGTTCACCACCATATCTATCTATGTGCCAAGTTTGGTGAAGAAATATGGTACGGTTTTCAAGATCTGCTCCGGAAACGAAATGGGACGGACGGCTACCATTCCTATATCCCCCTTCCACTTCATGGCGGGGGATAATAACCATAAACAATTTCTGTGAGGGTATACTATCAACAATTGTTTACAAGGATGCAAATTTGATGGTGCATATGCTGGGCACACAAGAAGAAAATGGTACTTGTCTTCAATATTCTTTTAGGCTGCATATTTGGAATATTCAGGTTTCTAATGGTAATTCTAATTCTAATTCTAATGCTAATATTGAACTGTCTTTTAATCACCGTCATTTCATATCTTTCCTGGTAATATAATTTTAATTGATTTACAGCATCCTAAACTTTCTGTTACAATATACTTAGTGCGGCGACACTCTCCAAGACATTCTCTGGCTGTATGAAGGACTTCACCCACTCAAGTGGAGGCGGCGTTGTCACACGGCTCTTCACCCAGGGCGTTGTCAGTCAGACAGGAGTCTCCGCCAGTGGGTGTCCACAAACGGTGAGAACAAACATGCACAAGTGGGATGCATGGGGGGCTCTTGTGGAGGGGGGGATGTGAAGTTTGTGGGTGGGATAACGCTGTAGGTAGTGGGTAAGGTGGTACAGTGGGTGGGTAGATGATACAGTGGGTGGGTAAGTTGATACAGTGGGTGGGTTAAAGTGATATTGTGGGTGGGTAAAGTGATACAGTGGGTGGGTAGATGATACAGTGGGTGGGTAGGGTGATATAGTGGATGGGTAAAGTGATATAGTGGATGGGTAAGGTGATATAGTGGGTGGGTAAGGTGATATAGTGGGTGAGTAAGGTGATACAGTGGGTGGGTAAGGTGATACAGTGGGTGAGTAAGGTGATATAGTGGATGGGTAAAGTGATACAGTGGATGGGTAAGGTGATATAGTGGGTGGGTAAAGTGATACAGTGGATGGGTAAGGTGATATAGTGGGTGGGTAAGGTGATACAGTGGGTGGGTAAGGTGATACAGTGGGTGGGTAAGGTGATATAGAGGGTGGGTAAATTGATATAGTGGATGGGTAAGGTGATATAGTGGGTGGGTAAGGTGATATAGTGGGTGGGTAAATTGATACAGTGGATGGGTAAATTGATACAGTGGGTGGGTAAATTGATATAGTGGATGGGTAAGGTGATACAGTGGGTGGGTAAGGTGATATAGTGGGTGGGTAAGGTGATACAGTGGGTGAGTAAAGTGATATAGTGGATGGGTAAATTGATACAGTGGGTGGGTAAGGTGATATAGTGGGTGGGTAAGGTGATACAGTGGGTGAGTAAAGTGATACAGTGGGTGTGTAAGGTGATACAGTGGGTGGGTTAATTGATATAGTGGATGGGTAGGGTGATACATTGGGTGGGTAAAGTCATACAGTGGGTGGGTAAAGTGATACAGTGGGTGGGTAAGGTGATACAGTGGGTGGGTAAGGTGATACAGTGGGTGGGTAATTGATATAGTGGATGGGTAAGGTAATATAGTGGGTGGGTAAAGTGATACAGTCGGTGGGTAAGGTGATATAGTGGGTGGGTAAAGTGATATGGTGGATGGGTAAGGAGATATAGTGGGTGGGTAAAGTGATACAATGAGTGGGTAAAGATGTAGGTAGTGGAGAGGGTGATACAGTGGGTGGGTAAAGTTGTAGGTAGTGGATAGGGTGATACAGTGGGTGCGCAAAGCTGTAGGTAGTGGATAGGGTGATACAGTGGGTGGGCAAAGCTGTAGGTAGTGGATAGGGTGATATAGTGGGTGGGCAAAGCTATAGGTAGTCGATAGGGTGATACAGTGGGTGGGTAAAGCTATAGGTAGTCGATAGGGTGATACAGTGGGTGGGTAAAGCTGTAGGTAGTGGATAGGGTGATACAGTGGGTGGGTAAAGCTGTAGGTAGTGGATAGGGTGATACAGTGGGTGGGCAAAGCTATAGGTAGTCGATAGGGTGATACAGTGGGTGGGAAAGCTGTAGGTAGTGTATAGGGTGATACAGTGGGTGGGTAAAGTTGTAGGTAGTGGATAGGGTGATACAGTGGGTGGGCAAAGCTGTAGGTAGTGGATAGGGTGATACAGTAGGTGGGCAAAGCTGTAGGTCGTGGATAGGGTGATACAGTGGGTGGGCAAAGCTGTAGGTAGTGGATAGGGTGATACAGTAGGTGGGCAAAGCTGTAGGTCGTGGATAGGGTGATACAGTGGGTGGGCAAAGCTGTAGGTAGTGGATAGGGTGATACAGTAGGTGGGCAAAGCTGTAGGTAGTGGATAGGGTGATACAGTGGGTGGGCAAAGCTGTAGGTAGTGGAGAGGGTGATACAGTGGGTGGGCAAAGCTATAGGTAGTCGATAGGGTGATACAGTGGGTGGGAAAGCTGTAGGTAGTGTATAGGGTGATACAGTGGGTGGGTAAAGTTGTAGGTAGTGGATAGGGTGATACAGTAGGTGGGCAAAGCTGTAGGTAGTGGATAGGGTGATACAGTGGGTGGGCAAAGCTGTAGGTAGTGGATAGGGTGATATAGTGGGTGGGCAAAGCTATAGGTAGTCGATAGGGTGATACAGTGGGTGGGTAAAGCTATAGGTAGTCGATAGGGTGATACAGTGGGTGGGTAAAGCTGTAGGTAGTGGATAGGGTGATACAGTGGGTGGGTAAAGCTGTAGGTAGTGGATAGGGTGATACAGTGGGTGGGTAAAGTTGTAGGTAGTGGATAGGGTGATACAGTAGGTGGGCAAAGCTGTAGGTCGTGGATAGGGTGATACAGTGGGTGGGCAAAGCTGTAGGTAGTGGATAGGGTGATACAGTAGGTGGGCAAAGCTGTAGGTAGTGGATAGGGTGATACAGTGGGTGGGCAAAGCTGTAGGTAGTGGAGAGGGTGATACAGTGGGTGGGTAAAGCTGTAGGTAGTGGAGAGGGTGATACAGTGGGTGGGAAAGCTATAGGTAGTGGATAGGGTGATACAGTGGGTGGGTAAAGTTGTAGGTAGTGGATAGGATGATACAGTGGGTGGGTAAAGCTGTAGGTAGTGGATAGGGTGATACAGTGGGTGGGCAAAGCTGTAGGTAGTGGAGAGGGTGATACAGTGGGTGGGTAAAGATGTAGGTAGTGGATAGGGTGATACAGTAGATGGATATAGTTATAGTTTGTAGTTATGATCATGAGAGATAACTAAGTATTATGTTTACATCTTATTTTTCAGACAATTTCGGGCATCATGCTAACTTCAGACTCTTCATTCCTGGAACTGGCTTTACCACCGGGTGTCATCTCGAATATAAACATGGATATTGTAACCACAAAGTCCAATGGTGTCCTCATGTACATCAAGGACCCTGCATCAGTGAGTATTGCCTTGCTATCCTGTAATCTCCAGTCAGTCTCTAACATCAGTGAGTATTGCCTTGCTATCCTGTAATCTCCAGTCAGCCTCTAACATCAGTGAGTATTGCCTTGATGTCCTGTAATCTCCAGTAAGCCTCTAACATCAGTGAGTATTACCCTTGATATCCTGTAATCTCCAGTCAGTCTCTAACATCAGTGAGTATTGCCTTGATATCCTGTAATCTCCAGTAAGCCTCTAACATCAGTGAGTATTGCCTTGATATCCTGTAATCTCCAGTCAGTCTCTAACATCAGTGAGTAATGTCCTTTATATCCTGTAATCTCCAGTCAGTCTCTAACATAAGTGAGTATTGTCCTTTATATCCTGTAATCTCCAGTCAGCCTCTTACATCAGTGAGTATTACCCTTGATATCCTGTAATCTCCAGTCAGCCTCTAACATCAGTGAGTATTGCCTTGATATCCTGTAATCTCCAGTCAGTCGCTAACATCAGTGAGTATTGCCCTTGATATCCTGTAATCTCCAGTCAGTCTCTAACATCAGTGAGTATTGTCCTTGATATCCTGTAATCTCCAGTCAGTCTCTAACATCAGTGAGTATTGCCTTGATATCCTGTAATGTCCAGTCAGTCTCTAACATCAGTATGTATTACCCTTGATATCCTGTAATCTCCAGTCAGTCTCTAACATCAGTGAGTATTTCCTTGATATCCTGTAATCTCCAGTCAGCCTCTAACATCAGTGAGTATTGTCCTTGATATCCTGTAATCTCCAGCCAGTCTCTAACATCAGTGAGTATTGTCCTTGATATCCTGTAATCTCCAGTCAGCCTCTAACATCAGTGAGTATTGCCTTGATATCCTGTAATCTCCAGTCAGTCTCTAACATCAGTGAGTATTGCCTTGATATCCTGTAATCTCCAGTCAGTCTCTAACATCAGTGAGTATTGCCTTGATATCCTGTAATCTCCAGTCAGTCTCTAACATCAGTGAGTATTGCCTTGATCTCCTGTAATCTCCAGTCAGTCTCTAACATCAGTGAGTATTGCCTTGATATCCTGTAATCTCCAGTCAGTCTCTAACATCAGTGAGTATTGCCTTGATACCTGTAATCTCCAGTCAGTCTCTAACATCAGTGAGTATTGCCTTGATATCCTGTAATCTCCAGTCAGTCTCTAACATCAGTGAGTATTGCCTTGATCTCCTGTAATCTCCAGTCAGTCTCTAACATCAGTGAGTATTGCCTTGATACCTGTAATCTCCAGTCAGTCTCTTACATCAGTGAGTATTGCCTTGATATCCTGTAATCTCCAGTCAGTCTCTAACATCAGTGAGTATTGCCTTGATATCCTGTAATCTCCAGTTAGTCTCTAACATCAGTGAGTATTGCCTTGATATCCTGTAATCTCCAGTCAGTCTCGAACATCAGTGAGTATTGCCTTGATATCCTGTAATCTCCAGTCAGTCTCTAACATCAGTGAGTATTGCCTTGATATCCTGTAATCTCCAGTCAGTCTCTAACATCAGTGAGTATTGCCTTGATCTCCTGTAATTTCCAGTCAGTCTCTAACATCAGTGAGTAATGTCCTTGATATCCTGTAATCTCCAGTCAGTCTCTAACATCAGTGAGTATTGCCTTGATATCCTGTAATCTCCAGTCAGTCTCTAACATCAGTGAGTATTGCCTTGATCTCCTGTAATCTCCAGTCAGTCTCTAATATCAGTGAGTATTGCCTTGATATCCTGTAATCTCCAGTCAGTCTCTAACATCAGTGAGTATTGCCTTGATACCTGTAATCTCCAGTTAGTCTCTAACATCAGTGAGTATTGCCTTGATATCCTGTAATCTCCAGTCAGTCTCGAACATCAGTGAGTATTGCCTTGATATCCTGTAATCTCCAGTCAGTCTCTAACATCAGTGAGTATTGCCTTGATATCCTGTAATCTCCAGTCAGTCTCTAACATCAGTGAGTATTGCCTTGCTATCCTGTAATCTCCAGTCAGTCTCTAACATCAGTGAGTATTGCCTTGATCTCCTGTAATTTCCAGTCAGTCTCTAACATCAGTGAGTATTGCCTTGATATCCTGTAATCTCCAGTCAGCCTCTTACATCAACGAGTATTACCTTGATATCCTGTAATCTCCAGTCAGTCTCTAATATCAGTGAGTATTGCCTTGATATCCTGTAATCTCCAGTCAGTCTCTAACATCAGTGAGTATTGCCTTGATACCTGTAATCTCCAGTCAGTCTCTAACATCAGTGAGTATTGCCTTGATATCCTGTAATCTCCAGTCAGTCTCTAACATCAGTGAGTATTGCCTTGATATCCTGTAATCTCCAGTTAGTCTCTAACATCTGTGAGTATTGCCTTGCTATCCTGTAATCTCCAGTCAGTCTCGAACATCAGTGAGTATTGCCTTGATATCCTGTAATCTCCAGTCAGTCTCTAACATCAGTGAGTATTGCCTTGATATCCTGTAATCTCCAGTCAGTCTCTAACATCAGTGAGTATTGCCTTGATACCTGTAATCTCCAGTCAGTCTCTAACATCAGTGAGTATTGCCTTGATATCCTGTAATCTCCAGTCAGTCTCTAACATCAGTGAGTATTGCCTTGATATCCTGTAATCTCCAGTTAGTCTCTAACATCAGTGAGTATTGCCTTGATATCCTGTAATCTCCAGTCAGTCTCGAACATCAGTGAGTATTGCCTTGATATCCTGTAATCTCCAGTCAGTCTCTAACATCAGTGAGTATTGCCTTGATATCCTGTAATCTCCAGTCAGTCTCTAACATCAGTGAGTATTGCCTTGATCTCCTGTAATTTCCAGTCAGTCTCTAACATCAGTGAGTAATGTCCTTGATATCCTGTATTCTCCAGTCAGTCTCTAACATCAGTGAGTATTGCCTTGATATCCTGTAATCTCCAGTCAGTCTCTAACATAAGTGAGTATTGCCTTGATCTCCTGTAATCTCCAGTCAGTCTCTAACATCAGTGAGTATTGCCTTGCTATCCTGTAATCTCCAGTCAGTCTCTAACATCAGTGAGTATTGCCTTGATCTCCTGTAATTTCCAGTCAGTCTCTAACATCAGTGAGTATTGCCTTGATATCCTGTAATCTCCAGTCAGCCTCTAACATCAGTGAGTATTACCTTGATATCCTGTAATCTCCAGTCAGTCTCTAATATCAGTGAGTATTGCCTTGATATCCTGTAATCTCCAGTCAGTCTCTAACATCAGTGAGTATTGCCTTGATACCTGTAATCTCCAGTCAGTCTCTAACATCAGTGAGTATTGCCTTGATATCCTGTAATCTCCAGTCAGTCTCTAACATCAGTGAGTATTGCCTTGATATCCTGTAATCTCCAGTTAGTCTCTAACATCAGTGAGTATTGCCTTGCTATCCTGTAATCTCCAGTCAGTCTCGAACATCAGTGAGTATTGCCTTGATATCCTGTAATCTCCAGTCAGTCTCTAACATCAGTGAGTATTGCCTTGATATCCTGTAATCTCCAGTCAGTCTCTAACATCAGTGAGTATTGTCCTTGATATCCTGTAATCTCCAGTCAGTCTCTAACATCAGTGAGTAATGTCCTTGATATCCTGTAATCTCCAGTCAGTCTCTCACATCAGTGTGCTGTAATCTCTAGTCAGTCTCAAACATCAGTGTGCTGTAATCTCCAGTCAGTCTCTAACATCAGTGAGTGGTGTTGTCCATTTCCTATTGCCATTGAGCAATAACATATCATGTCATGAAATAGTCATTTTTTGTATTGCAATATGAGGATGTCACTTAAAAATACATGTTTTCTCGTAAAATTAGAAAAGGATATAATTTTAAGAAATGACTAAGTCTATGCAGAAATATAAAACTATATTTCCACATGTGTAATAACAAACAGGTGTCATTTGTTTAAAAGTCACTTTCCATGAAGACATTTTATGTTGGCTTTGATTTTTGTGAAGATTTTGATTCCTCATACAAGATGGAATTTGTCCATCTTTGTTTCCTTTGTCACCAAATATATTCTATCAAGTATTGTGAGATTCAAAGTAACATCTTCATATGTTCATTAATATTTGCTTCACTTTATAGTTCTATTGTGACATTGATATGTGTTTGAAGAGCTGCTTGTGTTTCAGCCAACTGCCCTGTATCTTGCACTATTCAATGGAAATCTGATGCTGGACTACACAGCCTCCAGCCAAGTCCAGTTGGTGTCCTTTGACCCGTACCTCAGTGATGGACGGCTGCACTCGGTCACAGTCAACCTCACCAGGTATAGTGCAGTCATGTCCCTTAGCAATGCCAGGATCCGCTGGTAACGGGTTCAAGCCTAAGATTTGTCTCAGTTATGATCCAAATGCCCATGTGGGCGAGTGGTTTGAGCGGTCCAGGTGAGCTCATGGCCTGGCACTTTGTCTGTTCTTCATCTGACGTACCTTCCGGCAATTACCGTATTAGACGTAATACGCGCCCAGGGCACTCTCAAAATCAGAAATAAGGAACTCATATTAGAATATTATTTTGGTGGGAAAAAAAACAGTTGAAAGATCGTAAAGTTTGTGGTTTATGCTGACAGCCTGAAATGTTTATATACGACACATATATTTTTCCAGAATTTAATTGCCCATAATTAAGGGTGCATATAACACACGAATGCGTATTATACACAAATAAATACGTCTCGTGTACATTGATCAATCGGATGGGGTGCTAATTGGGATTGTTCACGAGCCAATATGTTAGCAAATATCACCGTGGGTGCTCATTGGAGCGGGGCGCCTATTACGTTGAATACGGTAGTTTTGTGAAGGGATGATCCTGACACATCAGGAGATGTCTTGCACCAAAATGTGACTCCCTTTCTTCACAACATTGAGTTGAAATAATGTGGCTTTAAGCTCACTTTTAAACACACCTGGGCCCCGTTCCACAAAACGATCTTAGCGCTAAGATGATCGTAACTCCCATACTTTAACATAGGCTAACGACAATCATAGCACTAAGATCGCTTTGTGGAACAGGCCCCTGGTGAGCAACTGTGGGGGAGATCAGACTGTAAGATGGGGGAGATCTGCCTCCAAAGGGGGAGATTTGTAAAATAGTGACACTAACACTTGAAGAAGGTAAATTACAACTTTAATTTTTTATCCCCCCAACATATAATGACGGGGGGATATAGCCATCAGTATGTCCATCTGTCCATACGTCCGTCTGTAATCATTGTTTGTCCGGAGCATATTTCCTAAACCGTACAACCTAGCTTCACAAAAATTGGTACACTTACCAATCAGGCTCAGTAGAAGTGCATTTTGCTATTTAGAGATTTTTTAAATTTTATATTTTTGTTGTTTCCATGGAAATATTATGAACTTAGGAAATTTGAGGGTACTGCTCTTGTCTGGAGCATATTTTCTAAACCGTACAACTTAGCTTCTCAAAAGATTTTACACCTATCAAGCAGGTTATGTAGTGGTGCTATTAACAGATTTTTTCTTTTTTTTTCTTTTTTTCAATTTAAATTGAAAATTGATGAACTTAGGGTAATGTCCTCGTCTGGAGCATATCTTCTAAACCATGCGACAGAGATTCACCAAACTTTATGCACATATCAATCATGTTCACTAGTAGTGCAGTTTGTTATTTATAGATTTTAATCTTTTTAATTTGTAGCCCCTGACATATAATGAAACAAGATGTATAGGTTGTTTTTTTGGTTTTTTTACCGACATGCCACGTCGGGGGGATATGTCATCTTCGGATGACTCTTGTTTATTTTTATCAAGAAAACAAAAATAGTTTAAAACTACAATTTAGAATCACAGACAATCAGGATCAAACATTTTCCGTTCATTGTATTATCGTTTTCATTTAATTGCTGTGGTTTCAACATATTCATGGTTATCAGAATTAATTAATGATAGCTGTTAATATTACTTGGCGATAAATAGTTACCGAGTGTTATACGGAGAAGGACGATTACATAACGTACTGTATGGATACCATATGAATAATTATTTGTGTGTATGAACAGCTAGCAAATTTCCATTTGCAGTTTCCTCCTCCAAGAATAAATCCAGACAAATGATCATCTCAAATGCCAACAGATATTGAGGACGAATGATCGGTAGCTTGACCAGTTCAGAGTCAGGGCTCTCAGTAATAAACACCATTTTGATTAGAATATATGCCAAAGAAATATCAATTTTATGATCGTCCCTTATTTCGTTAAAATATATTGTTTGTTCTGTCTGTGGTAGTCTGTTGATAGCCTGACTACTTCGCTTCATAAATTTCAGTGACCCGTGAAGATCTAGGGTAGAATAGGTCTTCAGCAACCCATGCTTGCCGTAAAAGGGGACTATGCTTGTCATAAAAGGCGACTAACGGGATCGGGTGGTCAGGCTCGCTGACTTGGTTGATGCATGTCATCAATCCCAATTGTGTGGATCGATGCTCATGATATCAATCACTGGATTGTCTGGTCCAGACTCGATCATATAGCTGGAATATTGCTGAGTGTGGCGTTAAACAACAAAACAACAACAACATAAATTTCAGTAGCCCATGATGCCGCAATGGTCTCTCACCCAAGCGATATCATCTGTGGAAGCCAGTTTGGGGTGATAAATTACATAACATAATTGACTGTACAATTACCTGAAACAACACACCATTCTATGTCTTGGGATGACTACATTTCCAACCGTGTGAATCTCAATATATGTCATATCTGTTTTCAGCCCTGCTATCACAGTTGACAGTAAGAGATATCTTTCCTTTAGTGCTGGGTCTCCGCTCACCCTGAATGCTAACACTCCAGTGTTCCTCGGAGGAACAAATAACAGCACTACCCTCGGCCCAGCCTACCCTGTCAAGACTTCATTTGTTGGTGGAATACGAAACTTGCAGATGAATGGCAGGTAAAGAGTTTAGACAGCTTAGAGTAGGAACCACTTATCAGCCTGTCTCAGAATGTGCTATTTATCATATATTCGCTGGAATAACGCTGATAATAATGTGGCTTAAAACAACAGTCACTCACTCACATGGACAGCTTGGGGACAAAACATTTGTCAACAACTTGGAAATCTTTTCAGCACTTTTGGTGTATTGATGAACTATGCAGTACCTGCAGAATGAACTTACGGTACATGCACTCAAAAAGGACCGCCTTGAGTTCAATACCCCGAGCTCTCAGTTTAACCTAAAGCTCTTGGATAAATTATACAATATTCGAGGAAATTCTTTGATAATGGCAAAATATAAAAGAATTGTATTTAAAAATATTTTGGGGGGATTACCGTAAATAACAGATATCACCTATCTGTTTCAGCCCAGTTAATATCTATCAGAATGATGTTATTAAAACATCGAGAGGAGCCGACCTTGCTGGAATCCCTACCCCTCCAAATGCTCCCCCTCCGATTCCATATACCACCTTGCCACCCCCTACCACTCTGCCGACCCCCACGTGCGGCACCCTGGCACCGTTCACATCCAGCACTTCAGGACTGTGGTTCACTGGCAGCAGCTACTGGCACAAAACTCTTGGAACTACAGAAAAAGAGTATTACAAGAATCCGTAAGTAGGAATGATTAATAAATATGTGTCAGAAGGGTAATATTTTGGAGAACTTATTTTACAGCAATTTCTTAAAGTGAATGTTTTCTATGCTGTCTGTTTTCATTGACACATCTATGTATGTGTTTATGTCAGGACACAAATGATGGGGGGGTGTATCGATCAAAGATCCATTGCTTTGATTAACTAAGTGAAGGAGTTTGGTTTTTACGCCACTTCAAATGGTATTCCACTTGTATCACAGCATGTCAGCTTGATGAGGGAGAAAAGCCACTTTTGTGAAACCCAAGAGCACAAATATGGTGTTGACAAACCTAGGAACATAATCAGGGCGAACCTAGATTAGAGACCCCTAGACTTTCATCTTAATTTGAAGACTGTGAAGTGATGTGCACAAAGATTCAATCATGTAAACCTTATTATTGCAACATGTTTGTTTGTTTGTTGTTTAATGCTGCACTCAGCAAAATTCCAGTTATATGACAGTGTTGCATACATAATTGTGTCTGGATCAGACAATCCAGTGATTGATGTCATGAGCATCGATCCATTTAATTGGTAACAATGACATGCATCAACCAAATCATCAAGCTTGACCACCCGATTCTGCTAGTCGCCTCTTACGACAAACGTAGTCGTCACTTACAGAAAGCATGGGTTGCTGAAGACCTATTCTAAGCCACATTAACATATGTAAGAAATTTATCATTTATCATCTTAATTTTGAAAACTACCAAGGGATGTGCACAAAGATTGAATCATGTAAACCATGCTATTGTCACAAATTTATTTTAACAGGTTTGCAAGTTACAAAGAAATATTTTTCGTGGGGAAACTTTAGTGTGATCAGTTGTGACCTGGCCCATGTTTCCCAGCCGATTGTTTTTGGTTTGAGACGGTGACTTGTCAATGAGAGATAGATTCTTTCGTGATAATACATTATACATTAGGGGGACACATATGTGAAATGGAATCATAGTTCATTGTAAAATGCCATTTTCTGAGATGAAGATGTACTGAATCCTGGTGATTCTCTTCACATTAAATACGTTTTGGCTTTGCCCACAGTGCATTCCCAGTACTATGTTGTCGTAACAAGAACTGAGTTTAATATGTTGTATCGAAGTACAACTTAGTTGAAGATGCATAGTGTGTCAAGACAAGACATATGAGCCACACTGTTGTAGTGTCTTGTTCTCGGGGTTACATGAATCAACTGAGTAGCCACCAAAAAGTCTTAAACAATAATTAAATACATACTTTTTGCTTTTGGACTTGATGGAACAACCGAACAAAAAGTGGCTTCTTCAATTTTTTTAGCTCTCCTGACTGAAAGTCAAGTGAGTTTATGTCCTGTTTGTCCAGCATCCAGCCTGCGTTTTCAGTCATCTCATCTGACCTATGTCGTAAACATCTTTTTGTCAGAAACCACTGACCAATGAAGCTGCGTGTTCCAATGAATGATGACACGCAAATTTGTTCAAGAGGTTCATATCTGATCTGTCACACCAGCCATATTGGAAAATCTATTTATTCTCATTACTCAGACAGTTTGTTTCAAAATGTAACAAATTTGGTATTTGTAGAATTTCAACACATTTGTTCCAGGGTTGTTTTGCAATATTTTTAATTTGACCTTGTTGACCATGCTCTTTATTAAATTCTCTCTGAAGGCATATTTGGCTGAGGGAGCTGAACTTGGCATGTATGTTCCTTATGATGCCATATTATATCTTGTTCTAATCACTAGATTTAGTGTCAGAGCTCAGTATGTTCGAAGTGTCTGTCTATGTTGACATGTTAAATTGTTGATTACATATCCAGGTGAGCTAAGGTGCCATGGCATAAACAAAAGATAATCAAAAGAAACCGAAACTATGTCAGGTGATATAAAATATTGAGATACTCAAATTTATTCTATTATTATAATTCAGTTTGATGTACACAAGTTGTCTGAAACGATAATGATAAATACAAGCCTTCATTTCTTTTTGCTCCCAGATTGTCCTTGTCTGTGGACTTTCAGTCGTATGGTTCTAATGGACTGCTGTTCCTGGCATCAGACTTTGCAACCACTCCCACTCAGTGGCTACTCATCTACCTAAAGGCAGGTCGGATCCATCTCGATCTCAAGGGAGCAAGCTTCACCTCGCAAATAATGTCTGGGTTTACGTATAATGATGGTGTTCGTTACATGGTACGTAGCTCTGAATTGTTTCCAGAGAACTAAAGGATAGTTAATATTTGTTTGTTTGTATGAATAACAATGTGTATAAACCTTGTACGGAACTTTGACATTTGTTTAACATTGCAGCTGCCATTTTCAATTTCAAGTCATTCAAGTTTGTACATTTAATAGGTATCCAGTGCAATATCCCATTAAAATCAGATGTAAGTTCTCGCTGCCACTAAACAAAGATCTGGGGACATCATATTACGGGTCATGTCAGAACGACCTTCATCTGACCAATCAAAGTCAGTATTCTGATTTACAATTACAGCCCTACGACTGATTCCGTCAAGTGTCTCTCGCTTCCGTGGGATAAACATTTGAACAGAGGAGGCGTTGCACAGTATGTGGGAAGCACTGCTATACAATCTCAACCATATATTAGACATTCCGGAATGTTAGTTTGTTCAGTTTTCAAAATTTTAATCGAGAACTGTGTAAACATATTTTTCAAGTGTAGTCTGAAGTTGAAACGAGTGCCATAAAGCTCGAGAAAGCTGCTTTGTAATTGGCTGATGTCGACTTCTTGTTAGTCATTTCAGTGATCGGTCAAAGTTCGCGAAAGGTCGTTCTGATGTGACCCGTAATGGGATGTCCTCAGATCTTTGTTAAGCGGCAGCGAGAACTTAGATCTGACTTTAATGGGATTGGTATCCAGTGAGAAATGTTGCATGTTCTTGTCACTACACCTTTTTGATCTAACTTTGCAAATATTCCAGAAAAGTTAAGGTGAGCTACAGAGTCTTTGGTTCCATCATACAAAGGACAACTTGAGATTATATAGAACTTCCACGCGTTATTCACTCGGCAGGAATTGTACAAAGGCTCGCCTAATACAATTTGTATTCTTCACTTCATATGATATTTACAATATGGAAATACTTGGCTAATAATCTCTTTATCCCATAATGTCATTCTTAATGGCGTGACAGATAAGCTATAGCAGTATGAAAGGATCAGGTGGTACTTAACTTCTTTTAAGTAGTATAATATCAATGTTTGAGACGTAATTTCACTCACTCAAGTACCATTAGAAACTCTGTAGGAATACAATACTAGAGTGATGGTAACCATTCCATTTATCACTTAGCAATATTAGTAATGTTGCACAAAAGTGTATTGAACAAATAGACATTGTGGCATCAATGTATGGAGCGTATTACCGGTATTAAATAAATAGTAGAAGCTTACCTCATTTGCATATTTATTAGATTGTGACACCAAATTTATCGTATTTGGTTATTATTATATTGATACTGTTATATGATAATATACTGTTTGATGGCCTATATATTAATCAAATGGAAAGCCTGCTTGTCATGCACAAGATACAACTGTACAGTCTGACTTTTTTATTTCCACAAAAAGTCATCTGAGTATGTTACTGTTTGAGGAGAGTCAGTTCAGCTTGTCTCGTCCGACTTGCGGTTTAACCTGTTGTGGGGAAATTGATTTAGGGTGATTACTGGACATGTGAGTTTGGATTTGGTGGAATAAGGCAAATAGACCTTTTCAGATTTTATGTTGTACCACTTTTAGTTATTTTGGGGTCATAGAAATCTGTTATTAAATTCTTTCAAGAAGGAATTGAAAGAGACATTATTTTGTAAAATTGAAAATATTAATGGACCTGTTGACCCGACGCCTGAGGTTGTCTGATCGGAACGAGGCAGCAGGCTGTGGACCGGTCAGAGCCCTGTAGGGGTCGGGTCCTTGGGTCTTTGTTTTCGCATGTTAACCTCATCAAGAGTAATCATTTCGTTTTGTTATAACAAAATTCAATCAAAATTCAGAAAGTCTTTAAACCGTCCTCTGTTTCATTACAGTAACTTAATTAGCTGCAAACTGTAAAATGTTGTATCAGAAGCCATCTTGTTTACCAGCAGACAAGTCAATATTCATCATCTGATCATATGATGAATCAATATTTGAGGTCAGTGTCAGTCACATAATTTGGGGGTCTACATCGAAATGAATTGTTTCATCACGTTGTATGGACAAACCAATGCTGGGGTGACAATCTTCCGCAAATCTGCAAATTTCCGCATATTTTAGTGACCACAAATTTGTTAAAATCTCATATGGCTTCCCCCTAAACACCCCCAAATTATGGACCATGCTCCATAGCAAAGAAGTTTCAGCTGTAAAGGAGAAAATCCATTCTCATCCCTGTCAATGGAATTGCAAGATTTCCTAATAGAGGTATAACAATGCGTTATACATGTAGTTGAAAATGTTGACATCCTCATATTGTTGATTTTCAGGTGGATTTTCTCATATATGGAACATACGCTGTTCTAATAGAGAATAAAAGAAAGGATTTTGTCAACAACGTTGGGGGAAACACATCTGCGCCTGCCATCTGGTCCACCATCAATGAACTTACAGTCGGCGGGGTGAAGTCGTCCACCACAAGGTCCTTCCTCACAATGCTGGTAGGCAGTCACTATTCTGATGTTTCCACTGGAAGTTTTGTTAAACGAAGTGTACATTACATGTTGCATACAAACTATATGATAAGCATGAGGTATCAAACAAAAACAATTCACAGGGGTATCACAGGGGTTTGAAACCTCTAAATTGAATTCTACCGTGACATTGAAGAATGCTTGATTGTGATTGTTTGAAAATAGGTTTCCTTTTTTGCTAGGGAAACCCCTTTTAAATATATTAAGCCTTTTCACAAAAAATGGGTGTATGTGTGTCCCTTCACATCCTCTGATTTCACTTATACATGCATTGTTTCTTCAGCCACCTGTGCCTGACTTCCAGGGCGCCATCTATGAAGTGACTGTGCACTCTAACAAGATAGGCACACGACCCTACATATTCAAGTAAGTTGAGGTTATATTTTGGCTTTCTTCAAGGAGGAGTCAAGCAATTTTAAAACAACCACCATGTCCAGTGAATTTTTTGTTGTTGTAAAAACAAATTCTTTTTAAACATTTTTAGATACAGGTTATATTTTCAAAAAATGTTCCAGCTATACCCTCACACCTAAAAAAATACTGAGTGAGTGAGTTGGGTTTAACGCCGCTTTTAACAGTATTCCAGTTATATCACGGCTTATGTCAGCTTATTGTGGGAGGAAAGCCCGAAGTGATGCATGTCTCTGACGTTTACCACTTCGATGAAGCCTACGAGCACGGGTATGGTGCTGACAAACCTAGAAACATAATCGGGGCGAACCGGGATTCGAACCCACAATCATAGGTTTCTGGCGTACCCTGGCGTTTCTGACGCAACTCTGCACAGCGAATCGCGGCGCCTTAGACGACTGGGCCACCCGTACTGAATGGATGTCCACTAAATACAGTTTTATTTATGCTTGTCAGCATCTGATTGAAAATCAAGTGAGGTTATGTCATGGCACATTGTCCATCTGTCTGTCAAAAACTTTTGCTTTTTGGGAACCAACATTAAATGTCATTTTTCTCAGTCATATTTTCATATATCATTATGAAATTTGATAGGTAGCAAGTATATGGATTTCAGGATAACATATAATATCTTTTTTGGCATATTTATATTTCTGGTCCAGCTTTGACCTTTGACTTTCATGGATACTTTGTTACGCTTATCCCCCGTTACAGCATTTCGACCTCTCCCCTGAAACTATAAAGCCTGTGAAGCTGAAACTTTGCAAGAACAATCCAAGCTATGGTGTCTCTATTAAGATTGGATTTAGATCTGATGTGACACTGCAGCATCCAGAGTTTCTTGGGATATTATTCATTTTGACCTTAATTTGACCTTTACAGAATGTTCAATTCACCAAAGTGAAAATGCTATCATGGCCAAAGAAAATTAAAACATAAGTTCAAAAATTGGAGATCATTATCTAATGCCGCCACATTCTAGTCTGTCACCATGTCTCACAATATTTAATCCGCATACATCAGAGCAATGGCAAAAAGTAGGTTTTCACATATTGTTGCCTTGGAAACCACACTTGACTTCAAACAGAACTGTTTTGAGCAACATTAGGAGAGGCTATTGATAGGATAGTGTGGACAAAGTTTCACCATCCTACAATATTGTGACATTGCAGAAAATACCAAACCTTCATGTAGACCCAAACAGTAACAGACAGACTAAAGAAACAATACATGACCCTGTGACACCAAGTAATAGGGGTGTCATGATAAATCGAAATATCGATATATTGGTATTGGTAAGCACTTAAAGTCAATAAATTGATTGTTAAATCAGTTTCCGATCAATAGTATTGATTTCAGTTAGGAATATCGCTAGTTTCGATTGTATTTACCATATCAATAAAATACATGCAATGCTGTTCAAATTTGTTTTTCTTTTAATCATGAGTGGTAGTAATTTACACATGGTAATGTGAAAGTTTCTTTTACTTTAATTATTAGGGTAAAGAAAAAATAAATCAGTCATATCTCAAACTTTACTTTTTATTTGTTGTTATGGTTATCACATTCAAAGGAAACTTCAGCTCCAAGGTTTAATTCAACCCTAAAATCCATCTTAAATGATACACTGAAAACTATCGATATTTATTGCAATAGTAGCTTGCAATATCAATAGTTATCGCAATAGTTTCTTTCAATATCATTAGTTATTGCAATAGTTTCTTTCAATATCAATAGTTATCGCAATAGTGATTTCCAGACCAAGAATCATCCCCACCAAGTAACCGCGAGACTGACCTTTGCAGTGGAAAGACTTTTACTATACCCTTAAATATTTATTTTTTCTGCTTGACTGATTTGACTTTGGCATGCAGGTTCCTCTTGTAAAGACATCATTTTTTGTTCAAATAAATGTGGTATACTACAAGATTTGTATTGTTAAAAATATGTTTTAAAAATGATATTCTTAAGAACTACAAGTTGCAGAAAGCTGACTCCGTATGTGAATGATAATAACCAAACGAAGATTCAAGGTTGTTGAAGGCAACAGAACTGTACTCAACAATATTTGTTTCTTTAGCCTAGAAACTTTTTACCAAGATGTTTCTCCCCATAACCTTTGTTGAAGTGTCGTAGATGTATTTATGTCAGATGAGCTACAGAGCCTTGTGAACCTAATTTCTAATTTTGTCATTCCTAACGATATGATGCCCAGTTGCCATGACTGTCAGTCCGATGTTATATATTTTTTTTGGCCAGACCCATTTCATTTCTGGTTATATAGATTGTCAAAGCACAACACCAGGAAGCAAAATAATAATAAGAAAAATGTTAAGGAAGACTTGTTTTATCTCTCCATTAAAACACCTAAAAATTAAAGTTTGGACAATCATACAGAAACTATTTATTTTAAGAAGCATATTTTAAATCAGTCTATCATTTTTAGTTTTGTTGGTTTCTTCAATAAAGGTTAGGCAAAGATAATAAACTGTTCTGTATTAATGTCAAACATAACATTTAATGACTGTTCTGTACTTGTTTCTTAGGATCTTCTGGTGCCTTTATGGTGCCAGTTTTTTGCCTTTCCAGAAGACATAGTAAAACCTCTTTAAATCCATGTCAACTTTTGAATTTTTCAGGAAGACAAGCGCTGATTCTTCAATAACAGTTAAGGACGTATTTGATGTCCCTTTTCAAGCAGCTTATGGGGTTTCTCTGAATGGTACCAACTCGTACATCCAGCTAGGTGAGTGAGTCTGATTGGCAGAAAGGTCATTGTATTCATATATATACATTTAGTGATGACTGGACATTAATTTTATGAGAACTACTATATGGCCTTCAAGATAGTTGAATCCTTTCCCTGTGTACATTACAAAGATTTGTGAAGACAGACTTGGTTCCCTTACTCTTATTGGGGTAAAAAATCATGGCAGCCTGTGAATACTTAGTCTGGGACAAACAAATCATTGCCAGAAGTCATGAGCAATGACCTACACACAATCAACCAAGTCACTGTGCCTGTCTACCCAATCCTCATCTTGTCAGCTCTTGTGAAAAGCATTAGATACTGAGGATTGACCTGTTCTTCCAAAGGGATGAAGGTTTAGTACAAAGACCATCATTACTTGGTTTACTTAAGGATTAACTGTGTACTTTCTTTGCTTCATTGAGGTATGAACTGAACAACCAATGTGCAAACTGTTTGAACCCTCGTAGTGTGAGTTGGGTTTAACGCCGCTTTTAACAGTATTCCAGTTATATCATGGCGTGTGAGTTTAATGTGGGAGGAAAGCCCGAAGAGATGCAGGTCTCAGATGTTTACTACTTCGGTGAAACCCAAGAGCACGGGTATGGTGCTGACAAACCAAGAAACATAATTGGGGCGAACCGGGATTCGAACCCACAATCGTAGTTTTCTGGCGTGCCCAAAGGATGCAACTATGCACAGTCAATCACGGCACCTTATACGACTGGGCCCCCCGTGCCCCCCGAATCCTTGTAGTGATGCTGGTGGTATTGTTTTGTTGATGGTATGTTTGATATCGACAAATAGCACTATAATGTTACTCGGTCTGGTAACTTCATGATACAGGTGCACAACGGGAATTCCCTCGACGGTAATATGGAATTCACGACATTCCATAATGGTGAAAGGGGTCCACTTCAGTGGGCATGGATTATTTTTTTACATTTATTGGGAAATAAAAGCAAAAACACATAGCCAATTCAGCTAATCAGAATGCAGGCATTACAATGAACAAAGCAAAAATGTAACTATTAGCTCTTAATGGTGGGGTGGGTACCCAAGTTGTAAATTTGGACTCGTCCCAGCCCTAGTGTTACCGTAGAGATAATAACTAGAATAAGTCCACAAGGTATGCTGGCTGTAAGAGAAACTTTATGGATGGGGTGGTCAGGCTTATGACTCGGTTCATTACGTATTGTTCCTGATGGCATATGGATTGTTGCTCATAATATCAATCACTGCCTTGTGTGGTCCAGACTCAATTAATTACAGGCCATTGTCGTACAGCTGGAATATTGCTGGGCGCAGCGTTAAACAGCAAACATTTGCACCATGAGTGATACAGTGCTATCTTTATCTGACATGGTTTTATCCGATTCTTCTCACCACCAGGCCCGCAGGCTGTCTCGGGACCACTGACAGTCCAGCTGACAGTAACGAACATACAACCATCTGCCATGCTCTTCTACGTGTACTCGGGCCCCAGCCTTTTCGTGGCTCTAGATACCAGGGAATACAGAGTAAGAATTGCAACAATGTCCATCCATCCATCCATCCATCCATCCATTCATCCATCCATCTTGTAATGGAGATCTGCCCATCCATCCATCCATCCATCCATCAATCCATCTATCTTGTAATGGAGATCTGTCCTGTCCTAAGAGATCCTTCGATGGTTTCTGGCCAGGAGATCTATCATGTCCTTGAAGATCTTGTGAATAATTTGTTTAAATACAGTCGAAGAAGAAAAGATGGACTGTGGATACCCAGACATACACAAAAATACACATAGATAAATAAAAAACATCATACTGTTAGTAATATAGTATTAGTATTAGTATAGTGTTGGGGGTTTCATCAAAAACTAGGTGTGTCAGTATGACAAAATCATTTGTAAATAATTGAATGGAACATGTTTATCTGCTTTGATAACCTCGTGTGTACTGTATGATCCGACTACCTGTTTCAGATCAGAGTCATCGTGGGGTCAAATAATGTCTCAGCCTTCACTGCGATCAGTTCTGACATGACCAACTTCTGTGACGGTCGGCCCCACACATACCTCCTCAAGCTGACCACTGCTGGGGTGGAGATCCAGGTGGACAGTAACGCCAACCTGGTGTTCCCCTACCCAGCCAACTTCCAAATGCCAACCTTGGCTGGCGGACTTACATCTGTTGGAGGACTCCAAAGTATGTGAAAACATGTCTTGTAATAGTGTGTGATAAAACACTCAGGAATAGGGTGATGAGGCTTGAGTGAATTCTTATATGATGAGTAGAGCTGGGACGGGTAACTCGGGTACTCTTGTCAGGTGGGTACTGACTAGGACCCGGGTACCCACAGGACAACCCGGACCCGTGGTTAGTCACTTGATATATTGTTGAATGATAAAATATATCTAAAACTCTATGGTTACACTACAAGTCACTAATGTTTGCATTTCTTTCTGACTATGCACCCATTCCTTCTGACCTTTATAGGTTTGAATTTAGATAAAACTTCGGTCAACTTCAGTGTATGCATGACCAGATCATTTTATACGTGTATCTAAATACATTTTACCAGGGCTACGGTCAAACTATTCCCAATCGAACATTTTACACCCAAGTCTTGAGACATATAGCAGGTATTCGGGTAGGGTCGGGTAATAGCGTGGTGGGTACCCGGGTAGTAAATTTGGACTCGTCCCAGATCTAATGATGAGTGAGTGAGCCATATTGTGACAATTCTGTAGCACATCAAGGTATAATGAGTTATAAGAAATGCATGAATAATTAGGTGAGACGTTAATGAATAATTATTAAGCAACCGTTTGTAATGGGGCGCCTTTATGTGTTTTGCTTGATTTGTAACTCAGTTGTTGTGATGGTTTTCTCAACCACATGCTTATACATTGTATCTTCTATACTATATACCTCTAGGAATTTTCTGATCTATGACTGGATGACTTTGATGGTCAAGGTCACTTAGTATGACCTAGGTGTCCTTTAGCTTGTGCACTTGATAACTTGATTATTTATAAATGAATGTGATCAAACTTAGTGTACATGATCTCTATGGTGGAGTTCAATTGCATAAACTATTGGTGACCTCTGTTTGACTAACTCAAAACCTGTTGTATCTCATGGGTCTGTCAAATGTCAAGGTCACATTGAATAGTTTCATTCAGAAAGTATTCATATTTGTAACACAACCTAAGTAACAATAATGTTCTGGCATGTGATTGGATGACTTTGGAAGTCAAGGTCACTCAGTGTGAGTTAGGCTTCATGAATGCTTAAGTACAAGAGAACTTGAGTATTTGGTATTGGAATTTGACAAAACATTATTATTATACATGATCTCTAAGGCCTTAATAAATTAGAGATATCTCACATGAAGTTTTGGGTGATCCCTACAAACGTTCAAGGTCACTAGAAGGCAAATTATTAGACAAACTTTCAGGAATTTTCAAATTTAGGCAATCAGTTGAGATGAAGGTAAATATATTTTGAAGGTAATATATTTCACTCATTTCAGGAAGTATTGTTACCATGGTAAGGAGACTTGATTTGTCAAACATAACCTCAGTTTTCAACTTTCAACTTAATATTCTTGCATGTGATTGGATGATGTTGAAGGTCAGGGTCACTCAGTACAAAGTTCCAAAAACCCAGTGTACACATTGTCTTTATAAACTTTATAAATAGAATATGATGAAACTATATAAACATGATGTCTACAAGGGAGTTGTGACTCAGATTAAAGGTCAGGGTAACTCATTATTACGGTAGCTAGAGGCATGATACTGTCTGTTTCAAAGTTTTCTTTGCATTCTGGAATATGTATGTGTGATAAAACATCTAGGAATAGTATGTGATACGTTATCTAGGAATAGTGTGTGATAAGACATCTAGGAATAGTGTGTGATAAGACATCTAGGAATAGTGTGTGATAACATTCTAGGAATAGTGTGTGATAAGACATCAAGGAATAGTGTGTGATAAGACAGGAATAGTGTGTGATATGACAATCATAAATAGTGTGTGATAAGATATAAAGAATAGTGTGTGATAGGACATTCAGAAATAGTGTGTGATAAGACATCAAGGAAAAGTGTGTGATAAGACATAGGAATAGTGTGTGATAGGACATTCATTAATTCTTGAGATAGTAAGTGAGATATCTTTTTAAGTTTTGACCCCGTTTGTATCTGTCGGCTTTTTCCTGTAGAGAAACTTTTGCATGATGGTAGTTTATATAGTGTTATATATACATTGATTTGTTACTATTTACAGTCCAAGGGTTGGCCTTCCAGACCCAAGTGTCAAGAGCCAGCATGCAAGGCTGCGTGCAGAGAGTTGTCATCAACGGTGTCAACATCGATCCCACGCAGCACCTCGGAACCAGTGCTGGCACAATGCTGGCTTGTAGTGCATAACAGACTAGTCAACACACATCAACACAGCCAATCAACTCCACATTACACCTGGCTACAGCAACAGTGCTAAAATCAGCACAACAAATAAGTTGACCAACATGAACACCCCCATCGCAACACCAACAACATCAACAACATCAACACGGCCAACAACAACACCAGAATCAACACAGCAAACATCATCATCAACACATCAACACAGCAAACATCAAAACCCTGACATCAACACCACCACATCAACACAGCTGCCATTAACACCCTCACATGAACACCACCAACATCAACACCACCACATCAACACAGCTGCCATTAACACCCTCACATGAACACCACCAACATCAACACCACCACATCAACACAGCTGCCATTAACACCCTCACATGAACACCACCAACATCAACACCACCACATCAACACAGCTGCCATTAACACCCTCACATGAACACCACCAACATCAACACCCTGACATCAACACCACCAACATTGCCAGCACAGACTGACTTGTGGCCTGTACCAGACTGGTCTCCCCCCAACTCCATCTTGAAAAGCTATTTCACCATTCCTCTGTGGCCATGAAGTGATGCTACATATATCTGTCTCCAGAGGGGACATTTGTTGTTTTGTCGAAATGTTACATCAATTGTTGATAATCACATCGGGACGGTCGGGAAGCCTAGTGGTTAAAGCATTCGCTCGTCACGCCAAAGACCCGGGTTCGATTCCTGACATGGGTACAATGTGTGAAGCCCATTTCTGGTGTCCCCCGCCGTAATATTGCTGGAATATTGCTAAAAGCGGCATAAAACCATACTCACTCACTCACTGATAATCACATCACCATTACATAAAACCTAAGGCGGAACGCATAAAACCCCATGTACCCCTCATGATCCTGCTACAACTTATAATGCATATTACTGCAGAATGAAGAGTTCCTTATAGTTGAGTAAATATCACAATGCACCATCCTCAGGTCCAATGAGACAGTCAGCATTGAGATACTACATTCTCCACCTGTATGCCTAGAAAAACCCACCTTACCTCAAGGCATCTTGTGACCAGAATATGGCCTCTTCATTCTCAGTTGTGCCAGAAGCCAATGATTGTGTTTTCAAACCCCAGATGAGCCGTGATTGTTTTTACTGCTTTGTCAGCACAAGCAGTGTAAAAACCAACTCACTTGATTTGGATGTTTTGTGATCATTGCCTTATTTCAGAGCAAATTGAAGGGATATTGGATTCCTTGAGTTTGATTTGTCTATTTTTTGAGACACACATTGTTCCCTTGTACTTTGGTTTTGTAATTTCATACATTTAAGTGCTTCCGTAAATGTATTCTTGTAAGGTGATATATGATCAAGTAGTTAGGTTTGCTTTGAGCTTGCGTCGTTTGTATCGATCCATATCCTATCAACTTGATACTTGTATTGCTTGTATTGATCCATTACCTATGTATCGATGCACCAAATGTTCCTTGAATCGTTACATCCCTACTTGCATCAACTGTTCTGTCTTTCTTGCTGATTGGGTAGTTTTGTGGTTAAGGTGTTTGCTTATCATGTTGAGTGAGAGAGTGAGTATGGTTTTACGCGGATTTTAGCAATATTCCAGCAATATCATGTGGAGGCACCAGAAATGGCCTTCACACATTGTAACCATGTGGGAATCGAACCCTGGCCTTCAGCGTGACGAGCGAAGGCTTTAACCGCTCGGCTACCCCACCGCCCTTATCATGTTGAAGACCTGGGTTTGATTCCATATGATTACAATGTGTTCTTGGTGTTCCTGCTTCATGTGCCTTCCCATTGACTCACTCACCCAATCACCTGCTCGCTTGCTTCTTGCTCTCTCACATCACTCACATACTCATTCACTCACTCCCCCACCCATCTGCCTTCCCATTGACTCACTCACCCAATCATCTGCCCGCTTGCTTCTTGCTCTCTCACATCACTCACATACTCATTCACTCACTCACCCACCCATCTGCCTTCCCATTGACTCACTCACCCAATCATCTGCTCGCTTGCTTCTTGCTCTCTCACATCACTCACATACTCATTCACTCACTCACCCACCCATCTGCCTTCCCATTGACTCACTCACCCAATCATCTGCTCGCTTGCTTCTTGCTCTCTCACATCACTCACATACTCATTCACTCACTCCCCCACCCATCTGCCTTCCCATTGACTCACTCACCCAATCACCTGCTCGCTTGCTTCTTGCTCTCTCACATCACTCACATACTCATTCACTCACTCACCCACCCATCTGCCTTCCCATTGACTCACTCACCCAATCATCTGCTCGCTTGCTTCTTGCTCTCTCACATCACTCACTTACTCATTCACTCACTCACCCACCCATCCACCTACTCAATATCCATGCCCACCCACCCACTTGCTCACAAACTCACTCACTCAATCTCCCAAATTCACTCACTCATTCACTCACTTACCCACTTACAGAACAAGTTGGTATAAATAAATCTGTCCCCCAAATTGTCTTTTTCAATGACCTTGTTAATATTCTGTTTCTTCAAGCAATGGTGCAAGTAACTAGTACATTTCACAGACTTACAGGAAAGCATCAACAGCATCCTTGCCAAACCATATACTGAATTATATCTCTGATCAGAGGTACCAATGGTTTGTGTCCTGTGGAAGAAATTGAGACATGCAGACATATTACTGTAACACTCATTGGAGGTTACATGAAAAACAGTTAGACAAGACACAGAGTACTCTCAATGCACAACCTTTCATCTAATATGTTAGGAAATGTGGTCAACATTATAAATGAATACTAGTATCTGGAGTGAATATTTAGTAAGTATTTGTGAACATTGACTACTGTTATCAAACACATAGAGCTGTCCAGATACTTTGTTTGAGGCTACTGACATCACTGTAATATCTGAAATAAAATATTGTCTCTATATTTGACTGTCTCTGTTTTATCAAAGTATCCATGGAAGTGTTACATTGGTAGGCCGAGTGTACTGTTTTATAGCTATAGCAGTTGGGGATTCATTATAAGACATCATTATAAGCTCACCTGACTGAAATTCATGTAAGCTTAGGGGGCATGGGTGGCCCAGTCGTCTAAGGTGCCGCGATTTGCTGTGCAGAGTTGCGTCCCTTGGGCACGCCAGAAACCTATGATTGTGGGTTCGAATCCCGGTTCGCCCCGATTATGTTTCTAGGTTTGTCTGCACAATACCTGTGCTCATGGGTTTCAACAAAGTGAGACCTGCATCACTTCGGGCTTTCCTCCCACATTAAGCTGACACGCCGCGATATAACTGGAATACTGTTAAAAGCGGCGTTAAACCCAACTCACTCACTTACTCACTCATGTAAGCTTATAGCCTGCTTCACCGTCTGAGGCAGCTTTGTCTGCAAATATCTTTTCATTAGTAACCAGTGGATTAACGAAACTGATTATGCTTGTTCCTACTACTAATCGAGTGGTCAGGCTAGCTGACTTAGTTGATGCATGTCATTGTATCAATCACTGCATTGTGTGGTCCAGACTTGATTATTTACAGTTCACTGTCATTTAGCTGGAATATTGCATTAAACAACAAACAAACAAACAAAACTATCCATAACACACTTGAATCTGATTAGTCTATTTAAAGTGGTTGCCTTCCTCTTACATCAATGTGAGCTACAGTGCCATGGCACTATTTTGTAATTTGGTTTGTTGGTTGGTTGGTTTGTTGTTTAACACTGCACTCAGCAATATTCCAGCTATATGAGAGCGGTCTGTAAATAATCGAGTCTGGACCAGGAAATCCAGTGATTGATATCATGAGCATCGATCCACACAATTGGGATCGATGACATGCATCAACCAAGTCAGCTAGCCTGACCACCCGATCCCGTTAGTCGCCTCTTACAACAAGCATAGTTGCCTTTTACGGCAAGCATGGGTTGCTGAGCACCTGTTCTACCCCGGATCTTCAGGGGTCTATTTTGTAATTGCTTTTATTACTCATTCATGTTAAGAATTACTGCAATAGGGTTGAACCAATTATTAAACACCTCTCTCAATATTGTGATGGAAAGCATGTATACAATCTATCTAATTTTTTATAAATATCACAATATTAGTTGAAATTATGAATGATTGAGGGCAAGGGGTCACTTTGGCTATACATTGATCCTGGCAGGCTTTGAAGCCATTGAATCAGTTGTCAGATTTATACGGTGTCTCTGTAGGTGACTGTTAATTGAATATTATATGCCCATGAAAAAGTTCAATCAGGTAAATACTCACCTACCAAGCTGTTACCTACCAGGTACTTCCTGTGAAATAATACACACACACACATTCACACACAAACAAGATTAAACTGTTTTTATTCCTCACCATTTTGATTGTTTCAACAGAACAGAGTGACATGAAAATCTCACTTGACATACATTCTCCACACAATAGAAACTTGTATGCTTTTTCTTATTTAGATTCCTAGAAACATCAGTAAATAATGCTGGGTAATCTGCTGCTACTCATCTGATGCAGACAAGTTCAAACTGACTTTCATCATATGACGAGAAGACTGTCATGACGTTTGTCGTCCAAGGGTTAGAAGCTAGTATCTGTGGATCGAGTAGATGAAGCAAGTGATAATGTAAAACTGTAGGATCTCTGCAAGACTGGTCTTGATCTGCATCTGTTCCTGTTCCACATCGATAACACTGCATGGCGGATATCAGTTGATACCAGCCACACCAGAGGCATCACTCCAGATTTGATCATCGCAAGATACATGGTGATCCCCCAGACTGTGTCCGACCTAATACAGGACGAGTTGTTTGAGTTGCAGAACAGATACATTAGGAGACAGAAGAATACTGGGAACAGCATACCTACACACACACAACTGGCGAGAAGTACCGTGTGTAAAGACTCGCGGCAAGGTTTCTCCTCCGTATGAACTTCCCTGTTCCCCCTCTTTGCCAGAATCCCAAATATGACGTAGACAATGACGACTGTTGTCATCATTGATATCACCAGGAATGAAGGAGCAAAGAAACTGGCAAAGCAGGTGACAATCTGGAACTTCCATTTCCAGAGAATAACACAATGTCCGGCATCTGTAGTCTGCAGGTTGTTCATGGCAATACCTTCAGAGTACATGGGAGCCACAAGACCCACGCCAATAACCCAGGGAAGAAGGATGAGCACTGAAGTCAGGATACCCTTCCCAGAACCATCCATCATACGGGGAGACAAGAGATAGTAGAATCGCTCGACATTAATAATGAGGACTGACAATACGGAGATGCACACTTGGATGTAGAAGACAAGCTCATAGGTGATGCATGCACCTCTGGAGTTCCTCCACGTTCCGTGGAGAAGGCTGTCTGTATACAGTGGACAACAGAAGAGGCCAACGATGAGTTCTGTCACTGCGGAGTTGACGATGAGCAGGTTCTTTGGGACAATCCTGAGATGAGGGTCCATCCCGATGGTGATGATGGTGGTGGTGTTGGAGAAGCAGATCCACAGTGTCAGAAGGATGTGGCCGATGGCCAGGATGATGTAGTGTTCGGGAACTGGGTATGCTGGTGACATGACAGACACAGTCAGCAATGTGGAGTTAGATAGATCCACCTGTGGCATGATGGGCCGCACTGACAGTCTGAAAAACAATACGTATTTGTTAACGTTATGAGTGGCACTGCAAAATAATTAAATGATTCAAAAAACTGTTCGTGGGACAAGGATGGCCGCTAAGTAAACACAACTGATGCAAGAGTTGTACTTCTTGTCGTGACAAGATCCGATGCTTTTTAGTTTGTTCAAATACAAAAATTGCCTCGATTATTGTCCTGTGTTTGGCAGCATGTTCATTGGTTACCCTGAACGTAAAATTGCAAACTTCTATGTCAGGTCACACTCTAAGTTTCCTCCTGCATTAAGCTGCCACACTGAACTGCTGTTCAAGGCGACCTCAAACCCATCTCGCTCACTCACTGGACCGCCACCGTGGTCTAGTGGTAGAACGTCCCCCCAGGCCGCGTCATACCAAAAGACGTGAAAAGATGGTACTTGTTGTTACCCTGTCTGGCGGACGGCATTAAAGGAATAAAACAAGGACTGGAAAGCTCGGAGTCAGTATACTGTGTCTGAGTTGGGTATTTATGTTAAAGTACCGAATGATATCTCAGTGGACTAGCACTATAAACTCTGCATTAGTCCGGACTAGTACAAGCAGACATACACATCCACACACACGTGCATGCACGTTGCTATATAAGTGCAATAATCTTGCACGCGATGTTAAACCCCATTTCACCTCACCTTACCTCACTCACTCCCTTAAACGCAATTCCATTTCCGGAGTTGAATCATACAGATACAATCAGATAAACTCAGTGTTTCATTTTCAGCCAAGTCGGTTTTCTTTTCTTTAGTGATTGGTTTAAGGATCGACAGAACCAAACTTCACAAAATAATAACCGAACATTAAACTTTAAAAAGAAAGTCTTGTCTTACACCCGAAATCTCCAAAGCAGATAAATATGGATAGGGGGCTAAATCTCTGAATGTCAATCTAAGAAACAGCTGCTTTCACTCCATGTTATTTATTTCCTCGAGGCGACCGACATCGCTTTTTGAAATTAGTCTGCCGTTTGATAATATTTCGATCGGTCTTCCTGTTTTAGAAAGAATATCCACAAACCAAATAATTTATTTGTAATTTTACATCGGTCTCGTGAACAGAAAAGGAATTCCACAGTGACTTATGCAGGTCACGTGTTACTTTAGGTCTTCCAGTCTTCGGGTATCGCTCGGTGGCTTCCTTTACGAGTGAGTGAGTGAGTTGGGTTTAACGCCCTTTTTAACAGTATTCCAGTCATATCACGGCGTGTCAGCTTAATGTGGGAGGAAAGCCCGAAGTGATGCAGGTCTCAGACGTTTACCACTTCGGTGAAACCCACGAGCACGGGTATGGTGCTGACAAACCTAGAAACATAATCGGGGCGAACCGGGATTCGAACCCACAATCATAGGTTTCTGGCGTGCCTAAGGGACGCAACTCTGCACAGCGAATCGCGGCGCCTTAGACGACTGGGCCACCCGTGCCCCGCTTCCTTTACGAAAAAAGGCCCATGTTTTTCACATATTGGTAATTAAGTCGCAAATGGAACACGACGTTCCTACGGGTAGGGCTTGGTGATCTGTGGCAGGACACACTTAGTTCTCATCTCTTATCCATAAACTATGACATGCTGAGTATTAGGTTACTGCGCCATTCATGGATGGCTTATCAGTTCAAGTCGGATCTAATTTCCTTGTGAAGCGACATGGCGAGTACGTTGTCCTTATTATTTTAGAGTTTTCACAAAATAAAAGCAATGGTACATTATTCTAACCTGTCGCAAACAAGAATTTTAAAATCATAAATGAGATTACACTCGTGTTGTACATAAGAAGTCTATAATCGTAACGGATTTGTAATGAATTTGCATCATAGCAAGTTCATTCGGATATTTTGACCTCAAAACAGAACATACATGTGGCGCGACCATACATGTGAGAGATGGTATAACGGCGCTTTAAACAGTGCATCAGAAACAGTTATAACGTGCATGATTTAAATGCTAGGTTACATATTAAAATATATTAACAATCCATTAGGCTGTGTCCCGACTTACGATTGTAACCGAACATCCATGGTGCCAGCGTCCCTCCTCTCCTATGAGGCTGAAGCCGCTCGCGGTTGTGTTCTGTTGATAAGCCGGACGTGTATTACAACAGTACTGGTTATGTATTGGCTGGGACAGGTTATGCCTGATAACCTCAACATGTACAAATTGGAAAGACAAGTCATGCACCACAATTCATGTCAGGGGAAGGCGTATTCTATTTCCACGCTGAGTGTCGCGATGTTGAAAGCACGTTCTTCTTGCATATACCGCACGTTAAATAGTGACTGAGTATGCTTTTTTTACGCCTCTTTTAGCAATATTACAGCAATATCACAGCAGGAAACATCCGAAATGGGCTTCGCATATTGCACCCATTTTTGGGGGTCGTACCCGGGTCTTCGGCGTGATGAGCGAACGCTACCCCTACTTCCCTAAGGAATAGTAAGTGAGTATGGTTTTACGCCGCTTTTAGCAATATTCCAGCAATATCACGGCGGGGGACACCAGAAATGGGCTTCACACATTGTACCCATGTCGGGAATCGAACCCGGGGCTTCAAAGCGTGACGAGCGAACGCTTTAACCACTGGGCTACCCCCCCCCCCCCCCCCCCCCCATCCCCTCCATCTTAAAAACTCCGTAAAGTTAAATAATAAATATACAGTGAGAAAACTGGGAATATTGATAAAGTCAATTATATCCAAACAAGAAACACACAAGAGTGTTCATTGAACGTCAAATGCCAAGTGAGAATAACAGAAAATAAAAGGAAATTGAAAAAAAACGATTTCCACCGCTGCGAAAATAGTTTTACCGATTGTTAAATATCCCCGCCACCGTTAAAATAGTTTTTGAAAACAGAGTCAAGCTTCCGATCTACCGACTTAATCAGGCACCATGGACAGTTGGTGTGTTAATAGTTACCATTGCAACAGAGTATGCTTGACGGGAGGCCGAAAGCTTAACTGTGTTTATTTATGTAATTGTTTGAATTCCCCTATGGAAATGAACACAAAAGAAGATTTAATCATTATTTTTTAAGTTTTCATTTAACGTTTCGTGTTCTCATTTGAATTTTTAGCGTTTCAATATACGCTTTTCTCTGTTTATTTTTATTTTTCAGATTGTTTTGGTCAGTATTCAGGACTTTCCTTCTATTTCTAGTTATTTTTTTCAGTTTCAGTTTCTGAAAGATGTACGTGTCTTTGTAATGAAAACTTGTGATACTAAAAATAATCTAAACATGTTCAAAACGTTTGGGCCACCGGACACTAATGACAGCATGCTGGTTGCCTCAAGTCCTGGGTCACATACATTGTATGGTAACTAGTGGGTTAGTGAGTGAGTGAATATGGTTTTATGCCGCATAATTTGTTAAGGAGGCACTGTGCAAATTTGGGCTATATGACGGCAGCCTCTTTAATATCGAACCCAGACAGGACAATCCACTGATTGATAGTATGACCAACGCACGAAGTCACCGAGCCTGACCACCCGATCCATTTGAATATGTACACGCATCATAAGAAACCTTCTAAAACAATTTCTTATTTTGAAGTCAATTCTTAAATAAAGAGCTTGGCCTTTAAAGATAGACAGTTTTGTTTACCATACAGTAGTGTAAAGTTTCATACGCAAATTTGAATCCTGCGTTTCACATAATCCTGAGTGCTCATGTGGGTTCGACCCGTGAAGATCCGGGGTAGAATAAGTCTTCAGCAACCTATGCTTCTCGTAAAAGGCGACTACGCTTGTCGTAAGAGGCGACTAACGGGATCGGGTGGTCAGACTTGGTTGATGCATATCATCGATCCTAACTGCGTGGATCGATATTCATGATATCAATCACTGGATTGTCTGGTCCAGATTCGATTATTTTACAGACCGCCCTCATATAACTGGAATATTTCTGAGTGCGGCGTTAAACAACAAACCAACCATCCTGTATGTTCGTTGCCCTTGGAAATATACACTGCTCTTCATATTTTCTTGCATCATTGAACATATTAAAAAAATAAACTGCATCTCATCAGTCCTGGTCCTTGTTCCTCAAGCGATCTTCAAAACAACGTCTATCGCAGGTCTAAGTCAAAGCATGGAAGTTACGATAGTTGTCGCAGTCCTTGAAGCGTTTTAAAATCACTATTATCACGTTTCACACTCATTTTCTGTAGTTGTTCCCAACATACTGTAGCGAAATATTTTCATCCTTGCATTTAAAAACAACAGCACACTTACATTATATCGGATACCTGTGTTGCGTTCATCTCACATAGAGGCATGCGACAGCGGGTCAAATTGAAAACTATGTTCTTACAAAGCTAGAAAAAAACAGAAGAAAATAAGATGAATAGGAATGCAGTCTAACAACGAGGGAAAGCCACAGTTTCACCAGAAGCTGGAAATAATAAAAAATGCGAATTGTTTTTATATGTTTAGACAAAGAAAAACAATTTGTATGGAAAGAAACTGATTATACATCAGTAGATCTAGCTGAAAAGCGACATATTGTCGGATTTCACTGAATGAAACTCTAGATCTATATATGGAAACTATTCTGGAATTTAGTTAATGTTTCGTGTGATTGTGGTCTATGCATTAATGATATTTGAATTCGTTTTATCTGTCATCGTTTGTTGATCTATGACCGATTTCACGTACAGTTTCAATAAGCGTCAGACAATAAATATTTTACAGGTGTGCACACTCTTACAAGTTGTCTCCCTTGCTTTTATTTTCGAATTTACCTTCAATATTATATATTTCAAAGTACATATACTTTATAGTCACTTGAAACGGTTTTATTATTAATTTATCATATTCTTTATACGAGAGCTGTTGCATTAATCGGTAAGAGATACATACATTTTCGGATTTTGAAACAGCTCTACCTAAATTCCAAGATGGTGAGTACGGCATGAGTTGACGGAATATTGCTATCTTTGCGATATTTCTACATCTTTATCGGTTTCTAAGAATTTATGTTTGTGTTATCGACTTGAAAGAGGTGTCATGCAAGGTGCATGAGTGGTCTACTGCTGTAATAACATTAGATTATAGCGATTTTGGTAATGATTTTGTTTTGGTAGAGAGTGACAGAGCTGTTTTTGTATTTGATTCTTTATGCAAAATGTTGACTTGGGCAGACAGCGATAGGTGCTCAAATATAGGTGCCATGCAGTTCAATATTTAATGTCGACACGTGATAAGAGTTGTGTAATTTTGGGCTCAGATACTCGTACTGATTAAATCACAAAACGAAGGACTGTGAAGAAGTTTAATTCATTTTGGTCAGAGACTTGACATTGTAATTTGGTGTTTATGGCTTACCAAATGCACACTTTTTGGTTCAGTGATCGATCTTGCTTGCTTCTTCAATCATCACACTTGAACAGTGTTGTCATTGTTCATCCTTACATCTCTACACAATGCAGTTTGTTTGTGTTTAATGCCAAACTAGTCAACAGCTATATGACAACAACCTGTAAACATGGTAAATGAGTGAGTCTAAACCAAACAGTCCACATGGTCCAGGGATCAATATTGTGAGGAACAATCAAAGCTGTTTGATTACAGAAACATATTTTAACCACGAATCCCCACAGGGTTCTACACCATACTAACACCATTTAATGATCTTGTTCGATTCCCTTTAACTCTTTTGTCGCCCTTTACCATGTTTACTGTCATCTAATTTGGAATTAATGTTCGTTTTGCATGTATGAATATGTACAGTTGCAGTGATTTTGGAAGCGACAGGTCTAAAGAGAATGTCAGTACATTTTATGATTTTCTTTAATTGGGCAGATTGATTGGCCCTTTCTTGTTCACCCCAGGCTTCTTCAGTGTCATCAGGTTAACCTTTTCTATTACAGGCTCGACGATATGACTCAAGAACGACTATATTCTCCCCTGAAGGTAAACACACGGAACAGCACTGACACACACATTCAGTGACAAATCATGAATACGTGAAAACCGATAAAACAACTCTTTTTCATTATTTACTCTTCTGTTTCATTTCACAGAAATGTTGCCTTTACTTGACAATATATACTCACCGCCAAAAGACACGTGAACCATAGAAACATATAGAGAAATATGTACGTTAAGAAGAGATGTTTCCAATGTGTACCAAGTAATGACAAAACTAACAATCAGCCAAGTGTTACCACTTAGTGTCTTTATTCTTATCACAATATGCTGCACATGATTTTCAAACGTAATAATTTACACGCTAATCCTGCGCGAGACAAATGGTGCATCTCGAGTCATGGATCATTGACCAACATGTATGGTATTCACATTTTTTTTTGCGGTAAGTATATTAACCTTTCCAATAGATATACCGGGTATGTCCAGATAACCACACAATCAGTGATATTTTATTGCAGATTTCTGTAGGTTTTTTTTGCCAAAAAATAGGTTTGAAAGAATTTGAAGCATTGGTCTTGTTAGATTTTCCGCTGGATACAACATGTCAGATAAAACATTTGCATGAAGTAGCATATTGATTTGCTGTTTCAGGTCGCCTGTACCAGGTGGAGTATGCCATGGAGGCTATCGGGCATGCTGGCACCTGTCTTGGCATTCTGGCCAAGGATGGGGTTCTCCTAGCTGCAGAAAGAAGAAACACTAACAAACTTCTAGATGAAGCTTCCTACTCAGAGAAGATCTACAAACTGCATGAGTAAGTTCACTGGGATATTATTATTCATTGTTGATAGTAGCAGCATTAAAACTCTTTCTAATTTCATGCTTTGGCCTTTCATGCCGAAGACTTGTTTGATTTTCCAATGTGTGAAGTCTGAAGACCATTTTTGGTGTCCTAACCCTTAACATCAATATTTGAAATAATAATGGAAAGTGGCCCGCCTAATCACTTCATCCAAATGAATAGATGACGCATTACTGAATTGACATGAACATGGTACCATACCTTACTTTACTGATGGTATGGGTATCCTAGTACTCTAATACTATTTAACATCTAGGCTTTTTGTACTGTTAAACTCACCCATGGAAATTACAGGCCGCCAGCAACCTGTGTGGATCGGGTGGTTATGCTCAATGACTTGGTTGATTGTTTGTTTGTTGTTTTAACGCCACTCTCAGCATGCTCAGCGTTCTTCCCGCTATGTGACAGCAGTCTGTAAATTATCGAGTCTGCACCAGACAGTCCAGTAATTAATATCATGAGCATCGATTGGGATATAATGACATGCATCAACCAAGTCACTGAGCTGATCATGCTGATGCCGTTAGTCGCCTCTTACGACAAGCATAGTCGCCTCTTACGGCAAGCATGGGTTGATAAAGACCTATGTTACCCTGGATCTTCATGGGTTGACTTGGTTGATTGAATGTCATTGTGTCCCTAATTGCGTGGATTGTTGCTCATGATGTCAATTACTTAATTGTCTGGGCCTCACTAGATTATTTACATGGTGTCATCAAAAGGTGGAATATTACTGAGTGTGGTGTCGTTGTTAAACAACAAAACAACATTTCTAACCATGCTAATCCTGGCATTATGTACATGGTCTAGTGCAGACATTTATGTTAGGTTTGAATTATTTGCGAAGACTATACATTATCATCATCATGATAATAACCTTGTTAAACATGTTAGAAAGTTATTTTGTGGCTTATGTGTTGGACCTTTTTTATTCTTGTAATTATGACATGTCATGAAATGTGTCTTTCAGTGACATGGCTTGTAGTGTAGCTGGAATCACTGCAGATGCAAATGTTCTTACAAATGAACTCCGAGTTATTTCTCAGAGGTAAGTTTAGCCTTAAACATGTTAAATGCTCACAGACTAAACTCATTACTTTCTGGAAGACAGTTCTAACATGTCTAAATGTACTTGTTAAAAGTAATGTTTGAATTTTGCTGTAAATAATGAACTCATAGCATCTTTTCGTTGATAATAATGCTGAAGCCTGGTTTGATATAAATGTTTTGGAAAGCTTGCAGTCTTTGGCAAATAAGCTGACCCATTAGACAAATGCCAGTAACAATGGATCAGCACCAGTATTGTTAAATTCAAGTGGTCCTACTATGCCTACAGCAGTGTACAATCTAGCTGAAAATTTAAATTTATGTCCTTAACCATGTTACTATATAAGTTGTTTCCTGTCAATGTAGTGAATAGACAGGAATTGGTTGAATGTCTGTGAATCAAGGGTGTGTAAAACTGATGAAACTGAGTAGTAACCTTTCTTGGACCATAATATTGTCTCTAGAACTGATTTTGTTGGTTTCCCAAAATTTCGAATTTTTTCAATTGCATTAATTTAAAAAATGTTTTTACGCCTATATGGTTTGAGGCTTCTAAATTCATGGTACGAATGAGTGAAACTTTCAGACCAACATAGCTGATTTCTGTATCTTGAGAAATGAATTTCAGATGAGGTGTTTTTTTCGTTGCAGATATATGCTCCAGTATCAAGAACCCATTCCCTGTGAACAAGTGGTCAGCACATTGTGTGATATCAAGCAAGCTTACACACAATTTGGAGGTGAGTTTCTACACTGCAATTGGACATCATATACAACTCATAGCTCAATCTTTAAAACAGTGTTATGGCACTGTGACAGCTTCAGTGGGGATTCCATGGTAGAATTGGTTCCCAGTAACCTTTGCTTGCCATAAGAGACGACTAGAATGGATCCGTCTTCCCGAGGCAAGGGAGTTAACTGACTTATAAAAGTCCAGTTTCCTTGCCGAATTAGGCTTGGATTTATATTTTGGCTGGACTAACTAACCTATGCATAGTCCAATCCAAATCGAGTAACAAAATCGACAACCGGTTCTTTAACTGCTGTGCAGATTTCGTTTGCTTACAGGTTTTTGCGTACAGGTTTTGCAAAGCATGTGTACCGACTACAGTCAAGTCCCGTTAATCCGACATCGTTGGTTGCATATGATTGTGTTGGATTAACGAGTATGTCGGATAAACGAAATTTAGTAGTATCAACGTTCGTGATCGAAAATCGGACAACTACACGATAGATAAGGATTCAAACACGTTATAAAAAATATAAAATATATATTCATATTGTTATGTTAAATTGTTGGCGGAATATGTTTTCTAATCATTCAACCTCTAAAGTTTAACACAAAACAACTGTTACGGACTGTTTGACAGATTCAAAATACTTTAAAAAGCATAGTCTGGAATGGAAGTCGCAACTTTGAAACTGGTACCCAAAGCTTAAGAAAGCTGCTTTCTAAGTGGCTAACGTCGACTTCCTGTTGGTCATTTCATTGGTAGGTCATAGTTCGCGAAAGGTTGTTCTGACGTGACTTGTAATGGGATGTCCTCGTCGAAAGCGAGAACTTGTATCTGATTTTAATAAGATTGAGGTAATCTAAGCATGTGAATTATCCTGTTTTCTTTATTTAAAGCATTAATTGTTTATTGTTAAGTAAGTTTATCTCTGCAGCTTTGTAATATGCAGCTACCAGCCGACTCGCCTCGCATCAAAACACGGGCTGTGTACTCGCAGGCAGATGACCACGGAGTACGCTGATCACTGTGTCGGATTAACGAGACTGATTAATGAGTGATTTCGGTATTTCGTTGCAAATTAGGTGTGTCGGAGTCGGAGTGCGAGACTGTCGGATTAAGGGGTCTAAATAGCACTGATTTAATCGGTTCCCATCATTAGTGTCGGATAAAGCCGATTGTCAGATTAACGAGTGTCGGATTAACGAGACTTGACTGTACTTAGCGTCAACAGATATTTCCAAATCTTTTTATGTGTTTAATCAAGGTGCTCAAATGAGTTGATGCACTTTGCAAAGTAAGACCAGTTTTATTACGAAATAGATCTTGATTATCGATCAGATCGTCTTCACTAGACTATGTCATGTTATTTGAGGCAAATGCAAGTGATATGAGAGATGGAATCTGATTGGACAATAAAGAAGGACATAGAAGGGACATAACTCATGATAGCCACTGGTGCCACTGCGATCGAGCCCAGAAATTCCAGCCTTGTTCGGCAAGGTTGTAAACTGGACTTTTACATTCAACATGTTCAGTTAACTCCTTGCCTCGGAAAGATGGAACGGATCAGGGAGGTAGTGCTTGATAACTTGGCTGTGCGTCATTGTGCCTTGATTCTTTCCATCACTGACTTGACTACTTTCAAGCCACCATCATACAGCTGGGTATTGCTGACTGTGATGTTAAACAATATTTATTAGTTTTTGCGTTTATGGAGGTATGACCATAAAAACAACTGTGCATACTGTGTAAATCCTCAAAGCGGTTAATGCGAAGTGTGCTCGCTGTTTTTTTACATTTATAACTTCATAAATACAAAAACAGATTGAACATGCTGAAGTAAATTCTTATAGATAAATAGATATGTCAACGATAATAACTTCACAGACTGCTCGTTAAAAAGTGCAGACAATGATATAAAGTCAGTGCCATCATTCAGCGCAATATTGCAACACAAGCCATGTTCATTCTATTATCAGGAGGGGCAGTGGGGTAACCTAGTGGTTAAAGCATTTGCTCGTCGCGACTCAGACCCGGGTTCAAGTCCCCTCATGGGTACAATGTATGAAACCCTCGCTCGCTCACTCACTCACTCACTCACTCAGGAAAGAGTTGTCCGTTAGTTGGCTTAGCCTAATTGTTTTTCGGTTTATGTAACTGTAGACGTGTTGAACATGTCAAAGCTGCATCAAACAAAACTCACTAATTCATGTTCAGTGCTAGTAAGTGTTTAGTATGGTATGACCTTGACAACTATTAAAAATGTTCTTGAGGAGAGCTTTTTCAAAACGTACTTGCTCTATTTCTTACGCTGGCTCAACCTTGTCTCCTCGCACTGTGCTTCAGGGAAGCGTCCATTTGGTGTGTCTCTGCTGTACATGGGCTGGGACAAGCACTATGGATATCAGCTGTACCAGAGTGACCCCAGTGGCAACTATGGAGGCTGGAAGGCAACCTGTATTGGCAACAACAGTGCTGTAAGTAGTAGCCTTGGTAATTCTATCAGCAACAACACTGTTGTAAGTAGTAGCCATGGTAACCTGTATTGTTAACAACAGTGCTGTAAGTAATAGCCATGGTAACCTCTATCAGCAACAACACTGTTGTAAGTAGTAGCCAGGGCAACCTGTATTGTCAACAACAGTGCTGTAAGCAGTAGCCGTGGCAACCTGTATTGTCTACAACAGTGCTGTTATCACCTTTTTATCACCCCGGCATATAATGCGGGGTTGGGGGGGGGGAAATAGCGATCAGCCAGTCTGTCTGTCCGTCCGTCCGTCCATAATTATTTCCTTTTCCGGGGCAGAATTCCAAAACCATTCAGTGTATTCGATCGAAACTTGGCAAAGCTATCAGGCACATACTGAAGTGGTGCCTTTTGATATTTTGGGATTTTCTAATTTTTATTTTTTAAAATTTTTATGGAATGAAGTTGGACATAGACTTAATTGGGGATGGGGTTTGTTTCCGGGGCAGAATTTGAAAACCATTCAGTGTATTTGATCGAAACTTGGGAAAGCTATCCAGCACATACTGAAGTGGTGCCTTTTGATATTTTGGGATTTTCTAATTTTTATTTTTTTAAATTTTTATGGAATGAAGTTGGACATAGACTCAATTGGGGATGGGGTTTGTTTCCGGGGCAGAATTTGAAAACCATTCAGTGTATTTGATCGAAACTTGGGAAAGCTATCCAGCACATACTGAAGTGGTGCCTTTTGATATTTTGGGATTTTTCTAATTTTTATTTTTTAAAATTTTTATGGAATGAAGTTGGACATAGACTCAATTGGGGATGGGGTTCGTTTCCGGGGCAGAATTCGAAAACCATTCAGTGTATTTGATCGAAACTTGGGAAAGCTATCAGGCACATACTGAAGTGGTGCCTTTTGATATTTTGGGATTTTTCTAATTTTTATTTTTTTAAATTTTTATGGAATGAAGTTGGACATAGACTCAATTGGGGATGGGGTTCGTTTCCGGGGCAGAATTCGAAAACCATTCAGTGTATTTGATCGAAACTTGGGAAAGCTATCAGGCACATACTGAAGTGGTGCCTTTTGATATATATTTTTTTACAAATTTTTATTTTTTACATATTTTATGGAAAGAAGTTGGACCTAGACTCCATTGGGGAACGGGTTCGTTTCCGAGGCAGAATTTGAAAACCTTCTAGTTGGTAAACAATGTATGCTTCTTAAAGAACATTCAACTGTTGACTCATTACATACAGAATTGCACATTTACTAGTGGTTACTTTACAGACAGCTGCCGGGGGGATATGTCATCTTTCTGATGACTCTTGTTTATAGAAGAGATGCCTGAATAGACATCAGGCACATTATCATCTTTGTCCATGTTTTCATTTTTTTATATCCTTTACTTTCAGAACGCTGTGTCTATGTTGAAACAAGAATACAAGGATGGGGAGACAACTCTCAGTGAAGCTCTGGCTCTTGCTGTCAAGGTCCTTAGCAAGACACTGGACATGACCAAACTCACACCAGAGAAAGGTTGGCAGGAATTGACACATTTCAACAGTTTTTATTATTTCATTTCACTGTTTCTGCAAAAAACATGTTTCTTCTACAGGCTTGCCCAATAATGAATGTATATCTGTAGTTAACATGTTTAACTATAGTCACTATTATTAGAACTAATGACTTGTATGTACTTTCTGCTGCTGATATACAAGAAGCGTTTTTTAGTCAACTATCTTGGGTTAAATAGAGTTAACTTCACAAGTTATCGGGATATGGCCCCTACTACATGTACTGAGTATCTATCTATCTAAGTATATATGTAATGTGTCAGTTGTGTCCTGTTTATGCGACAAGCCCAACGCCATTGCTGAAATATTGCATAGACATCTAGTAGTAACCAGGTACTGGTGAGAGTCATTCATACATGTATTAGTTTATTGTACATTTATTTCATTTAGGTTCTTGCTGTACTCTCACCAAATAATCACAAACAGCAAGAAATCGAGAGGAGCCTTTGATGACCCTGTGGTTTAAGCACTTTCATTAAGGGAATTAGCGAGTTGGACAACTATATATCAGTTTGCAATTTGAAAATACCATGACCCAGGACTGATTCAGATTGAAAATGTTATAGGCTTTAACATTCTTCAGTTTGTGCCTCTTTTGACATGCTAGATGTTGATTTTTGAAATGTTAATTCGTTGCAGTTGAGATATCCACCTTGACACGCAAGGACAACAAGACTGAGATCAAGATTCTGCCTCATGGAGAAGTGGAGAAGTTGATCAAGTCCCACGAAGAGGATGAAGCTAAGCTGGAGGCTGAGAAGAAGAAGGAATCAGAAAAGAAGAAATCTTCATCATAGACAATGTACTGGTGAGATGAAGAGAAGTTTAGCGCAAGACCTGGTTTAGGAATTAGTAATGTGCACATCTGCATCAAGGTTATTTTCAATGCTGAACCTAATACTGGTTGTATTAGTCAACTAGATGAGGTGGAATGCGAGCGAGCCCTCCATACATCATGTACATTTATTCGAATCAGAACAATCATTTTGTAGTATGTTTGGCTGGAAAAAAAAGGTTTTATGAGTGTTAAGATAGGTAAGGAAGTCCCTATGCTATCAGATGTAACCCAGATGTATTTGAGACAGTATGCAACAAGTCAGTGCAAGTACTGGTGATATCACAGCTTGTTTCAATCACGAAAGAACATGGAAATTGGAATGAACTGCTAATTTGTCTTGGCTATAAACTGTAGACTGGAAAACCGAGGATGGTGAGCCACCAAGTTCTAAATGTTTATCAAGGAGCCATTCCTTGTGTTTTGGACTATATTACATTATATGACTATCAGGGTTTACTCTAGGGATTTTGTGACATGGGCCCTTTATGTGAAAATTCCAAATATTCCAGAAGTATGCCCATGCAGCACAATGTTAAAATGCCCCATTGTATTTGAAAATGTGGGCCTTTTTACAAATTTAGGGGCTAAAAGCACAAGGCCCCACCCTAGAATTAACCCTGGAATATTATACTGGTGATGTTGGCGCCTTGTAAGGCAAAGTGATACAATCAGAGCAGGTGAACCCTTGAAGATCCGAGTTAGAGTAGGTCTTCAGCAAGCCATGCTTGCCGTAAAAGGTGACTCTGCTTGTCATAATAGGTAACTAACAGGATCTGGTGGTCTGGTTTGCTGACTTGGTTGATGCATACCATGGTATTCCAATTGTTTAGATTGGTACACATGATATCAATCACTGGATTGTCTAGTTCAGACTTGATTATTTACATACTGCCGCCATATGGCTGGAATATTGTTGAGTGCAGCGTTAAACAACAAACCAACAAAAACAGAGTTAGTCATCTGGCAACCTCCATTATCCAGTGTATATTGTCTCCAGTAGAAGATAGACCCATGAAGATTCCGGGGTAGAATAGGTCTTCAGCAACCCATGCTTGCCGCAAAGGCGACTATGCTTGTCGTAAAAGGCGACTAACGGGATCGGGTGGTCAGGCTCACTGACTTGGTTGATGCATGTCATCGATCCCAATTGAGTTGTCTCCCTTAGGGCTCCTATAGTCATGGATGATTCAGCACTAAATCTGTCCTCATGGGTTTCGTGGAAGTAGCAAATGTCTGAAATAGGGTATTCTTTCACATGTGGTTGCAAGTGCCCTGCTTCAGTGCGTGGAGTCCATACTTGTCAGGTTTGGTGTGGTATAATATGGCTGAAATGTTGCAGGAAACTGTAATAATATCATGATACACCAATAGAAAGAAGAAAGACAAGTTCTATGGATGAACAACTTCTTTATTACAATTACTGCGACGTTTCGGTGTAGATCCTAACACCTTTATCAAGCAAGTGTCGCACTAATTGTAATAAAGAAGTTGTTCATCCATAGAACTTGTCTTTCTTCATCACACCAACTTCTAAATGCCACTGAAAGAAGTCACCAATAGAAAGTTGAGTTGTATGCATGGTATGTGATGTGTTTTGTAAGGCTAATCAACTGATGGTTCTTGTTTCAGATCACTAGTGCTCGATGATCTTACCACCATCTTGATTGTGCAACTACACTATTGAGGGTCTTTGCTGCACACTACTTGTCATTGTTTTTGTCATTGTACAAACTACATGTTATTATATACAATAAATTCATAAAGACGGAATATATTGTTAGTTGTTGGTTTGGATGTTCAATGGATTGCATTCTTGTAAGAAGAAGGGGGATGCCCCTTGTGTCATCGTACCCCGACGGCATGGATCATACTAATAATATCGATCACTGCTTCGTCTGGTGCAGACTCCATCCAACCCATGCTCGCTGGTATCACCAAAATGATAAGTGCCCAAGATCCGCACCACTTCTGGCACTTCTCCTACATCAACCCCCTCCATGGTCTAGTGGTAGAGCCTCTGCCTGGAGAGAGGAAGGTCATGGGTTCGATCCCAAGTGGTATCATTCCCCAAAATGGTACTTGTTGTTACCCTGACTGGCGCTCGACACTAAGGGGCTAAAACAAGGACTGGTCAGCTCGGATTCAGTTTACTGTGTCTGAATGGGGTATTCATGTTTTTCTACGGCATGGTATCTCAGTGGGCTAGCACTATCAAATCGGCATTAGTCCAGACTTGTACAAGCAGCCACACACACATACACACGTGCATGCACATCGCTATGTAAGTGCATTAATCTTAAACAACGTTAAACCCCATTTCACCTCACCATCTCCTACATCAAGCTGACATGCCATCAAATAACTGTAACAGACTCACTTAATGTATATTTTGTTTATTTTTTCTTATTGATGTTTGAATTCTGATCCTTGGTTTGATCTTTGCACTTTGATCACTCACTCCGTCTCTCATGTTGCAATGTTTCAGTTATAACTTGTAGTGTTGGTTTGCTGTAAATAAAACATTACAGATTTGTGATGAATTATTTATCAAAGGGCAGATGTTATGTTAAACTGCACCACCTTGATAGATTGTTTATCACAAGAGGTGTGTTTCATGGACTACTTTCACAGGACTGACTGTTTACTAATGTTTACAGAGGAACCAGGCTGTTTAAAGTGTATGAATACAATGTCAGATGCAAACCTTCTCACTTTGGACATTAGTGTTGAAAATGCTCAAAATACTTCTTGCAAAATAATCACTGCATGTGGACTGTCGACATAGATGTATCACTCTAAATTTTCACAAACACATGTTGCAGTTCTGTGGAACTATTTGTATCTTCAAGCAGATGACAACCATTACTATTTTGGCAAAATCATTACAATATTTAAACCAAATTCTGCCAAAATGATGAAAAAACATTGCCAATTATTCAGACTACAAGGTGTGGCTGGAAAACTGAGCTGTGATGGACTGCATTGATTGAGTTGGTTGTTAATTATTTTTCAACACTATCTCCTCCGAGGTTCGGGGGGTCGGGTAGCCTAGTGGTTAAAGCGTTCGCTCATCACGCCGAAGACCCGGGTTCAATGTGTGAAGCCCATTTCTGGTGTCCCCCGCCGTGATATTGCTGGAATATTGCTAAAAGCGGCGTAAAACCATAACACTCACTCCTCCGAGGTTCACTCACTTCTGCCAACAATGGAATGCGTCGATCCCATTGGTGTTGAAGGCTTCCTCTTGGGGCAAAAAATTGCTTTCAGCAGTATTCCAGCACTTCCACAGCATCTGTATCCTCGTTTATCCAGTGTACCGGATAGGTCCAGGGTAATATAATTGTATGGAGATATTTATAAGCCGGATAATCGAGGATACAGCATGTGGACAAGGGCGAAAATAGTCTTTCCAAATTTCAAGATTACACATAATATATATATTTGTGTCTACATATAGGCAGTTACATTTCACAGTTAATTTTAGATGGACATGCCACCTGTGGGTTGATTATAACATTTCACGTAATTATGATCTAACACAACACCTAATTGTAAGGATTTGAACACCTTTATCAATATCTGTGGTTTTGAAGATAGGGGATGTTGAAGGTAGCAAGAGTTAGTTCCCTTGCATCACTTGTATCATTCTCTGATGTTTCAAGCAGCAGACGTGAAAGGTAATTCAGTATATAAAGTGTATGCTACTTTAATGTCATGTTATGAGACTGAACCTTGATAGACTTATGCAAATAATTCATACTTTTAGAGCAGTGGTTCAGACTCAGCAAAGTGAAACAATTCATGTGTGATGTACTTGTTTTTTTTGCATGAAACTTATTGGTCCTTGTAAGGACCGAAGTGAATTTCTGGGCAGAATTGGTACCAAATCCTTCTTGCTTGTCTCCCCTTGGTGTTCCTGGGGAAAAAAGGTCTTCATCATGTTTAGTAATATTTTTCTGATGTATTATACAACTCAACATTTGCTAAGGATGAAACCCTTGACTAAAAATGACTTTTTTGGTCTTCAGCAAATGTTGAGTTGCATAATAACATCCCCATTAGAATGTTGTTGAATTTGTTCGTAAATAATACTTGAGGCTTAAGTTAAAATGTTCCTGATGACAAATGGTATTAAGGAGCCTGTTGGACCTGGCTGAACCTTTTCCTTCAGACTTTAACTGGCATATCTGATGATGTAATCCATTTGCATTTTCAACAGTTTTCTGTCCAACAGCTTGTTTGAAATAACAAAAAATTATATTCATTTTAGAGCAGAGCTAACAGTGTATGAGATCAGACAGACCTTATAATTCAATAAGGGCAATAAACAAAAACATGATTCATCCAATAAATGATAGATTTGATCACAGCGGATTTGATAACAGTTTATACAATAGAAATATTAGTTGATAGCCAGGTAATTAATTACTTAAGCCATACATGTTATGCTGATTGATTAGATTAACAGTAACTGGGTGGGATGGTTGCCATGTGCATGGAGTTTTTGATTTCTTCAAGGTGGCTTGATAAGAAGAACATACGGCTACTTACTGCCATCAGAAATCAGAAGACAGCAATGTATTCTTGAAATACCTTCAACGTTAGTGACAATCTGTGTATGACTATTGTTTAAGAAGTTAGCATTACTGATTTAATACTGTTTGATGTTCAGAAATAATTTTCCCCATGTTTCATTCAGTATTTTAGAAGAGTTACAGTTGGTGCCACAAGCTTCTGTGTCTACTAGCCGACATTGTCTTTAGGCATCATGAAGCTTGTAACTATCAACTGTTCTTGTTATTTGCGGGGGCATGGGTGGCCCAGTCGTCTAAGGCGCTGCGATTCGCTGAGCAGAGTTGCGTCCCTTGGGCACGCCAGAAACCTATGATTGTGGGTTCCAAAACCGGTTCACCCCGATTATGTTTCTAGGTTTGTCAACACCATACCCGTGCTCTTAGTTTCCACCGAAGTGGTAAATGTCTGAGACCTGCATCACTTTGGGCTTTCCTTCCACATTAAGCTGACGCGCCGCGACATAACGGGGATACTGTCAAAAGCCGCATTAAACCCAACTCACTCACTCACTCACTCTCTTATTATTTGCTGAACCAAACACTACTAACTCCAGTGTGTGTTAATAGTGATGGATGTTATTGAGACTCCAGTGTGTGTCAATAGTGATGGGTGTTATTGAGACTCCAGTGTGTGTCAATAGTGATGGGTGTTATTGAGACTCCAGTGTGTGTTAATAGTGATGGATGTTATTAATCCTCCAGTGTGTGTTAACAGTGATGGGTGTTACTGGACATCCAGTCTGTCAATAGTGATGAGTGTTATTGAGACTAGAGTGTGTTAATAGTGATGGGTGTTACTGGGACTCCAGTGTGTGTTAATAGTGATGGGTGTTACTGGGACTCCAGTGTGTGTTAATAGCGATGGGTGTTATTGGGACTCTAGTGTGTCAAAAGTGATTGGTGTTATTGAGACTCCAGTGTGTGTCAATAGTGATGGGTGTTATTGGGAGTCGAGTCTGTCAATAGTGATGGGTGTTGGAAATCCAGTCTGTCAATAGTGATGGGAGTTATTGGGAGTCGAGTCTGTCAATAGTGATGGGTGTTGGAAGTCCAGTCTGTCAATAGTGATGGGAGTTATTGGGACTCTAGTGTGTCAATAGTGATTGGTGTTATTGAGACTCCAGTGTGTGTCAATAGTGATGGGTGTTGGAAGTCCAGTCTGTCAATAGTGATGGGAGTTATTGGGAGTCGAGTCTGTCAATAGTGATGGGTGTTGGAAGTCCAGTCTGTCAATAGTGATGGGAGTTATTGGGAGTCGAGTCTGTCAATAGTGATGGGTGTTGGAAGTCCAGTCTGTCAATAGTGATGGGTGTTATTGATACTCCAGTGTGTGTCAATAGTGATGGGTGTTGGAAGTCCAGTCTGTCAATAGTGATTGGAGTTATTGGGAGTCGAGTCTGTCAATAGTGATTGGTGTTGGAAATCCAGTCTGTCAATAGTGATGGGAGTTATTGGGAGTCCAGTCTGTCAATAGTGATCGGAGTTATTGGGAGTCGAGTCTGTCAATAGTGATGGGTGTTATTGATACTCCAGTGTGTGTTAAAAGTGATGAGTGTTGGATGTCCAGTCTGTCAATAGTGATGGGAGTTATTGGGAGTCGAGTCTGTCAATAGTTATGGGTGTTATTGATACTCCAGTATGTGTTAATAGTGATGGGTGTTGGATGTCCAGACTGTCAATAGTGATGGGTGTTATTGATACTCCAGTATGTGTTAATAGTGATGGGTATTATTTATGACTCCAGTGTGTGTTAATAGTGATGGGTATTATATTAAAGTACTGTCGGAAATGCTAGAAAAATGCTTTTAGCCTGTTAAAAAAGTATATAACTTTTCACAGCCTGTTATTATTGAAATATTGAGTAACTACCGATCGACCTACCTGTGGTTTGAAGTATTTCAGTTACAAGGAGTCCTATCGACAAATTTACAGGAGACAAATTTGAACGAAAACAGGAAGTTCACATTTATTCTAAGTTCAATGATGGCAGTCTGAAACGGACTATAGAAATATGCGCACATGACTCTGTTATAATGATAATAATGTAGTCTTCATAAAACATCTAATCCACACACAAAAGTCATTTGGAGAAAATTCTAGATGTGCATCTTCTAAAATAACAAAATGACGCTGCGTTTGTTTTGTTAACATTGCTCCCATGATGCAATTTACATTACACTTTCATAGCCATTGCCATGGTACACAACATGGAGGCTGTACTGGGAAATGTATAGAAGTTCTTTACACTTTAGAGAGATAGAGGGAAACCATTTATTAATTTAGATAGGATGAATTACAAAACTGCCAAAGCTATGGGGTTTTCAATAGATACCATCAAGTCTACAGTATGGTAAACAAATCAGGTATAGGGGTGGTCTTAAAAACCAAACTGGGACGTAAAAGGATGTTAGACAGCTTTGATACAGCTTTTTTTTTACGGTGTACAAGCTTTGTGAGCAGAAAGCAACCCTGACTTGTATCAGAAATCGGGAGGAAATTAAAGATACAATTAATGTTTCCCGGACTGCACTAACTATTGCTCTCCAAGAGATGGAATTTCGATACACTGTGCATGGCGATGTCCGAGCAGTTTTCAGGGGAAAATATGCCATCCTGTCTATGAGGTCAGATTATCTCCGGACCATTCATAACTCTCACTGTCAGGGCGTCCAGATAATTTACCTTGAGGAATCATTCCACTGACTACAGATGGACAAAAGGCACCCATGGTACAATCCGGTAAAGGAAATCATGTCAATGTTTCGCACACCGTAACCCATTATATGGGGTCTATTGATGAAGGTCTGCTAGTTTTCGAGGTGAAAAAGAAAACTGGTGATTTTCATCAGGAAATTATAGGGCACCAGACTGGTTGGAACTTTTTAAAACCATTTTAAACAACGTCAGTGTCATTGTCATGAATAACGCCAATTAATATAACGTCCGGGAATAAGATACTGTCGCCCCAACCATGAGTAGTCTGAAGGCGACCATACAGGAATATATGACATAGTCGACTTCAGACCATATGATAGTTTAACTCATGGAGAAAATTAGGCTGAATAAGAAACCAGTAAAGTACATGACATAGGTGCTGGCGGCACAACATGGTCACGTTGTCTTACATACCCCAGTCAGACATTGTGAGCTCAACCCTGTTGTGCCTTTCTTGGCTAAATGTAAAGGATTCGTGGCAAGACATAACACGACATTCAAAAGTACAGATTCATATACGTCATCAGCGGAGATAAATGCTACCAAAAGAAACCATCTGTAGAACAACAAATACTTCTTGATTCCAAAACTGCAACCTTCCAATACTCATCCCGTTTCATAGCTCTTAACTATTCCATCATGTTTCCAAGCAAATATAATGCAGTACATATCCTAAATTGCTACCCCATCAAGGCACATGTCAATTAAGTACAATAACAGCAATATTTTGAGACATTTTGACAACTGCACCTGTGAGAATGCACGGGACGGTGTGAGGTCATCCCCTCGGGACAGGTGTTAGGTAATTACCTCAGGTTATAGGCCGTTTCATACATGCATAACAACACACAAATATTTTCTAAGTTTATCATCATTTTACCTGTAAAAGTGCATTTAGAGGGTAATCACATATCAGTTAAGACAGGCTAGATTAGGGCAATTTGCGTTATTTTGATATTTGCACTTTATATAGTCCTATGACTCGTATTTATTAAACGAATCCAGAAAAGCATTTTTCTAGCATTTCTAACAGTACTTTAGGACTGTAGTGTGTGTTAATAGTGATGGGTGTTATTGAGACTCCAGTGTGTGTTAATAGTGATAGGTATTATTGGGACTCTTGTGTGTGTTAATAGTGATGGGTGTTATTGAGACTCCAGTGTGTGTCAGTGGTGATAGCAATCATTGACACACCATTGTTCTGTGGTATTAGGTATGATTGGCATTCCAATTTGTGTCAAGTACAGTAGAAATAGTTACGATAGTAAATGTAGTTGTTGCCTTTTTGCAGTCACAAATGGTTTATCCTATGGTGAAACGTAATCAGTTTTGTTTATGACTCAAACTTCAAGGAAAAGTCAGTTTATAGTGTACATGAAGAAAAAAAT